AATATTTCACCGCTAAGAAGCCAGGATTAGCCGCCTGTGAAGGTATACACTACTTACATCTTTCACTGAGTCATGTATAGATAAAACCCCAGATTGTACCTTGAATTTTTTGGACAAGTTATGCGGGGAAAGCTTGGATGAATTTCCGAGGATTGGAAGTTTTCGGAGTTTGGGTACGGAAGTTGATGTGCAGAATTAATTATTATCATGTAATTTTGACTCAATTGAGTGGATATCTGTTAGTAGAGTAATTAGACAGAAATTTGGCATGACCATTGATGTGTTGCTGATTACGCAGGTGTTTCGTCTTGTCGTGAAGTCAGGTAAAACATCATGACTTAAGGACCATGGCATGAGGAATACAGCAACAACCAAACATACAAGTTCGTGACATTAGGTTATGAATAGATAATTTAAAGTCAATTCTGTATCAATATACTATTTTCCAAACGCCAAAATTAATCTTGCTACCACTCATTAAAAACATCATGACTTGAGCCAAGGCTGAGGGAATCCTCCAACCCACTCAGCAACCTCATCTCGCAGCGCAGCAATCTCCTTGACACTAGATCCATCACCCAAGTACTCCAAGAAGTTCTTGACTGTGCCTGGGTTCTTAGCTCCCTTGGCCTCGGCCGCAGCACGGGCATCCTTATCAACCGCCAGAGTGATCTTCACACCGCGATCCACAATATCGGCCACGCGCTTAAAGTCCTCGCCGTTGAAGCCCCGCGTCGTCATAGCGGGCGTTCCCAAACGGAGACCACCCGGCTTCAACGCCGAGCGGTCACCAGGAACAGTGTTCTTGTTACTCGCCACACCAACAAGTTCGAGAACGCGCTCTACGCGTGCGCCATCGATGCCCTTGGGCTTGAGGTCCACGAGAACGAGATGGTTATCGGTACCGCCAGAGACAAGCTTGTAACCGAGGTCGGAGAGCTGCTTGGCCATGTCTTGGGAGTTGGTGAGGACCTTTTCTTGGTAATCCTTGAACTCGGGTGTCTGGGCCTGCTTGAGAGCGACGGCGAGGGCGGTGATAGTGTGGTTGTGAGGACCGCCCTGGTGGCCTGGGAAGACGGACGCGTTGATAGGGCCCTCGAGGTCGTACATAATCTGCTTGCCCTTCTTATCTGTGCTTCGCACGCCCTTGCGATAGAAGATCATAGCACCGCGAGGTCCGCGCAGGGACTTGTGGGTGGTGGTAGTAACGATATCAGAGTCGTCAAAGGGTGTTCCGATAACGCCAGCAGCGACAAGACCCGAAACGTGAGCCATATCAGAGAGAAGGTAAGCACCAGCCTCGTTGGCAATGGCACGCATACGCTCATAGTCGATAAGGCGGGAGTAGGCAGATGTGCCAGCGACGATGACCTTGGGACGGTACAGCAGGGCGTTCTCGCGAAGCTTATCGTAGTCGATCAAGCCAGTCTCCTCGTTGAGTCGGTAGGGGAAGGTCTCGTAGTACTTTGAGATCATGGAAATCTTCTTGCCAGGAATCTGGTAGCCGTGGGAGAGATGGCCTCCGTGGGGGAGGTCAAGACCCATGATGCGATCGTGGGTGTTGAGAATGGCAGAGTAGGCATAGAGGTTGGCTGGGGATCCAGAGAGGGCTTCACCATGTTAGTCAGTATCACTCATGATGAGAGTCGAGTCAAGGGACTTACGCTGAACGTTGACACCCCACTTCTCAGGGTCAAGACGGAAAGTCTCGAGAGCTCTGCTTTGGCAAAGACGTTCGGCCTCATCGATGTGTTCATTGCCGCCGTAGTATCGTGCTCCTGGGTAGCCCTCGGAGTACTTGTTTTGCATGACACTGCCTAGGGCATCGAGAACTGATCGCGAGGTGAAGTTTTCGGAGGGGATGAGGTTGATGAAGTGGTTCTGACGCTTCTCTTCCTGTGATGGGGTTAGAGACGTTAATTGATAGTGAGAGTATGGTAACATACGCGCTTGAGAATGGCGTGAATCTCAGGATCACCTTGCTCGAGGCTTGAACCGAGGAGCTATAGAGTGGTCAGTTATCATCTGTGTAGAGTTGGATGAATTTCTGCTTACATCTTTTTGAGATGCGAAACCTCTGGTGGAAATGCGCGTAGCCAGTGATGGCTTGCTGCGAAGGCATTGCTGCCGAAGAAGCCTCATGTTCATCATGATTACTGTGATGAGGGGAGTTTGGGGTATCGTAGATGGAATTGACAAGAGAAAAAGAAAGCAAGAAAATCAGATAGACACGACGACGACTTCTCAAGCAACAGATAAACTTAAGCTAGAGCAGGCAATACAAGACCTAATAAAGAGTCGCCAACATGTCGTGTTTGCCGCTTCGGCTCATGAGTTCCAGGATCGGAGCATGAGATCAGAAGCAAAAGGTACGTACCTCCGCGGGCCGGTTCAGATGTCACCGAGTCAATCTTATCTTCACTGAGTCGGGGGGAGATCTGAAGGGGCTGGTTCCACATGACCTCGGAGGGATTGTCGTGGAGGGCCGGAAGTGTTACTTGGAGGTACTTGTTGACATTAGAACATTCTGAGAAGGTGGGTTCTTTTTTTCGTCCTTGACTCGGTGAACAGTCAAGATAGAGGCTAAAGAGGTGAAGTAGATGAGGTGAGGCGAGGTGTAGGGTAAACCATCTAGACCAGATTAGATTAGCACTGATAGTGATAGACAGACAGAATCTAGAAGGATTCTTTCTCCCTTCCCCGCAAACATCATCTCCACTTCCACTCGCTTATTCCGGAGCCACGACCCGATTTACGGCACTCGCCTTGCATCTCTCTTTTGCTGCGCTGTAACCGCGCCGCCCTGACTATCGTCTTCTGACCCGTCACTGTTTGTCCTACTATACTTATCTACTCCACAATGTCACCAACAAACCCAACACCTTCTACCTCTGGCATGCGTCCTATGCCTATAATCCGCAGTAGGACAGGCTGCTTTACCTGTAGGAAGCGAAAGAAGAAGTGTGATGAGAGGTACAGCACCATAGTATATCTAGAAATTACCCCTTTGACTTACCGTGAATAATGTAGTAAACCAATCTGCAGTGGTTGCAAACGCAATAAACTCGACTGTATCTGGCCAGAGCCTACTGCCGCCACATCCAGCAATGCCAAGCTGCCAACAACAACCAACAATACCAGGGTAGCAAGACCTTCATTCGGTGCTTCTTCAACTGCATCTCAAGCCAGTATTGCTTCTTCAATACGTCGCAGTCAGGACCCTGATCATGAACTTGCACAACACGACCCGCACTCGGTCAATGACCCCGTGCTACCGGACTCAATCCCGAAGCATGACCGAGTTCCCCATAATGGCGATAGTTCTCCGGCCTCTGGAGATACTCACATGATCGATGCTGAGGCTGAGGCTGAGGCTGATATTGATATCGATACTCATGTTAACTTTGATGGCGATCCTATCGAGTCTGTTGTTAACGATAACGCTCATCATCATCAGCCTTCCCCCTCACCATCAACATCCGCATCGTCATCAGATTCTCCAACCGCCATAACAGCAACATACGACCCCGACACAGCCAACGCTCTCACACTCGCTTTACCGCCCTCATTAGAGGCAGGATTACCACTCAATGGAACCATCACCATGCCAATGTCGATGCTCCCAGAGCAGGGACATCACTCATATGAGCTGCTCAGCTATTACCTAGCCCGAACAGCCAACAGCATGGGCAACGGATCCACAGATGTGAATCCCTTCATCTCAAAACTTATACCTCTGGCCTTCTCAAAACCTCTTGTGCTGCAACTCATTCTCGCACAAAGTGCTGCTCACCGTCAAGCATCAGCTGAGCGTCATCCAAGTGATGAGGTTGCCCAGAGGTACTACACCGACTCGCTACGGATGTTTAGGAATGTTGTCGACGAATATGTTTCTGGCAACGCTGAGAATACCCTCGTCTTGACAGTCGGGAGTCTCATCATGTGTTTAACCGAGGTTCGTTCTTACAGCATCATCCGCCGCCGCCCACAAATTGCTAACATTTGTCTGCCAGGTCGCGAAAGGCGATATTCACGGTACAATATTCGACCACCTAACAGCTTCAAAGTCATTAGTGAGCACGCTACTCACGGGCGCGCAAAACCATGTATACGACGATTTACCAGACTTTCTTATCGAGTACTATATGCATATAGCAGCCACAAGCATGATCTCAATTGATCCGCAGTACAACTCCCAATCCCTACTCAGCCCAGACATAGAAGTCAGAGCCAGGAATTTGGTCGCGCGCAAGTACGTCGGACAGCTATGCGGATGCTGGCTTGAAATCCTTATCCTTATATGTCAAATTTTCCATCTGGGGCAGGTCATATCTTCTCCGACCGAAGACGGCGCCAGCTCACCAAGCCCGGACGATATCGTCAACTTTGCTTTTCTGCAATCCCAAGTCATGGGCTTCTACCCAGATCCCTCTGTCACCCCGTATACGCGCCTAGCAGGCTTGGTCTGGAAACAAGCCGCGCTTTTATACCTCTGGACAGTCCTCGGTAAACCACACCAGCAACCCCAAGGCAGTTTCCAACGCGCGCTGGTCGAGTCTGCGGTTGCCGAAGCAGTCACTTTACTGGATCAATTCCCCGCCACGGTCAGGATAAACACGAGTCTTTGCTGGCCACTCGCTGTCATAGGATGCAGCACATCCGACCCGACAGTCCAGCAAGTCCTTAGAACGCGACTGCAGACAATGTTGGATACCATCGGCTTGGGAAATATGCGACAGACTTTGGTCCTGTTGGAACATATCTGGGAGCAGCCGCCGGATCAGGTTAGCCCATGGATATTGTGCAAAGCGATGCGTGAACGTCAAATCTGGATCTCTTTTGCGTGAAAGGACATTATTATTCTTTGATACCCGCCTCGTTGTATAATATAGAGTCCTCGGGGCACATGCAATATAACTGACCATGTTCTACAATGTCGCAAACTGTTCAATTACCGACCAACGCTACCATATAATCATCAAAGAACCAAAGCGCATTACTTAATTGCCAAGTAGAAACTCCCAAATCTTGGCCGACACCAAAACTCCATCATGCGCCGCCCTCGCCCTCGTAATACCCTCCTCATACATCTCCTGAGAAAAGATCTTCTGCTCATATCTTGCCTTCATGATCTCCTCCATGATAAAGTCGTCAAACTCGGGATGGGCCTGGAATGACATGATACGACCAGGCTTGTAGAGTCCTTGTACCTCACACTTGGAGCTGCTGCCCAGACTGACGAGACCTTCTGGGATCTCGAGGACTGCGTCTCTGTGCATCTGATGAAGGCCCTGGATTTTTGTTAGAGCGACGATAACAAAATATGGGAGGGTACTTACGAGCGATTCGACTCCTAAGAGTTTTTGACCAGTCTCGTTGAGATTGATTCTGTCAACGCAGACTTCCCAACCGCCTGGGCTGACAGCGACCTTTGCGCCTAGTGCTCGGGCGATAATCTGATGACCAAAACAGATACCCACGATGGGTTTATCCGTAGCTGTGTAAATCTTTTGGACAAACTCAACGAGCTTTAGAATCCAAGGCTCATCGGCGAAGGATGTATGTTCTAAACTCATGTCAGCTTCTTCCTATCTCGAAGGTCGAATGGCTACGAACTGCTTCCCGTCAACAAGAAGCCATCAACTTCTTCGATTTCTGGATACTCCTGAGCTGTGACGACATCCCATCTACTAATCTCATAGTTCACGTCCTTCACCTTATCGCCCAATGTCTCATGCTTGAGTCCCTTATCGAGGAGAGTACGGAAGACATCTCCATACGGTCCACGCTTTTCAAGGACGGAAGGAAAAGGTGTATCACACTCCAACACGGCAATTCGAAGGTTTCGTGTCATTTTGAATAGTTGAATAATAAATAATATGGATATAGATAGAGTTGGTGAAGATCGAGGTACAATGTCGTTTGACACTCGGACAACACAGGAGCAGTTCTATCTTTAAGTTGAACACACCGACTCTCAACATCCCCACTGATGGGTAACCTCATGACCTGTTTCGTGATATATGAGATCCTCGTTCGAGTAAGATTAACCGAATCGGTGGGTGTTGTTCGGTCCGCGGTCTGTAGCCGCGCTTTACCGCGCCTCCACATAAGCTTGTGCGCGGTGATGCGCGGTAGTTGCGATTGAGATAAGCGACCATAACAACTTGTGTTTCAGATGTATGGGCTGTCAATAGTAAGAAAGGGTATCACGTTGAAGGTTGTTGCCTGAGGGAAGGTCTTTCCATGCATATTTCTTTCGATGGAGTTGGGGCTGAGATGTCTTTCGAAGATGGCTATCACAACTGATAACTCGATATCCAAAGGCATAAATAGACATTTTTCGTAATATTTCAAAGAATGGAAATCACATAAAATTACCAGTCTCTGAAACTGGTGGCATTGAAACTTGGTTTCGTTGTCAGTCGTCGTGAGTTCTAGCTTGCGATGATTTGTGATACTCCTAGTCCATATTTCAAGTAAGCAAGAGTCTAGATATTCACCATACGTATTACTACAGATGGGATTGTTTCTACAGACTTGCTTTTGTAACAATGGAACAGTGAAAGTGAAGCATAATGCAGATGCAGGATGAACTATGGAGAAAATGCCAAGTCACTTGTACCAACTTTATCATTCATCGATCTCACATGAGCTGGTCCCGCATTTATACAACCCAGGTATCAGGGAATCAGAAAAATTGACCACTGGAATCATAAGAGACAAAAATAATAGGTCACTTCATGTTCCTTAGGCTATAGTTCTTTAACTACTTATTCTTATAACCCAAGACTTGGGAGGCCATTTCTTCTGCTACCCACTAGCCAGGTAAGCTTTCGCAGCTTGAAATAGAAGATACAAATTGATCAATCAAATAGTTTTGGCAAGGAAAGAAACCTGGCCTAGTCCCCAATTAACAAGCCTTGAGCAGCACCAGGATTAAACATCTCGACGCACGAAACGAACGTGAAAGTGGATGCAGCTCTTTAGTTCCTTGAAACTATATCAGCCGAGGCTCAATTGGCAAGGACAACTCGAAGCTGACAGATTAACAAACCAATCATGTATCAGCCTCGTAACAAAAGCTCCTCAGGAACTGCCGTTGAGCTAGGTTGGTGTCCAACAGGAGCTAAAGTTCCTTGAATTGGGTGCTGCACTAGCTAGGATTCAGAGGGATGGTATAACAGACTATCTATTAGCACTTAAATACGTCATGGAATTACACGCGAAGGAACATGCTATTGTGTGCTTCTTTGGTCAATGACTAAAGTACCGATAGTCTTAAGATCTGCAATAAACAGCCGAGACAAGACAAAAGACAGGCTCAGGTCCCAGGATTAAACTCATGGAAGACTAGTTCAAGCGGGGAAAAAGACAAAGAGACTTGGTGATGGTTCGTACATATTGATGGTATTATGACGTCCAAAAGTCTTCATTTATTACTCATTACCAGCCTCTTAATCAATTCAAGTTGGGAATTAGGTTTAGTAAAATCACGCATTGAACGAGTACTGAATGGTTAAATTGATCTCGATTTCCTCTTTGTTCAATTGACCTGGTTCTTGTTCTGCCTTCTTTCATTGTCACCGGCTTTACTATTCCCGGCATCACAAACAAAGATAAACTCAATGGCACCGTTAAAAGATCTAGGTTTGGGTCAAGTCCTCGCCCGAGCCCTCTCCTCATCAACACTCTCTCAACCACCAACTCTCGTCTCCCGCCAAACCGTCGAGACCGTCACCGTTACTGCAGACAATGGAAACAGCGCCCAAACTCTAAGCGGCGGAGCAATTGCTGGTATTGTCATTGGTTCCATCTTTGGAATTCTCCTCCTTCTCTGGATCATTCGCTCGTGCACCAACCTAGGTGCGCCGCCACAGGAGAGGGAGAAGTGGTATCACTACAAGGAAGAGCCTCGACATCATCACCGCTCGCGAAGTAGACGGTCGCATCGGTCGAGCATTTCTGCACCTCCTCCCATTGTTGTTAGGGACTCGAGATCGAGAAGTCATCGACGGGGAAGGTCGCCTGGATATCATGGACGGGATCGCAGTACGCGGTATTACGTCTAAGAGCTGGCAACAAACGTCTGCTGTACGGGGCTCTCAGGGCATCAGAAAAATTGGCCGCTAGAAGCATAAGGGACGAAATTAGCAGTTCATTTTATGCTCCTTAGACCATGGCTCTTAGCCTATTTATTTTTGTACCCTAAGACTTAGAAGGCCAACTTTTCTGCTACCCTCTAGGCATGGTATGATAAAGCAATAACGATTTATGACACGAAGGACGTCACGGTCGAAGGAGTGATATACACGAAACAAAAATAGTATTTACATATTTATCTACTGTCTTAAATCAGAGACTTCTTATCTTCTAAGGTTTGTGGCTCTTCATATCGTCCTCAAGATTAGACGTGCATGTCGTCTCAGCCATAGACGCACCCTCCAAAGTAGCGCCGTCCATGCTAATCTCAATAAGAGGGCCCTTGTAGTTCTTCCTTCCATCAAAGATCCATGTACCGACGGAAAGGAACAGAATAACTCCAAAGGCAGCGATACAGTAGTTCATGTTGGTTGGGGTGACGGGAAGCTCGGGTGGAAAGACAAAAAGAACTGTTGTGAGGATGGCCCACGCAATACCAACAAGACTGCAAATCCAGCGCACAGGAGTGCTCAGTTTGAAGGGTCGGTCTTCGGGGAGTCTGTTGCCTCCACGGAGGAGATGAATTGCAGGGGGGATGGCATAGGTGACACCAAGAGCCACAACTGATGCTGCAGTGATGGCGTTGAAGGCGCTGGAGCTTCCGAGGAGGATAAGTCCAAAGACAATTACCCAAGCAGTTGTCCAAAGTAACGCGTTCAAAGGCACCTCGAGAGTGGGATGGACCTTGGCCCAGACGTGGCTGAAAGGAAGTCCGCGGTCGCGGCTGAACGAGTATGTCATACGCGCACTGGTGGTCATGATAGCAGTGGCAGTGAATACCATACAGACGATGGAAAAGACGATAAGACAAACGCTTCCAGCTTTACTGCCTGTAGCATCAAAGTACATCTGCAGCAGGGCACCTGAAGGGGACTCGATAACGACTTGGACATCCTTGAGAACAAACAAGAGGCATGACAGGAAAATGAAACCAGACAGCATGCCGATAAGGATACACCAGATCATAATACGAGGGCCTTCGACGCGTGCATTTGGAATTTCCTCAATCATATGAGCCGCAGCGTCGAAGCCAGTCAATGCAAAGGCGCCCTGGAGAAGTCCAAGCATCCAAGCCACTCCATCAGGCCACCCAACCTCGTTGATGAACTTTCCATATACGAAGGAGCCGCTTTGGTAATCGGGAGCGGCACAGGCGAGGACAGTAATGCTAATAATGATAAAACCAGAGATACTCCAGAGAAAAGCGGCTTTGTTGAAGAGAGGGAGTAGTCGTGTGGCAAAGGCGTTGATGACCAAAGCGATGAGAGTGAAGGCGAGATAGATAAGAAACTGGTGCCAGGGCTTGGTTTCGTACGTAGGATGCATAAAAGTGATGGCGTCGGTGACAAAAACACTTCCAAGCAAAGGTGCAGTCGCTGTCAAGACGACATAACCAGCCGCGTTGATCCAGCCGGTGACATAGCTGATACCCCTCGACCATCGTGGCCAAGCTAGAAGGGCAGCCCAGTGGTACTGGCCACCAGCAGTTGGGTAGGCAGACAACATCTCCGCCAGAGGAGCAGCTAAGCAGAGGTTACATATTCCGGCAACCATAAGACCCCAAATGACAGAGCTGGGACCACCGGAGGGAAGGGCCAGACTGATAGACGCTGAGAGAGCAGTCCATGTGTTGAGAATAGCAAAAGCGAGACCGAGGAGGGAGATTTTGGAAAAGTTGCGCTTGAGTTCTTGCTTATGGCCGAGCTGTTCCAAAGCAGCTGAGTCGTCGATGTGGACGTTTTTGTCCCGTGGTGCTTGGGACTCCATGATGAAGAGTATATGATGATAAGAAGTTTGAAGAGAGGAATTGGGGGAATATGGGGAAGAGGGTTCGGTTATTTAAATGTTAGCTGGCAGCCAGCCGTTAACGGAGGATCACACCCATTACTAGTCTAGACTATCTATTCAGACACGACGATCTGTGAGATTACAGTAAACTTGTGCTATCCAAGTCCAGGTGCAAGTCTTGAGTAAGGCGCACTTGTTGGAGGAGTATGACGATCCACACTCATAGTCTCATTGAGAGAGTTACACCATGACAGATTAGGATGATCAACGGAATGACGTTGTGGGGATTCGTTTTTTTTTTTGCCCCGGGCCGGGGAAGAGCCTATCTCTTTTTGTTCTAGAATTGTTTCTTGGTGACATTTTCTTTTTTGTTGCTTGGAATTGGAACGAATTGTTCTTGTTGTCTACCCGCCACTGTCCTCATATTGACATGGCATACACTCATCTAGGCAGTTATCAATGCCTCCATAGTACCAACATACTCAACCTCTTTTATTTGTTTCAGGGTCCAAAGATTGATAGAGCATCTCTTATCATTTCCCCATAACTAGGGATCCATCCAAGTGTCAAGGTTTGGAGCCGACAATTGAACCAAGCTAGACACTCTCCGGCATCAGCGGGCTTTATTGCAAACATGATCCAAAACCCTTCTCTAAAGCATTCTTCTTTAAGAATAGTTTACTCGAATCATGGCCAGATTAACGTGTCTCTATTTCTAGGCAGACACACTATTTGGAAGTGATCGGCTACGCAGCTAGAGACTTGACCATTACCCCAACATTGGCTTCAATTAATAGACTCCAAACGTCTATCGCCAAACTGCCCTGAGCTTAGTTTTATGTGTCTGACTTGTGGATATTGACAAGATAACATTACTGTATGGTGAAATATTGAATGCCTATCAGTAGAATGTATTGACTTGCGGCTCTTTGTCCTTTTACTGGCCCGTGCTAACCCCGTCTCAAGATCCGACTTAACCGTGTTGACCGGTCGAACCGGCTCCTCTACCAGCTACAGCTCTTCACTATTACTGCTGTTCTCGTAGTATCAAGACCGGCATTGACCGGCTACAGTTGAAGGGGTACGCATGCCATGTGGAATTAATAGAGGGTCCCTTTCCTTTATTGACTTTTTCTCCAATTAACCCCGTGTTGATAGTCTGGAGAAAGAATTTTTCATTACGTGAAGAGATCATCAAGATATCCAGTTTATTCAGTTTGGCAGGAAACTCCGCGATATGCCCCGCGACCTTGACGGGTTTCCCCAAGTTTGTTCTTTTATTTCTGTGGATTTATTAAGTAATAGTTATTCAGCTCTTGGGTTCTTGACTTGTGCAGGTTGGAGATGCGCCCGTTAGAGATTGGCGATTGGGGATATTGTCGTTGCAGATCCAGTTGCCCGACAAGTTTACCGTCTCCGAGGTAAATTGTTCAATAACCAAGGTTGAGTTCAATGGTTCGACAATTAAACACACGTCTCCGATGAAGAGACGTTGATTTAGCGGATGTCTTTGAATAAGATCCTGACACTGCAAAATAAATCTTCGGCTTCTTCCAGTGTTGTTACAAAACAGGTTGGGTTCTGGCTTTGTGACCGCAAACAGCTCAAAGTGAACCAATTGTATTTAAATCACAAAATACTGACATCAAGCCATTCTCTAAATTCGGACGTAATTTTTGAGGCTCTGCTGTCGTTCGTCTGAATAAATCGCCAAGGACTGCCAAGACGGGTGGCTCCAGGGTAGTGGCGATCCAGAAAGCTCTGATGAAAACATGGAGCCGACTGTCACTGGAGATTATGGAGAATCCCATTTATCAAGTTACACAGACCGTTATTGAGTAACAAAAAGTAAAAATAAGTTTAATCTCAAAATTGATGCATAAAATATGCGTTGAATCCTTGTTGAAGTCTCTGCATGTCAGTATCCAGCAACCAGGGAAGCACCACAATAACAATCATCCACTGAACTAAAACGAACTAAGACGATAAATCCAACAGACGAATCAAAAATCTCTCTGCTTTTCGCTACGCAACATGTTTTAGTCCCTTCGTCTTACTAATTCTCAAGTATATAAATTCTAGCTCGAGCTCTCTTCATCATCCAATCATCAGGAAAACCTTGGTACTGTGGTCTAGTTGGTTATGACATCTCGTTAACACCGAGAAGGTCCCCGGTTCGAGCCCGGGCAGAACCTCATTTTTTTGCATCTTGCGATGGTTGCGTGTCTTTTGCCTGTGGGTCAATAAGTGGTGTACTTAAGCTATTACGAGCAGGCTTCTAACATCTAAAAACCCCGGTCTTGTGGCCTAGTTGGTTATGGCATCTCCTTTACACGGAGAAGGTCCCCGGTTCGAGCCCGGGCGGGATCATTCTTTTGCTGTCTTCAGCAATGCTTACTTTTTTTTATCTCTTCCAGGTTTTTTTCATCACCAACCATCAGGGAACAAACCCTATTGGCAGCCTTTTAGCGGAGGGTTGTAGGCAAGATAAAACAGAATCACTATTTGTATTCAACCTATAACCCTAGTTACTCCCATCCATCAATACTTCCATCTAATGAGTTCGGTTCATGTAGTAGTTGTAGTTATCTTCAGCCATCTTGAGAGCCCTAGCGCTGGCCTCATCTACATTCTCCTCAGGTAGTCCCAGGACCTTATTAGCAAGCCCATGCTTAGCCTCAAAGTTACCATCACCATTGGGAAAGAATGTTCGCGAGTACATGGCGAGCGCCCAACCAGAACGGTCACCGCTCTTCACCATGTCAATACCACGCTGCCATCGCTCCTTGGCACCCTCATACTGAATTATCCAATCCTTGTCTGTGGTACCAGTCACGCGTTGGAGACTGTCAAGCATCTGTCGCTGAGAGAGGAGGAAACTCGAGATGTAGAGAGGCTTGTTTCGCCATTGGGAAATGGTGGGGGACTTGTCGTTCTCATCATCGGGAATCACCTTGAGATTGAGAAGGGAAGCAAACGCTCGACCGCACTGGTCCCAGGTTGAGGTGTTGATCTGGGTGTTTCCGTCGTCGTAGAACGTGACTTTCTTCTGGCCATTGCTAAAGTCGAACCCATACCATTGAGGACCCTGACAGACAGAGAACTCATACCAGAAAGAGCAGCACATGGCGATCCAGGACGAAACACCTGCCTCTTCAATGGCGTTGATGCCGGGGTAGACGCCCTCACCAGTCATGTTCTCATCAGCGAGAGACTTGTTGGTGATGTCGATACCGTAGACATTGGGCATGATCCAAGGTACACCCGCAGTAGAAGCAGCGCGGACGATTCGCTCTTGGGTACCGGGAGCAGCTTGGACGGAAAGGGAGATGGCGAGGAATTGCTGGCCCTTGAGAGCTTCGACAAGGGAGCTCTCATCTTCATAGTCGACTGTAACGACACGGGCACCTTCGGGAGCAGTGTTGGTGCTTCCCTTGCGAGTGATTGCAGTGACTGTGTGATTTCCGGCTTGAATGATGTGCTTGGCCAGATACTTGCCAACACTTCCGCCGGCCTATATTGTGTTAGTGAGTGGATGATGGGAGAGGAGTTGGAGAGCTTACACCAATGATGGCGACTCGTTCAAGTTTATTGACAAAGCCCTCGGGCTGATCTTTGGCATACTGCTGAGACATTTTGATAGAGATTTTATGAAGATTGAAGTAAAAGAGTATTGGACTTGTTATTGTTGTGAAGTGATGAGTGATGGATGATATTGAACTCTTCAACCACCGTCCTCGTCCAGATTTTTATACTTCAATTTCCCAACTCTGAACTGAGTACTAAACCCATTATTAACTCCGAAAAATCATTAATTCCTTTTATCTTCATAGTACTTCATTGTCAATGATGCTATCGCGGACTTAGCAATTGACTTGAGCGGGATAGCGATTACCACATTGGGTAAGTGGACCCCCGGTGCTGTGGATCATCTCTCGTCCATCCAATCATATACCTCTCAATACGAAAACCAGTAACTCTCTCAACTCTGTGAAACACAATAGACTCGACCTTAAATCCGTCGATATCTCGACCGAGAAAAGAGCGAGACCGAACCAATCCTGATTCCCGCTCATCGCACTTTGGGGGTTTCTTTAAACCGTGTTATATCGTTGTACGTTGATGATCTGATGACCGGCATCAAACTGCCGAATAACTTGGTTGTTGTCCAAGGTTCTAACCTCCAAGCTACTGATGCGTATCATTATCAACTCAATCCAAGCTATAGATATCATGGCCGAAGCATCGCATAGGCTTGAGTATGTGTGGCTGAGGCATGGCTTACTTTGATCAAATCCATTTTATCAATTCAATGATGTTAATGCATCTATCGAAGAGCAAAATACTTGTCACGCACTACAGACCTGGCGAGAGGTTAAAACTGCAGTGAAAGTCCCAAAATGGTGTTGCCCGTGAACCGCCGATGTTATTCTTAACCACGGTTCTATGCAGTGAAAGATTTAAGTCATGAATCCCGTTTCATTTAACTATACTCTTAGGAACCTAGCTTTGTCTAGCAGGATCCAGCTCAACCTTGTTCTTCGTAATCGCATCAATCTCAGCCATAATCTCAGGCGTCAACTTATCCAACACCTTGAGCGAAGCAACAGTATCCTCCAACTGCTCAGGCCTACTAGCACCAGTAATAACACTGGTAACATTGGGGTTCTTCAAACACCATGCGATAGCAAGCTGGGCCTGGCTGATACCCAACTTGTCCGCGATGGGCTTCAACTGGCGAACTTTCTCAATCTCGGTCTTCCAGTCGTCGGTGCCGATCTGGCCGCGCATAAAATCTGCGAAACTGTCCTTGCTGGCGCCGAAGCGCGAGTCCTTTGGTGGTTGACCGTCGACAATGTCGTTGTACTTTCCGCTGAGGACACCCATTTTGAGTGGGGAGAATGAGGTGATGCCTAGACCGACACGTTCGTAGAGGCGCTGGAATTGGCCTTCTACTCTGTCTCTGACTAGCATGTTGTAAAATGGCTGCTCCACAACTGGTCCAATCATGCGGAGGTCGCGGGCGATGCCAACCTGTTGCTGTTAGAGTCTAGTCACATAGACACAGAGAATATTGAGGATGACTTACAGCTTCAGCAATCTCATCGGCGGACCACTCTGAAGTTCCCCAGTAAAAGGCCTGACCAGTCAGCGTCCCGATCATCAACCAGCGCTTTCTCGACTTACCTTGCCGTTATCAATTAGGTAGTTAAAGGCACGAACAGTCTCCTCCATGGGAGTAAGTCTGTCTGGCCTGTGAGCGTAGACAATGTCAACGTATGGCAGCTGAAGACGCTCCAGCGAAGCTTCCAATCCCTCAATGATGTGCTTCCTTGAGAGGCCGTGGTTGTTGACAAGAATCTCTCCATTGACGGCACCCCAGTTGATCTCTTCGAAAACTGTCAGCATTGAAACCTAGAAGTCGGAGAGAACATAACTTACTTGTGCTGATGACAAGATCACTTCGCTTCCAGCCAAAATGCTTAATAGCCTTTCCCATAACAACCTCAGCCTGACCAGCAGTGTAGTTCTCCGCCGAATCAAAGAAGTTGATTCCCAGATCATAAGCCTTCTTCATGCAAGCAAACGCCTGTTCATCCTCAGAGTAACCGCCGTAGGTCAACCAGCTACCCAGACCAATGGCGCTCACATGGAGTCCAGAGCGCCCGAGGCGGCGGTAGACCATGCCAGTATCTCTAGGTTCAGCCCAAGCCATTGTGATGAATTTTTATGATGATGTGTGTTTTGTGTTACTCTGTTTGAAGCTGAATCAGTATAGGAAGTAGAGCGAGTTGCGGAGTAATTCTCGGAGAAGAGCACAGAGTGGAGATGGACTTACACTGAACAAGCTAATGTTGTCTGGATGGATACCAACAGTTCGCCGATTCTTTTGCGAAGAAATTGAGCAATTATAAGAACAAGACTATTGCGATAATAGTAAACTTGACTCATACGGCAAGCGTAATATTGAATCCAAGACAGATATCCTGACTCTTTGCCGTGCTGACCATGCTTCTGCAGTTGACTTGCAGCGGGGAATTAACATGACAGGGGTCTAACGATGGCGCAATGTGGTCCCTGTATTCCACCATTAGTCCATTGTTCCCCTCATCTTTAGAGCACCAAGAGCACATACCAAACCAGAGTCGGCTGTCCTAAGAACTAGGGCCAAAATTATGATGAACATGGCCTAAATCGCTCTCCGACACAGAGTTCTTAGGAAAACTTAGGTACGCGTCTCGATTATTTGCCGCACTGTTTGCTGCTGATCCTGCTCTCCAACATCGCGGGGCATCGACTCTAGTAACATGCGAGTAAGCGGCGAAGGGGATCTGACGAGATAGCCGAGGTCCAACGGCGGCCAACAAATCTGAGAAGGTTGGTCCTCCATAAACTGGTATGTCGGCATCGTGAGGTTTGGTTGCGAAGTCAAGAGCTCGGCTGTGTTTGGGAACGAGGTTTGCGGGTTTGTCTCAAAGGCAACTGCTTCGCCTTCTGGTACCTCGACAAGGCGGCCCGCGTTGAAGATTGCGTCCATTCGTATCGTGAGAAGCGAAAGTAGCGTCCGATTTCCGCCTCGACAAGATGATAGTATGTCGCGTAGTTGATGTAGAACTGGACCGGATCGGTGATCTGTTATTGAGTGGTCGCTTGCCATGGCATCAATTACCGCTGTGGCAATCTCGAATGTTTTAAACTCCTGTTAAGTTGGTTAGCTAGTACTTGCATTCTTGGTGTTGATTATTTACCAGCGTAGGTCCGTGAGACTCAAGCGCAGTCTTGGGAAGTTCAGAAACCAAGCTTAGAAAGTCTTTGGCTATATCCACTGGGTTCATACTCGGAGTGACGATCCCAAAGCGAAGCGCAGCACGCCATAGCACAGCGCGCATCCACTGCCTAGTGACAAACATGTCTGCGCGCTGTACCTCGTTGATTGGGCCCCAATCATCATTGTCGGCCGAGTCAACGAGTTTCTGCTGCAGTAGTTCGAGGCAGTTTTGTGCGACGGAAACCATGTTGGGTAGATCCGAGTCCGAGTCAAAGTTGTGAAGTAGTTCAAAGATGCCGCTTTGGTCAAATACCCAGAATAGATGAACCAGCTTGAGGAAAGCCGGGAGAACTTCTGCGCGGTCATCTGCTCCTCCGAACCAGGGAAATAGGATGTTTGGTTTGAGGACTATGGGTAACTTGTGAAGAAGTGCGACGCCCCTGTGCATGCGTTAGTGACAATGAAACTCGGTTGTGTTCAGGAATTCATACCTCTCTGTGACGAACAAAAGCCAAAGAATACGTCGCGAAACATGTTGGTCGGCTTCAGACAAAGAAGCATAGGTAGATTCGCGATCGAGCCTCAGGATCTGCGCTTGCGTAATTGCCTCGCGTAGGTAGATGAGAGACTTGGTTCCACCAGGAGAAGCATTTTCGTGATAAATATGTAGGAAGAAGGAGATTCGCAAGGCATCCAATGGACCGAGTGCCTCGCTTAGTCGCGTTTCGGCGTCCTCCACTCTGGGCTGCCACGCAGTATCGAGCTTGAGCTGAGCAATGGCAGCGAGAGCTACAGCGTTGGCAAGGAACCGAGCTGCACCTCCATGGGTGGGATGCTTCTGGATCTTGTTCCTTAGATCGGTTGCATCGACGATGGGCCAGATAGGGTAGAGTCTTTCAGAGTAGACATCGAGTATCTCAAGCAAGCTAGCTACCTCATCAATAGGGGATGGAGACCTCTTGGCAGCTACAATAGGCTGTTCATTGTCTGGACTAGAAGTACTGTTTTTTCGTCTCCGCTCAATCTTGTCCAGAGTCCTGGGTCGAAGTCCCCTCGGACCTCTGGTTCCTTGCATACGGATAAAGGTACATTCTATGCCTGATGCCTCGCATGCAGTACAGGGGGGAGTCTCTGAGCAGCGGATCTTACGGACCTTGCATGAGTCGCAAGCCCTTCTTGCGAGTTTCTGACGCGATGCTGCTGGAGCATTTCTCGGAGGGTTTGGGGACGAGTTTGAAGGTGGGGTCATGGCTTCAAAGAGTTACGAGACAAAGAGAGACAGTGCCTAGCCAAGAGTTGCAGTTGCAGGTAAATAGGTAATTAGGGATAGAAAACCCAGCAAATGAGAAGAGTTCCCCTATAGTGAATTGTGAATATTTCTTGGGCTGTGTTTTTCAAGGATGGCGTGCTCGTAGCTTGGGATCTCGTCTTGAAAGACCCCTGTCTTCCCCGGATTTTGTTTCTCACTAGACCTCGGCATATGGACCCTTGGCGTGGGCTAGGATCGGCGTCAACTATAATGGGTGTCTACAGAGGGTGGCATCTAATTTTGAACGTCATGTTCAACTGTTTATCGTTGTTCCAGTAGACAACAGGTAGTAATACTGTAATAGACTATTGTACTGGCAACCCAGAGTCCCCTATACTAGTGACTGGCCCACTGATGACCACTGACACTCACCCCAGGCAACATAGACTACTGCCTATGGCACTTCAATACTAGTTTCATCTCGTTTGCTACTGCTACCAGCTGGCAACTCTTCTGTCACTCTGAGGGCTTGGCAGTGCTAGGGCAAAAAGGTATCCCACCACTGGTCAGAAAAATCTCCCCTCGCACAAACGAATATGTTTCTTTCCATCGAATTCCACTCTCCTCATCTTTCTACCTACAGTGGAAAATCAACAACACATATTTTCCATCACAAGGTAAACAGAAATCGTCTTCTGCATCTCGCAAAAGACATGACCATCACTGGTTCTCCCTCTCTTCAAGTCACTGCCCCCACGGCTGTGAAGCGCCGGAGAGGTGTCGAATCGTGGTGGCTCTCATCCCTTCCCGCGTCTTCGGACAACACCTACCGGAACCTGTGACAAACGTTACGGGCTTTACGACGCCTGACGGAAAACATCGTGACTTATCACCGCGGTGGTACCTACATTACCGGAACTATCTACCACCGCGGTGGCGGGTACAGCACTGGAGACAAGCCGAAACGTGAGTACAAAAAGTTCGAAATATTATCCTGCTTAACAGAAGAGCTGACATGATCTCGCAGCGACACGGTATTGAGCCTGTAAGTTCTTATGCCAAATCATCAGGGTTATCAGGCATGGGACTACTAGCCCGACGTTCCAAGGGCCTCACAACCAGTCGAAGATGAAGCGTTCGGTCGAGAACGCGGAACATGTCGGTATGTGCCTTCTTCTATTCGCATGCTTGCACAGTCAGTATCTGTAAACTAACAATCTATTTACAGGACTGTTCACTCCACTGCTGGACTCCCGGACGACTTTCTCCACTTCGATCAACAACACTCTGGTATGTTATTCTCTCTTCTTATCCCGCCTCTGTATCTCCTCGGTCCTCCCTGTTCGGAGCTGACTTGAAGAAGATGCCAAGTTCAACACGGATCCTCCCCGGAATCCTGTCGAAGCAGAACTACCGCTTCAGCGACATGGCGTCAATTTTTATCACGAACATGAAAGAAAGGGCCAAAATGGCCGGTAACGAGGTGAGCATAAATTGCTCTTGACAAGGCGAGCATAAAATGCTCTTGCCGACAACCCCTGCGAAGCTCAATAGCAGCTTCACCGACGCATTTACCACGTACATGGTAGAGATGGAGAGGATGAATGCGATATCCTCACCGCTCAAAACCAGTTTCTCGTCAAACAGGACTGGCAGTTAGTACAGTATGACGCTGGAAAACTTCCTTCATTGTTATGCCACTACACCATACCGGACAAGTGCTTCCTTTGCATTATTTAATCGACATTGCTGGCGGGTTACCGCTACAATGTTTCTGTCGCCTACGGCACAGTTGCATCAAGGACCATTTGCAAGACACTCGATCACGAGTATTCGCCCATTATGGCGTAAGTACTTCTTTCTATAGTCTCTGAATCCCACATGCTAACTGTATAGTGACCACCATGATCCCGACAAACAACACTTGTTCAAGTCGGAGAGCACTGGTAACAACGTGAAACAGGGCCTAGCTCTACACGCCCTGACACCTGGGCTATGCTAGCAGGCCCCTAGTGTGAGGCCCTCCTTGTCGATTGGGATACTCTTCGCACCTGGCCTAAGCTTTTGAAGGCATGCCAAGATGAAGGGTGTTCACCTTTGCTCCACGACGTCAGAACGAACCCTAGGTCGACGTTGGAGTTGGTAATTGTCCAGAAGTAGTAGACCCAGCCACGAATGGACTGCTTGCGGGAATCCTGTCGAAGCTGAACCTCAGCTCTGTCTGGCGCTTCAGCTTCCATTGCCTCCCTTGACGCCAATACCGTGCAAGTGATGTCTTGAGCAAAGAGGAAGCTGGCGCTCTACAACCAGCAGCCAGTGATCGCATATGAATCACTTGCTCAAATGCCTTGCGGAGCCCAGTAGAAAGGCTGCTCGGCCGTCTGTTGAGGGACCTTGATACCTTTTTCATGGAAGAACACCAAGAAACGTGAACAGCCAACGGAATGCCCTAGCTATGTCGCAGCCGGTATACCCGTCGATGGACCTGCCTTTGATAGCAGCTAGACTTGTGTTGAAAGCCGACTACGACAATGATAACGGCACAATACACAAGTTCCTTGTCACTGACAAGGAACTTGTTCATCTCGCACATGAGGGAGCCGACATTGTCATCCCCATGTCTCCCCGAGGGTGTAATGGAATCCTACCAAGGAACTTCAGACGCCCGTTTGACATTTATTGGCGCGGCGTTGGTGGTAGCCCCAAGATAACAAGGTTGTGGAGGAAGGATGCCCTGGGGAATCTAGAAAGGGAGAAGCCGACTGCCCTAGCGGCGTATCCGCAGTCAGTTCGACCGCGGTACCCGTCTGGCTGCCCTTGAGGAAGCCAACTATGAGCATTGTGCTCAGTCGCCAATCACGCTACTAAGCGTTGGATCCTACAGCTATCTTGATATTTTCTCAAGTCAAAGGTACGACAGTTCAAGACCGCAAGGAGGAATATTGCTAACAGTTCACATATACAGGTGACGGACATGCCTATTTGGGTTATGATTGTGCAGCAGCAAGTATACGAAACCTCCAAGACACGAATAAAAACCAAAACGAACAGTTCTAACAGATGGCTCGCGAAACAAATCCGGAAGAAGATGCAGACGCACTCAAGATCAATGCACATATCAATCAGCAGACCAGAAGACTATGTCTTCCCACCCCGACGGTGTGATGGACTCCTACAAAGGAGCTCCTGACACTCGTCTTACGCGAGAGGCATAAAAAAACGCCATGGGTAGTCAAGACTTTCGACACATATCAGCGCTGTCATGGCTTCGCGCCCGGCAAGCCACAAGACTATGTTGTCGCCTCCCGACGGTGTGATGGAATCCTACCAAGGAACCTGACACTCGTCTTATATGGGGGGGTTCGGTCGCCTGCAACCATCGGTCGCCTAACCAGTGAATCAGCACTCAGTGGAAGTCTGCAAGATCGGGTACTGGAGGGATGCGCCTTGATAGGCGCGTTTTTGACTCAGATGCATTTGGCACTATCATTGGAATTGAGTTCACCATGCAAGGTGACTACGATGATGAAGAACCTCTGATCGTCACCATGCGGCCCAAGAAGATTCGTGGCGGTTATTGGATCATCGGCTTTGAAGACCATCATTGTGATCAGAAATGCGAGATCTATCTGTATGCAAACTTTTGCAGAAAGTGATCGGGGCACAAGCGACGTCGACATGTACGCTCTCTGGACCTTTTTTTCCCTGTTGGCGAACTGCATACGCTTGCGTCGATAAGTTCTGGAATTCTTTCTTCAGAACAGAAATAACCAGCGGTTTTCATGTATAACATGCGCCTGCACCACAAGCGGGCAATTGTTTTTCGAGTCTAGAACTGGGATAACTAGTGGTTTCCCCCTGCCACAAGTTCTACCAGAACATCGACGGAGACAGAAGAAGTCGTGCCCCAGCCCAGCGCCTGTACAACAAGCGGGCAATTCTTTCAATGAATTTCACGAAGAAAAAGACATGGACGGGTGCACCACAAAGGTCTATGCGCAACGACGTCGATCGAAATGCTTGACTATGTTGTCGCTGGAGCGGGAGCGGGAGCTGGAACTGCACTATAGATAGCAGGTCGATTGCTATCGTGGAGTGAGCTTTCTCGGCTCGAGACAGCTTGAAGTCTCGATCGAAATCCTTGACTGTATTCTGGCGGGCATGACTGTTCGAGTGTCATTTCAACCCTCAAGTCTTTTATTGGCTGGTCAACGCAAGTTTACGCTGTGCGATCTCATCGACATCCTTGACTATGCCACCGCTATGTCGAAGAGATTGTGCAGCGTAAACTTGCGGCTTTGGATCACTAATGGTCCTGGTGGGAGGTGACCTACATCATTCCATTTGCCTGGAACAAGATGAACTCGTCAATATTTCAGACTGACCACGATCAAGCAAAGTCTGTGAAGCGCCGGAGAGATATTGAGTTACTGGTGGCGAGACAGAGCCCGCGCCTTCACAGCGAATCTGGCAGGGCCAGAGACGGTGTCATGGATTCCTACCAAGGAACCTGACACTTGTCTGACCATGTTCTCCCCAGGTGAGAGTTCGTTTGATGATTGTCATACACGTTCACCGAACCCTCAACTGGGAAGAACATGGTAAATCAGGATGCATTCAACCGTACGATCAATCATCCAGTACAACTTTGCTAGCGAAGACACCCAAGAGGATCCGGTAGATGACGATAGACGAGGATTGCGAGCCACAGCTCCTCCAAGTCAATGGAAGGACATATCCAATGGAAATTCAGCATCTCACGCGGAACAAGAGCCAGGCCGTGGCGGCCGCCACTCTAATCCACGCACGAGCTCCTAGATACAATGCTGGCCCTTCCTTTGTGAACTACGGCAACATGGGTCATCGTCGCGGCCACCGCTTCTTCCAGCGTGGAATCACCTCAACCGGGTCATCAGTGAACCACAGATGAGACTCTTTTGCCTCAGGTAAGGGCTCCGGCCCTTCTGCCCTCCAACCCAGGCCGGCCGCCACACTCATTCATTCACGAGGACACGGCTCCCTGTTGAAAGTGTGTCTTTGGTCGAGATGAAAAGAATATGGTTAATCTTTTGCCGTACCCATACTTCGGATGATATTCCCTGGTTAAACTTTGTGGAATGGACAATAGCGTCAACAGAATCTGGCACGGTTCACAAAAGAAGCCCCAGCACTCACGAGCCCCTAGCTACAGTTCTGAGATTTCTTTTGTGAGCTACGGCAATATGAGCCATCGTCGCGGCCCTAGCCTAGGAGACACTTTGCGTGTGGTATTCAGCCTGCCTTTCTGCCCCCCTATCCCGACCGTCACGAGCCCTTAGCTACATTAGGGACCTTGCTCCTGCGTCTCACTAAGACAGCCCTACCTCGACCCGTTGTCCCGTTGCGTCTCATTATAGTGGTTAGTCGAACTTTAAGCGTTCTGGCCTTCATTTTGTTTCTGGTGGTGGTGGTGGTGTCTCACCCGATCCATTGGAAGTTAATGCGGCTATCCCGACTGGAGCTATGCCCCCTCACGATGTCTACGAGGGAGTCATGACCACTGATCCCACTCAGCGATTCGGGAACGATCCTTTCGTCGACGTCGAAGCCTACTGGTGCTTCAAACCCAAAGACGGAGACCGTAAACAACAACCTCAATATCAAATTCTATTGATTGCCTGACGCATTGGAGAATGACATAGGTCATCTACAGAAAGTGCCCAGGCATCATGAAGCGACTGGGAGCTTTCAGACTCAACACCAGCGAAAACAGGTTATTTCGTGATGAGTTCGACTGAGTATCTGCAATCAGGAGGAGGGCGATGCAATGATTTTGGAAAGTTCATCGAGATCTTAATGTCTCTTCACTATTTCAATCGACATGGAGACCTTTTCCTTCTCGCGAAATGTCTTGCCTATGTAATGAAAAACTCCCGGTGCGAACGACTTGAAGACATCGACAAAGGTAGCCCCAGTATCAAAACGCCAACGCGGAGGCTTCCGTGGTATTGTTCAATTCTGCAAGGCTCTAAATGCCACCTGGCCTTTCAGAACACCCGCCAGATCGCTGCAGAGGTGAGCATCATTACTTTCCGTTCGTAAATCCAGTCATCTCATGATATCTAACTCAAATAGGGTCTTGTCATCTATCTCCCATACAGTCTCATTAAGTCTTTTCCCCTCTGTGTGCGAGCTAGCACTTGGACAGTTGTCTACCATTCGTGGGAGTGGGTCATGCAACAGATATCTCCAATGTGATATCGCTGTTTGGCGACACATGTGACGGGTGGTGGAAAAAATGAATTATACTGCCTTCAACACGGCCAACCCCAAAGCAACAACAACATCGTAGATTTCTACGATTTGGGACGTGTCCAACGTGGACCGCCCCAACCTCAGCGCAACAACATGTTCGTGGGGCTGCCATCTGTCTATTGAATAAGAGGAGGCGTCGGTGGGCGGCGAAGACGGACTCTGCAACCTCCACGTGGTGCCGCCTGGAAACATGGCTATTCCAGAGCCAGTGCAGAGACGCGAAGACTCGGTGGACTACGCCTCAATGATGATGACAATTGCCAAACTCAGGAGTTTGTTGCCCTGCCGGAAGCAAAACGGGATTGGAAGACGATTTCCGACGAACACTTGGGCCAGATGGCATGCGAAGCGCTCATCGCGATGACCCAGGCACCACCGAACTCACTGACCGCGTACTGGGGATGCCTGTGCTACAGAAGCTTGGCTTCGGCTTCGTTGCCAGCAGACGAGTGGAGCGGAACCCTCAGCCCCCAAGCGAGCACGCTGGCGACGACGATGACTCCGGCAGCTCCTACCATTCCGACGATCGGCTCGAGTTTTACGACCAGGAACCGACTGTGGAGAGGTACTATGGGCGATTCAGTATCTAATTATGCGATATCCTACCCGACCAACTCACGGAACTCGTTACTGCCGTCCTCTAGGCATTTGACTTGCCCAACACTTTGGCCACGTTTTACAGGAGACTTTGAGGGTTCTAAGGTGAGTGCCTTCTCCATTCTACTTGCATCTTATGGACTGTTCTGTACAAGGCAATCCTCAAGGCTCGAGTGGTCAATCTTTTCGCAATGACACAGCCCCTAACAAGTAATAGGTGGAAGAACCCTCAGGGTATCAGAAATTTGACCGCTGGAAGCATAAGAGATGAAATTATCAAGTCAGCTTATGCATACTATAGTTCTTGGGCTATTTAATTTTGTACCCGAAGACTTAGGAGTGCAGCTTTTCTGCTACCCAGTAGGAGCCCTAAACAGCATCAGCCCCGACCATATTACAAATTTCGATCGGGAATACAAGATGACACAGGAGCTGGCAGTGACCATTACCAGCTACCCAGCGAAAGCCCCATACTTACAGGCTGGCTGCTACAAGCCTAGAGATAAAGACGGCGAAAAAGGTCTGCGGCGAAAATTGGGGCAGAGGGTTAGAAGATGCCTATGCCAACGCCAAGCAGTCAAACAGTGCGCTGTCTGTTCAAGCAACTTGAAAGAGATATGCGTCAACGAAGTTCGCGTGCCACCGCTTCTTCATTCAAGCCCAACAAGGGTAAGTCGGCTGCTGCTCTACTTCCTGAGGGGGGACTTGCCATCGCTGCATTGGCTCGAATTCAGCATTGAAAAGGCTGTGATATCGAGAACGAAGGACTCGACTGCGAATGCCCGGTTCCATCTTGCCACTATCAAAGATATCACTCTTGAAGAAATGGTCAATGTTCTTGTGCAAATGTCATCTGGGCACTCGAAACATGAGAACATCTTCGCAGAGCACCCTGATTTGGGTGATGCCGACTAACCTTGGAACATGGTGTACATGAACAGACAACTTCACTTTGGGCGTTGCACGGGCACCCGACCCACTCGACAAAATCCGGGGGTCTCCACCCTTCTGAGGCGGCTGATACCACGAAGCAGCTTCACCTGGGTCAATCTTATCTTGCAACTCAAAGATTAGTGAGGCCCTGTGTTTTTTTTCGCAAGGACCACAGAAACGGAAGAAGCAGTGAAGAGCGATATCTCGTGTACTGACTTCCTGATGAAAGTGGCAGTCAACTTCCATGACGCTATCCGCAAGTCCCTGAAGACCCGGCTACCTTCGTACATCAGGTATGTCCACAGGGGTTTGGGAGTTGTGAACTCGGTAATGATCCCTCCACTGGTTCACCAACGGACACCTTGTTACGACTTTTACTTCCTCTATTTGACCGAGTTTGAAGAGCTTTCCAACATCAACATGTGAAGCGGTCTCACTGCCTTTGCTTTGCAAGTTCACCAGGTGCCTGGTGAAACAACTTGCCGCTGGCATTTTTACTTCGAGCTTACTATAAGTTTTAAGTTCCGTGACACCCAAGGAAAAGAGGTCAACATAATTGGTCTCGCTTTATCGATGGAACGGGAAGGCTGGCGAGATGGGGACCTGACAGTTCGCTTCGTCATTAAGGAGCGTCTTTTCTTCCAACCATTGGCCCCTGAGCGGTAGTTGCCCACCACTCTGTGCCAGTCAAAGAGACCTGGCTCCCTTCTTACGTCAGGGTTTTCTTTTACGCCCTTGATGCAAGGTATCCGATCTTGAATATTTGATGAAAGTGGCAATTAACTTCCATCACGCCGTCCGCAAGTTCAACCCTGACCGCCTGAAAGCAAACTTTGTTTCGGCGGTAGGTATCAGTGAACTACCTTTTCATCATGAGAGGAGCTTGGCAAGGACTATGCGATACTTGTTACAACTGGATTACGACCATCCATGAGGCTACGTTGTGTTAAAGACTTGGCTCCCATCCTACGTCATGGAGACTGGCTCCCGTCCTACATCAATGGCCTCAATCTCTGGCAATAACCGTTGCGGTTATAATTCGTCATCAGAACAGAGACTGGTGTCGCGAAATTCTGGAAGTTCATCGAAATCTAATTCCCTACAAGACACAATCCTATGGGGACCAAACTGGTAGACGGTCGCTTTACCGTGGAGGACCTAAACCGGGTAAACGGACGAGATCATTGGGAAGCTTGAAGACCTGAGGAATGATGGAGACAGCTTTAGCTCTCTCTTCGAACTAGTACGAACGACTAGCTTTCCCAACGAGGGCTTCCATTGTGTCGCTTCTCTGTCACTACTTGAAGGTCTATCGTGCGAATACTCAGCATACCTGCCGCGCAAAGAAGCTGGATAAACTCCTAAAGACGTCCCAAAACATTGCGACTACCAAGATCCAATGGATTGGTTGGCCCCAAAGACAAGGAGCTTCAGTCGTCGACAGCACAAGCCCGCGACAACTAACCAGCCGGCGACACAGCTCACATGGCGACACCGATCTTCAATTCGTTTAGCAGCCAAGCACTATGTCTAATGGCTGCATTCAGATCCACTTTATGCGGTTGGGGCCTTGGGTACCTCGAAAGGACATTTACAGCACGGGCAAATCATCAGGTTGGCTTACCCTTTACCTGAAATACCTTCTGGAGATGTACAGCCGGTAGCTCCTGGGACAGAAAGCACCTGTTTGCACACAAAAGACGACATCCGCCTCCGTTTAGGTATCTCTTTACACTGGTCGAACGACCAGCTTTCCCAACGAAGGCGGGTGTCGTTCAGTTTTGCAAGGCTGCCAGGGTTCGGGCATCTCTAAAGAAGAGTCTGGTTTGTGGCCTTTGTTAGTGCCCTAATTAACAAGTGGTTGGGAGATAAAATCAGAATTTCAGTCAACATCAGAACCCGAATACTGTAGACCATTCACTTTGGGTTCTTCCAGTTTGGTTCTTCCAGTCTCGCCACCAGTGACTCAATATCTCTCTGGCGCTTCACGACGCTGATAGTCAGCCCCAGCTTGGGTTCTCTTATTGACTTATGTCTTGGCCTTTCCGTGTCTTCCGATCTACGGAATAGGGCCTGAAGCATACTTCAAGAGACAGCATAAAGTAGAAGAATTCCATTCCCAAAGTACCAATACTTTCTTGATTGCACAATACGAGACTTCGAGAGCTATCATCGCTGCGGATCACAGCTCAGCCAAGACAGAATGAACCATCAATTAGGTCCAGCCACCGAAGAGAGCGAATAATCTTCAAGACGACCACAAAGTATGCTTTCTAGCATGAGGAATCTAGAGAGACACATTGGTTTCAAGAAGTTGTGACCCATCGGTTGAGAGCAAGACACATTGCATCCGTTTACTTGGAAATGGCGGAACCGCCCGCTCCTTGCCAAATGGGAGTCTATCAACCGACAAGGACGATCCCACCGTCAATCCGGTATTCCAGGCCAGATATCGGTGGATAATTAAGAACAGGACGAGGATGAGGAAACACGAGATCTTTCGACGACATTCTTCTATTGATCTATCTCTACCTTTCAATGCCTTCCGATCTACAGAACAGAACCTCACGTGTCACTATGTAGATGAGGATGTCCGAGGCAGGACAGTCCGTCACCTTAACCCATTATTGTTCTAGAAGGTCTGCAATCCCAACTACGGAGATGTACCTACCTATTGAGCTACAAACCCTGTCTGAGGCCTTCAAACCCCAGCGTTCAATCGCACTCCATCAAAAGATTCAAAACAGGAACTGGCGGAAGAACAACAAAGTCCAGCCAAAATATCTGGACCATCCCTCCTTTCAGTACTGGTGACAGTCCCACGGAGACAATGTAAAGGAGGTGTATATGATTACTGCCAGTCATTTTGGTGACAGTGTCAGGTACCGCCAATGGGTTTGGGGAATCTCCCAAACCAATACCCAAGCCCAAGCCCGAGCTTGAGAACTGGTCCGAGGACTTGGACGAAGCAGCTGGCGTCCAACTCCACTACATGATCAAGTACAACAAGGGAGGCAAGTCCGGCATGGGCTTTATGTCGGAAGATCCAATCAGCAGTTATGGTATTACAGCCAGGCTGATATTGAAAATGCGGAGGATCTGGTGAACAAGGCTCTTGTGAATCAACATCAGAACCCGATTACTGTATAACAGTATTTTGGGTTCTTTCACTTGGATTATTCAATCCACTCATCTCTTTGTCTTCCTCCAATCCATTTTGCACTCCCCATCATAGAGCGGTTGGGTCGTGGCAACAAACAAAACGTCTGCTTTCGCAAGCTAGCAGCTAGGCTCAATGAGCTGAACATCCTAGCCATCTTCGAATTCATTTCCAATCTGAACACGAAGGGAATAGATGGTCAGTCCAACGTGGCCGATACGAGAACAAGCAAGACTTGTCGCGAGGTCGACCGAAAGATGCTCCTTGATGAGTCAAAAGGCGGGGAATCTTAGCCCAGAAGTTGGCTGGGACCGCCCGGAGCTATGGCTCCCCAGGATGCCTTTGCCCCTGGGAGGCATCACCAGTGATCGTGTGGTTTCCCGCCCCAACCGGACCCGCGATGCGATTAGCGTGTCAGACCCAGAACAACCCCTATCCTGCAACACACCAGGATCGGCATTCACCTTTGGTCCAACGTCAGAAGACAACCCTGGATGATATAAAATGGCACCTTACTGCTATTACATATATGAGCGGTGCTGCTGGATATCCTGATCTACTCCCGGACCATGACGACATTAATCCCGAGGAGCAGGAGCCCTCTCTACGGAATGTGTCTAAGAAAGTCAACTGAAAGGGGACTTCAGCTCCTTCGTATGTCACAATAGCTCGTAAACCATGAGACGCTACTTGACCCCTGAGACATACGAAAAGGGTAAAGAGGAGAGAGCCGACAAGTTCTCAGAGTTTGAAAAACGCCTTGTCAAAAGCAAGCCAGTCATTTCGAGTTGGACGATGAACAGTCCTCTTGAGTTGGACCACGAATAGTCCCATTTATACCAGATATAACTCAGAAAGATGAGAGAACCTTTGATTTGGAGATTTGTTGAAAATTTGATCTGCGCGGACAGGTTAACATTTGTTGAAAACCTAGAGGAAATTGAGAAGACCTGGGCGAAAGCTTAAGTGCTTGTTAAAAAAAAACAATAACTCAGAAAGATACATGCAATCACTAGATTCATCACAGAAGAGTAGGACTTGTGAGCATCCTCGCAACGACGCCGACTAGATGCTAGTCCAGCAGTCGTCTGGAAGTGGCATGACGCTACTGTTAATACTTTGATGCTATTCAACATCATGTCAACGCGTTCAAATAAGTTTCATCTCGTCAAAGTATTGGCTGGATGTGACCAATACTGCAATGGGGAAAGATGGAACGATGAAGAACAATGAAGGAGGGGTGATAGATACTCAGGGCCGCATAATCAATGGCGCGCTGTTTCAAAGAGTAAGTCATGCGACTCCTTCCCATTGTCTGGTACGATTCTAATCAACGTCTTTCTACAGAAACAACCGCAGAAGTACGAAGATTGAAACGAAAGTCATGTTCAACTTGACATCAAATGCGACATTGTCAACAATCACACCGAGAGGTATTGATCACGAACATGTCCAATTAGAACCTGGTCTTGTGTGGTAACTGCCGACGGCAACTTGGTCAAACATAATAGTCTCACTGAGGCTAAAATGCTTTATGGCACCGCAGAACTACTCTGGGAGAACATGGTTCTGTTGACGTTGCGGGGTGTCAACCTCGGTCAGACGTACCAGGTGGTTTGGTATACAAGAAATAACGAGGGTAACTGCATCTCGACACAACCTGAGCATTCGGCGCATTGCAACGCAAAAGCCCAACAGCAAAAAGCAACTGCCCCCCAAGTCATCCCGCGAATGAACACTTTGGATATGAACCTTCTTATATTATGGAAGGCCGCCATGCACCACCACCCACAAAATCAAGAAAGAGCTCGCAATCTGTCAATCCTCTGTACTCTTCATTCTCCCTGTCCTGATCCAATCTCCGTGTCGCCTCTATAGCTCTGGCACTCACAAATCAGCGAAACCACCATCGCGAGGAAGGCTCTATGGCACTTATCCCTCATCATGGAGGATGGGGGTTGGATCAAGATATGACGGACCATTCAACAACCTATATCAATGTCATCTGACACTTGAATACACCTCATCCCGATCTATCGGCAAACCGTCACGGAGGTTGGATTAAGAGGAGAATGGAGAGAAGGAAGATTGGATGGGAACGGGGGTGGAGAGTATAGAGATTGGATGGATGCCTGACCGCTGGCTACGCCTGAAACTGAGCATCGGGAGGTAAGCACTCGATGCGGACACCGAAATGGTAGAAGCAGCGTGCTCTATGGCTACCGTATTTGTTCGTCACGGACAGGAGCCGTTTCCCGGACCTGACAATCAGTCGAAGATGAAGCGTTCTGTCGAGAATGTGGAACATGTCGGTATGTGCCTACTTCCATTTACATGCTTGCTCAGTATTTGTAAACTAACTATCTATTCTCAGGCCTCTTCATCCCCACTGCGGGCCATCACTTCCGTGAGGCCCAACGCACCGCCAGTTGGGGTGAATAGAGGAATGGCGACTATATAAGTTTTTCTTTCAGGATCTATTGCTACCGCACTTGTCCCCTATCAACCGAACCACAGCGGCGTAGGATCTGTGGATATTACTACACCCGCCGACTATCAAAACAACGAGTGCACAGTTACCCGTTGCAACCAAATTTGTCCAATACCCAAACATCTAAAGTTAATAGGGAAGAAATTTGGATGAACTATCACCAGCGCAAGACTGCGATTCGAGGAGCTTCGTTGATGAGTACAGCACCTGATGACTATTACGCCAGCACCTATGCAGAAGTGCGAACATCAGACCCCGCCAAGGTATCACACAAGCCATTCTACTAGCTCATGCGTCCTTCGCTCTTGGGTATTTGACCTTGCAGTTGTTCATCGCATCAAAGGTCCATTCCCAGACTTAGCTTTGACCATACCAGCTCCGACGACGAAACGTTTCAATAAGTGAGGAGTTCAGATCTGAGTAACCAAGACCAATTATATATCAGAGACTGATATTTAGTCATTGACTACATCTGCGCCATGTTGTTCATCAACAGCCTGCGATGCCTTCGTTCCTGAGACTGGCGATCGTGCAGTCTCACGTTTTGGTCATAACCCTTTCGTCGATCCCTGGAATCCCACTTAGTAAAAGACTAAGAATCACTGGTTGTACAACGTCCTCGGCCAAATCTACAATTCAAACGTACTCATGCCTCATTTCACGTCACGGCTCTTGTCAGCTGCTATTGGGACGTTCTTTATGCTAACACCACAATCGTATCCGCGGAGATCCCTGACGACAGGTTCGAATATAATTATTTTGTCACTCCCACCTAGGCCTGTCAATGTCCGTGTTGGGGCCATATCCAAAACGATGCGATTATATACCTCTCCAAGGTACTCCAGAGAGGAGCGAAGAAGGGTACAGTTCGGCTAGAAACCTGACAGGGAAAGAATGAAGGGTATCCAGGACAACAACATCATTTAAGATGGTGACTATTCAACTGAGCCGTCTAATCAGACGCAACCTACTGCCGCCATGTCTACTCTCCCGTCTGAGTGAGGGAGAGGCCCCAGTAGCTGTAACAACATGACGAATCTTTTGTCAGTGAAGGGCGACGAGACCTTATAAGGCCATTTGGCGTCCGTCACGCAGAACCTTTACCTGAAAAGGTGATAACTTCTTTTCGCTTGCAGATATAAATGTTCCGACGGGATCAGATTCGTCGCGATCCCACCCTAACATCAGAGCCGATTACTGTGCTTTGTGTTCTTTCGAGGTTCGCATTGGTGATCAAGCTATTGCTCTCATCTCAATGGACTATCCTCGTTAGTGCAGGATACCGCCATGAAATAAGAGCAACATGCATCTTGTCTCTCCAGCGCCCGTGGAAATGTCATATGAAGGAGGCTTTCTGTCTAACGCCGCCCTCGGGAGTATGCTGAGTCTTGAGAATCAAGAAACGAAGTCCAAAACACTCCAATCTGTACTGGTACGGAACGATCGAATGCGGAACTGGTTTGGTTTCCACACGTCGAGATGGCAGTCTGGGTATCATGTCAGCATCAGCTACGGCTGAAAAACCCCGGGCCCTCCTCAGGCGGCCTTTGCCCCTGGGGAGGCATTACCACTGATCGCACTTAGCGACATGAGAACGACCCCTCGTCGACCCTTCCCTAAAATCACACGCCAAAGGGTCGACGGTGGGGTCCTGGTCTTTATCAGCCAGCTCCACGAGCTTGGGCACGGAAATGGGGGGGCCTCCAAACAAACTGTCCTCTTAATCATAGGAGGCCCCCTTCAAGTTTCGAATCCCACGTCGTCTCCGACGCCTCTTCAAGAAGAAGAAGGGCAACCGCGGTCGTGATGATGTTGAGTTGGGACACATCTCGCACCCGTAAGTTCATCCCCATCACCTTTCATAACCTCTCGGTGGTAGAAGTAGCTAACCTGTCAATAGTTTCGATGTCTACCGCATTGACAGCAAGGGAAACCGTGTCCCGCTTCCACAGCATCTACCTAGCTGCGGGTGTTGTTGCCGCTCCGGCTCGAGGCGAGACGATTCTTGTGTTGGTATTGTACGGATTGAAGTTGATAAAAACACAAAAAAAAAAAAAAAAAAAAAAAAAAAAAAAAAAAAAAAAAAAAAAAAAAAAAGAAGGAAAGAAAAAAAAAAGAGAATAATTTTCTCACTAAAGGGTTTTTACCCACCAAAAAAAAAGTGTGAAGAGGAGGGATGGAGGAATGATGAGGAAAGGAGGAAGGGTATGGTTGGAAGATATGGATTGGATAGGTCGGGAAGAGGATACAGAAAATAATGCATTTAAAAACTCTTGCCTTTCTTTTGAATTGATGTGAATGTGATTGAAACCTCGACAAACTTGTCGTACTGTGGTTATTTGGGTCGTCCGTTTCGTTCGAGATTTATGGTTTGGTATGGAGGCATAGTCGGATCGAGAAGTTGATGTGTAGTAGAAAGGTTCTCCGGCTGTGCGGTAAATGGTCGTGACATCTTGAATACCTGAGCACATGTCGAGAACAAGCCACAGGAACTGAGTGTCGTGAATTACTGCATTTACAAAGGGAAGAACATCAATCCAGTCCTCTAAATCCGAACACGTATATTAACCACAGAACATTACACCAAAGTCATAAATCAACAAAGAAATATAGTAACAATAAATAGCATCCTTAGATATCTTCGTCGTCGTCGTTCGCCTTCTCGGCAAGTGTGAACTTGCTCTTTCCAGTCTTCTCGTCCACCTCGTGCTCAATAGCAAGCTTCTGGAGATGTCCGAGGATGTTCTCCAACTTGGTATCCTTGTTGCGACGATCCTTTCTACCAAGGTTATCCAACCATGAGATCTTGTTGAGGATAAAGTAGATGATTGCGATAACGACGGTGACACCGAAAGAGTAGAGCCAGACGATGACAACAGTGACAATGTCTACCCAGCCGTTGCTGCTCTGCTTGAAGTTGTCGTGGATGGAAGGGATTTCTCCTGTGCCGGACAGCCAGCCGAAGAGGGCGAAGAGAGTGGCCAGAATATCGACACCCAGGATGGCGCCGACGAGTTGCCATGATGGCCATGTCTTGCCGCCGCGCGTGACAAAGATGAGCCAGTTCTCCGTGAGGGCGACCTCGAGGAAGAGGATTTCTTGTACGCTTCCAAAGTTTTGAACGATTCCGCCGTTGGGAAGGAACATAGTTCCTCGAATGATCCATGTGCCGAGGGCTAGAAGGATGCCCAGGATAACACTCATGATCCCTGTGGACGTTAGTTTTCGGCGAGAAGTGCTGGATGTGATTGTACTAACAAATCTTGGGGAGCTGCCATTCAACAGGTCTCGGTTCCCAATGCGCATTATCGTAAGCCACGGCTACGGTAGCCAAATCGGCGAACAGGGCGAGGAAGACGATCAGGTCGACGCGAATGGTCTCGTTGAGGATGATCATGGAGAGTGTGAGATAAATCTCGAGGTGGAGGCAAAGCGCGATACGATATTCTGCAGAACAGTTAGCTCGGCGCGATCGGCAATAGGGTATGTGACTCACGGATGTACGACTTCATTCTCGCAAAGATCTGGCGGGCAGTCTTGATAGCCAGTACGATTGTGCTCAAGCCTGGCGCAAGGAAGACGATATCTGCAGCCGCTTGCGCAGCCTCTGAAGCACCTTCGACAGCAATACCACAATCGGCCTTCTTCAGAGAGGGAGCATCGTTAACACCATCACCAGTCATAGCGGTAAGATGGCCTCTCTGCTGAAGCATCTCAACCACAGTGTATTTGTGCTCGGGGAAGACTTCGGCAAAGCCATCGGCGCGTTCGACAAAGTCATGCTGCACGCTTCCAGACAAGCCGCCGTGGATCAGACGGTCCGAGTTGTAGACCTTGGTGCCCAGCGACAACATCTTGCAGGTTTCCTTAGCGATGGCGATGGCATCTCCCGTTAGCATCTTAACTGGAACACCGAGATGCCCAGCCTCGATAATAGTCTGGGCTGTATCTTCGCGAGGTGGGTCGAACATGGACAACAGTCCCAAGAGAATCCAATCGCCATCGTTCTTCTTGTATGCAACACCAAGAGAACGGAAGCCGCGACGAGCAAAGTCCTGAGCCTTCTCTCTGTAAAGTTCGCTGAGATGCTCTGATCCAGGTCCTAGAAGCTTCAAGATAGCCTTAGGCGCACCCTTTGCACAGATAAATTTATCTTGGCCAAGGCGGCACACGGCGGTGATTCGTTTGGAGACAGGGTCAAATGGTGTGAACGATTCGGTTACCCAACCCTGCTTAAGGATCTCTCGGGCTTCCGGGTAGCGCTTCAGCGTAAGGATAGTGACTTTGTCGATGGGATCCAATGTCCTCAGGTTGTGACTCGAGGCAAGGGCTGCACATGCCATCATCCAATTGACGTCTTCTCCTTCGGCGACAAAGGGGTCTCTGATTGAGAGCTTGTTAGCTGTCAATGTACCAGTCTTGTCTGAGCACAAGATATCGACTCCGGCGAGTGATTCGATAGCTGTGAGTTTCTGTACAATCGCCTTCTGCTTAGCCAAGTAGGCTGCTCCGACAGCCAGGGTCGTTGTAGTGACCACAGGCAAACCGACGGGGACACCAACGATGAGGAGAACAAGAGCGTAATGCAACAGGTTCTGCGAGCCAGGAGCCGTGACGCCGACGTGGTGGAAGAAACCGCCGATCTGTTAATGTTAGCTGACAATTCCCAGATATCTAGTGGCAGAACTATACATACCCAGGCAATCAATATCCAGAACATGACCAAAACCAGAAGTGTGGTACCGATGTTGTTCATGATGGCCTTGAAGTGACCTTGATCCTTCGCGCCCTGGACGAGATCTGCTGTGCGGCCGACGAAGGACTGTTTGGCGTTTGTTTGAACTAGACCAAAGGCCTTTCCTCTCTTGCAGCCAGTTGTGTAATAGACCATATCACCTAAATATTTCTCAACAGCCAATGACTCCCCTGTGATGGAAGACTGATCAACAGCAGCGAGAGGGCGGCTTCGATAATCCAGAGGCTCATTCCCATGAGTATGGCCTTGACTTTCTTCGGTATGCTTTGCATCTCCATTGGCTCCATCATCATCGGCCATTTCATCTTCTTCGTCGCTGCGGTCTAGCTTGTCTTCGGCTCTAAGTCGCTTATAGATCTCAAAGTCTTCGGGGCGGGTATAGTCGCAGATAAGTCGAGCGTCTGCAGCAACTGTGCCACCTTCTTCTATGATGAGCTACGATCATGTTAGCACCCTTTTCGGTATGTCGTGTCAGGCAGAGCCATTTACAATATCCCCGGGGACCAATTCTCTTGCGGGAATCTCATGCTCAACGGCATCTCTCACAACATGGCAGCGCATTGCGATATCTCCTTTCAGACTTGCGACGATGTCTGCAGCTTGTTTCTCTTGAATGACTATAGAATGATCAGTGTTGTTCGAGACAGTTCAGGATGAGGATCTTACAGCCGACAAAGGCGTTAAGTAGAAGGATTCCAACAATCACACCAAAGTCGACCCAGTCACCCAAGCCCACAGCGAGCAAAGCAGCGACTTCCATAACTATCACAATTTGTTAGGTTGCTTCCCATGTAGACGTACGGGTGTATCTCACCATAAAGGATAGGACCAGTGAAGAAGCCGAGGAACTTGGCAAACATGTTTTCCTTTTCAGATGTCAATTCGTTCCATCCGGTGACCCTCCTACGCCTCTCAACTTCTTCAGAGGATAATCCGATGGCTACATCAGTCTCAAGCCAGGCCTCGGAAATACCAGTTTTACCAGTGGATTGTTCTTGGTCGTCACCACCACCACCACCACCGAAGCTCCACCAATGCTTCTTCTTGACTTTCCCGCTTTCAGAGCCATCAGCTACGCTTCGGCGGCGGTCTTCGCGATAGTTGCTGATGTAATGGTCGAGGGCGGGATATTCGCCAAGGTCAGGATCAGGGACAATGCTGCCAGCTCGGCCTTTGGAGGCGCGAGAAGCTCGTCGACCAGCATTGGCTTCCACATCGTCGGTTTTCCCCTTGCGACGATGGAAAAGCTTCGACATGGCTGGTAAATCAATTTGTGAAGAATTGGGGTTAATAACAGAAAGCTCTAGGTGCGAGTGCTAGTCCAGTGAATCACAAACATGCACACACTTCGATACAGCTAATTCGAAGAGGCACCGCAGCTGTATTTATTGTGTCTGCAGATAGCTTGTCACCTCATTCAAATAGCTCTTCTAATTTATGTCGCAAGTCGGCATTGTAACCACACGCAATAGACAGCGCATACTCGTAACCCCTCGCGCTCGCGACAATGACTCTATGACATGCGAGCGGTTTTTTTTTTTTTCTCATGCTGGCCGAGTGTTCCGAAAAGTCGGTTCCCAGTCAAGAAAGGAAGCTGAGATGTGTGGTGATCGCATCCCTCCCGCTCACACCGGGAAGCTCGAGACTTGAGCAAAGGGTGGGAGAGTTTCTAGGCCAAGCAAGAGAGACGAAAGTTGATGTTTCGCTACCGAATCGGCAGGGACTTTGGGGCACCCAATACCAACAACTTCCGCTGTTTCGCGGCTTTGAACTATGCTGTATAAGGTTCATCGATTGATATTACTGGTTTTCTGAGTAAAGGCTGACATCCGTCAGAACCGAGAAAACAAAGTTGGTTATTCCCGTCTAAGTGAAGTTCGGCTATGCGGCATCTGGCGATCGTCATGGATAGCTCAGGTATGCATGCGACGCTGAAATCACCAACATCCTCGCCCTGTAGCTATGAGTTGTTTTTGTTTGCATTGAATGTTGTTGCCCGAATTGTCCAGACTGTGAATGGGTCAGAGCTAGAGTTTCATTATTACGTCACCTGAATAATCGCATTTGCTTCAAAAAGGAAGCCGAAGACAACCATGTTCGTTCTAGAAGTCTAATCGAGTGACGAATGAGTGGCTTGAGCTGACTTTCTATTGAACCGGTTTGTATAACCGTCGTAAGGTATCACAACGTATTGGATTATCAATTCCGAAACAAGACCGCAGACGGGATCTGCCGCCTTTCAGCATAAACTGTAAGTGAACAGATACTTGTTCATCACCTGTATTACTATCTGAACTTGGTTCTGAAAAGTGGCGGCTGCCTGTCTCGACGGTGCATACACCATGCCCTGAAGATCCCCGAACTGGAGTGTCGGAAAGATCAATACCGTTCGCCGATGCTTGCTTTTTAATGTCGAGATGGAAATATCTGGATGGTTAGTATCAGAGTTGGTCGCATGTTCAATATCACAGAAGATGCAGAGTCAAGTCAAGACTAGTAAATGTAATAGCATTACTACCAGCAAGTTAGCAACCTTGTAAACATGCCGTTTCCGATCCTTTCACCTACTTTCTAAATACCCAAAAGAATAAGTCCAAGAGCAAGAGCAGCAGGGGCGGCCTGAACGAAGAGAATTTTTGTGTTGGCCGTAGTGACGCTGCCGAACACGCCTGCAGCTACAACACAGCCGTTGAAGAAGATCTGCAGCTGCTTTGCAAACACAGGGTTCGGGTGAACAAGCGACCAAATTAGACCGGCAGACAGAAAGCCGTTATACAGGCCCTGGTTAGCAGCCATGGTCTTTGTCTGCTCGGCGAACTCGGCAGTGAGCTTGAAGGTCTTTCTTCCGCGGGGAGACGTCCAAAAGACAGTTTCTAACAGCATGATGTAGCTGTGCAAGGCGCCGACAAAGCCGGTAGTAGCAAGTCCGAAAATGCCCATCTTGAAGGTTTAAATGGGAGGTAGATAGTTGGTTGATGATTTAGCGCAAGATAGGTGGAGTCAATTGACGAGAGTTAGTGGAGGAGAGACAAACGTTGATAAAGAAGTGACGAGAGCTGATAGAAGAGAGTCGCGTTTGATTGTTGAAAGAAATTGACTTTTGAGACATTGAGAGGCTTCGCGATGGTTACAGGCTGGCTGATGACTAATTTTTTCTCTTCTTCCACCTGCGACTACCAACTGCCAAAACCAACTCAAATCAACCCAATTCATGGAAAAAGGGTCATTGCTCAGCTCTGACACCCAGATTTGGAGTACTCGACCGAAAACAGCGGATATATCACCTAAAATTGGTAACAGACAAAACCTTAAATATACAGCATGGGCAATTGGTAGGTCAAGTATCAGGGTGGATGCTTGACGTTTTCGTATCGCGGTTTCCGTACAGATAACTATCCGTAACTCTCAGGGTATCAAAAGAATTGGTGGCTTGGGGGCACAAGAGACGAAATTATTAGGTCAGTTTATGCTGTTTAGATCAGACGTCTTAGGCTCTTTATTTTTGTATCCTAAAGCTGAGAAGCCAACCGCTAACTAGCTTTGAGATATAGACCTCGGCATATACAATTACCACCTCCTATTATTCCTCCTCAAGACAATAAACTTAATAAGCAAATCGGAAATCAAGTCGTTTGTTTCCGTCAATCTCTCGCTGCTCCTTATCCGTCTGGTACTCGGCCTGTTGCTCCGGAGTCATCTGCTCCCAGACCTCGGTCTTCTTCTTGTTGAGATACACAAGCCATTGTCTCTGAGCAATGAAAACAACAACAGCGAGACAAAGAATCGAGATCAACACCTTGTTTCCGTTCTTGTAGTAAGGTCCATCCCACTTTCGGTAGATTTGACTCGAGGTAACGCTTCCCCTGCTTTTTGTTAGTTTCTTTCATTTGATCAAAAAGACGGGAATTACTTACATTTGAACAATGACGTTGTATGTACTAGAAGCAACAGCTCGCTTCTTCACATCGAATGAGTTTTCAGAGATCCAAGAAGATACCAGAGGGTGGAAGTAAGGGTATCCCGAAATGAGGGTGATGATGGAGAATCGGCCCCACTCGCGGCCTTCATCGGGAAGAGTCAAGAGCGCTGTAAGCAACGGAAGAGACCAAATCTCTCCGAAAAGACAGTGGAATGCTCGTTCGTTAAAATACTCTGAACTGTAAGCAAGCGCAAGCATGGTGAAGATCTGAAGAGCTGCAGAGGGCGCAGTAAGCAGGTTGCTGGCCAAAGTGCTGAACTTTCCAACTCTCTTCAATGTCAAAGTCAAGTATGCTTGAACAGGCGATGCTGGAATGTATGCAATAAGACCGATGAAGTAGAGTCCCCAGAGAGAAGGGTCGGTCCATGCATTCTTGACGTCTTGCCATGTCAATGGCTCCTTCAATGCCGTAAGACCCTTGGCGGGATCATCTCGAAGAATACGGTTGATCATGATAACTTCTTCTCGCTCGGTGTACCACGACTTGCGCCAGATCACAGACTTGGTGCCAGTTGGAGAAGTCGGAAGATAGATCATGGAAATGAGACCGATGACAACAGTGAGAAGACCCTCAAGAAGTAGAAGCCAGAACCATCCAGGGTGGCCGCCAATGCCTCGCATTTCGAGCAGTCCGGCGGCGAGAAGTGCCGAAATAACACGGGCGATGTTGAGTGTAGACCAGAAAGCAGCCAGTCGAATAGACAACTCCTTGGAGGTGTAGAAGTAAGTTGCCATGAGGACAACACCAGGAATGAAACCACCCTCGAAAGTACCGATCAGAGCGCGGGTAACATAGAAAGCTGCACGTCCAGTCATAAAGGCCTGAAAGGTCGATACAAGACCCCAGCAGACCATGAGAGTGGGCAGGATATTTTTGAACCCATATCTCTTGGTGAGGAATTGAACAGGAAACTCAGCGAGCAAGAAACACAACACTTGGATCGTAGTACCATTATTGTAGTCGTCGCTTGTTAGGCCAAGGTCAGTAAGAAGGTCGTCTGCGAGAGCATTGCTGATGTTTCCTCTATCCAGTTGCAGACCAAAGAACTATGCCGTGTAAGTTGAATGAGCATCAAACAAGGAACCAAACATAGACGTACCATAAGACATAGCCAACTCAAAAGCTTGAGATCGGTCTTTCGGACGGCTCTCTTCTCTTCCTCGGGGGTCCAAGTAGCCGCGGGATCCCACCGATGGCCGCCTTCATAATCATGGTGAGGTGGTAGCGCGTGGCTCAGTTCAGTTCGGCCGACTCCGATTTGCGATTTATCGATGTTATCCACCGACGTGCGGTCAGCAACCGCCGAGCTCGTCTCAATATCGAGGTTACCCATATTGGAACAAACTGTGGTAACCAATTGAGTTGATTTGAGATTGTCTAGATGTCAAGTGCTAGTTGCTGATGATCTACAAACTTGGGGCTCCCGTCAAGATATATAGTATAACAACATCTACACTTTGACCATAGACACGGTCACTACCTACCGAAAGAGTCTCCGGGATACATACAAATCAACAATAGCGCCCCCTACTAGGTGTGGCGCGATCGCGCACGCCATAAGGACATGAAGCCAAATCTGGTAACCTCGAGTCTCATAGTACAGGGTCAATAATCCACCAAGCACTGAACTTGAGAGAAACAACGGGCGGAGAACGATCTCAATGCGACCCTCTGTAAGAGCACTAGCAATCTTTCAAACGACAAGATTGGTCATGCTTTGTCTAAGAACTGGGGTAGATTCTCCGAGAAATTCTCCCAAGCCTGAGCATGCCATTCTAACTCCCGATGTCGTCTTAAAGTGCGGGGAGTCGCACTGAGTCGTGATTCGACCCTGTACGTTTTAGCTCCAACGTTCAGTCTGGGGTTAGTCTGGTTTCCGACTTACCGGGCCTTGACTATTATTTATCAGTCTATTGCTTTCCTCCGAAAGAGACTCCGGGATATTCAATAAGTGCAGCTTCACATAATTACTGTCTACATCTCACCTTATCTCTCAGTCAGAGAACAAACTATTGAAATTGTTCAACTTTGAGCTTACATTGCATCATCATGCCTTCAGCTGCAATCGATACCCTCCCTGGTCATATCCTCGGCGGAGATGCCCAGAGCAGACCACGCCTAGACCAGCCCTTGACTTACACGGGCAGTCTTGACAACTACTCACAACTCGACGTCACCCCAGTCATCGGTCGTGAATTCACCGGTCTTCAAATCCGAGACCTGCTCAAATGGGATGATGTACACATTCGTGACCTTGCTGTCACAATTTCTCAGCGCGGAGTTGTCTTTCTCAAGGACCAGGATGTTACTCCTAATGAGATGAAGGACTTTATGCTGCGACTCACAGACCTCGCCGGATGCCCTACCAGTTCAGGTCTGCATGTTCACCCGCTCACCGAAGAGGGTAGTGAGCTTGGTGATCAAATCAGTGTTATCTCAAGTGAGAAGCAGAAGAAGGGTGGTGGCTTGACACATCAATTGAGCGATGTAAGCCGATTCGCGAGCGCCGGTTGGCATTCAGATATGTGCGTATAAACATAAGCCGTCTGATTGGAGTGTACTGACTTGGTAAAGTACCTTCGAGAAGGTCCCCTCAGATTATGCGATGCTCAAGATCCATACACTACCAGCGACTGGTGGTGATACGGTATGTCCGCCACTTACATTTAACAAGCAAGGTTGAAGCCACCCGTGGTACTTCAAACGTCTTGTCTTGACTGCTTGTAGATCTTGCTAACTCAGTCAGCTCTGGGCATCAGGATATGAGGTCTATGATAGACTTTCAGACCCCATGAAGAAATTCCTCGAAGGTCTCACAGCAACCCACGACGCGACATTCTTCCATGACGAAGCGCGCCGTCTTGGCAACCCTATCCGCAAGGGCATCCGAGGCTCTCCTCTCAACCAGGGCGAGCAACTCACATCCGTCCATCCTCTAATCAGAACAAACCCAGTCACAGGCTGGAAGTCAGTGTTTGTCAACAAGGGTTTTACCAAGCGTATCAACGGACTGTCCAAGGATGAGAGCGACACTCTCCTCGCCTATCTCTTCAACCTGGTCACACAGAATCACGATGCTCAGGTCCGATACAGATGGAGCAAGAATGACTGCGCCATCTGGGATAATAGATCAACGTTCCACTGTGCAACTTACGATTACGATTCAGCAAGGGCTGGAGATAGAGTTTGCAGCTTAGGAGAAGCGCCATATCTTGACATTAACAGTAAAAGCCGCAGGGAAGCGCTAGGTCTTTGAGCCCGTTATATGTACCTACCCACTTAGTAATAAATGAGACGAATGAATGTATGATCATAAGTGATTCTGAACTTGACAGCTTACTTAATAATTTATGAAAGTAATTAAAGATTCCTAAACTTAGGTAGCAGTTTAGTATCAAAGTCGGACATTTTGATAGCCTATCTAAGTTAGGCGATTGGTCCTCTTTACGCGCATAACCACACTTGGCAGCTCAGGGTATCAGAAAAATTGACATTTGGAAGCATAAGAAACGAAATTATTAGGTCAGCTTATGCTCCTTATGCTATTATTCTTGGACTACTTATTTTTGTACCCTAAGACTTAGGAGTGCAACTTTTCTGCTACCCACTTGGCAGGCCCAAGCTTTCTTCAACAGGTAGGGTTGCGTTGCGAAATCTTCCCGATCCAACAATCACTTTGTCCAGGAACAAGTGTAACGTCGGCTCGTCATTGTTTTGAGGTCTGTTTCATAAACAGCCAATGATTCAATGAAGCCTCAATTCATGTCGTTCGGCTTGAGACGGGCTTTGGGTAGTAAGCCCAATGCCCTCAATCTGACTCTGACACAGTCTTCTACTGTCGGAGCCAGGAACCCGATGACCCGTACCCATACACATCGTATCTTCCACTCACGACCCCTCCCCCACATCAGCTTAAGAGCTAGCTCTCTATGCTCTGCAACTCGACCTCTACATACCTCTCAATCTCCATATCTTTTTCCATCCAACACATCAACAACTTCATCTCGATCAATCCAATCTCGTCCTTCTCTCGGCAACTCTAAAACAACTCTCATCTCCCGTCACCAGCAGCGTAACTGCTCTTGTCGACGAGCCATGCTTCGCAACGGAAACGACATTACCAGTGCCAGCCTCGACATTCGTCGAGGTCGCCAGGTTCTGCCCAAGAATGTCAAGCCGCTACACTACGATCTCACCCTCGAACCCAACTTTGAGACCTTCAAGTTCGAAGGTACAGTTATCATCGACTTTGACGTTGTCGAGGATTCAACATCCATTGCTCTCAACACAGTAGATCTCGAGATCCACGACACCCTCGTTGAGGCCAATGGTGCCACAATCAGCTCCTCCCCCACTCTCGACTATGACAAGGACTCACAAACCACAACCATCACCTTCGACAAGACGATTCCCGCAGGCCAGAAGGCTAGGTTGACCCAGCGTTTCACCGGTACTCTCAACGATGATATGGCTGGTTTCTACCGATCTTCATACAAGGATGAGCAAGGAAACACAAAGTATATCGCAACCACCCAGTTCGAGGCCACCGATGCTCGCCGAGCATTCCCCTGTCTCGATGAGCCTGCTCTCAAGGCCACCTTCACCGTCACTTTGATCGCTGACAAGGACCTGGTCTGCCTGGGTAACATGGATGTTGCATCCGAAAAGGAGGTTGACTCCAAGATAACAGGCAAGAAGAGCAAGTCTATCACATATAACAAGACACCCATTATGTCCACATACCTACTGGCCTTTATCATTGGAGATCTCAAGCACTACGAGACCAACAACTTCCGAGTCCCCATTCGAGTCTGGTGCACTCCCGACCAGAACCTTGACCATGCTGTCTTTTCAGCTGAGCTGGCTGCACGAACCCTTGAGTTTTACGAGGAGCAGTTTGGCAGCAAATACCCCCTTCCCAAGATGGACATGGTTGCCGTTCCTGATTTCGCTGCCGGAGCCATGGAGAACTGGGGTCTTATCACATACCGAGTTGTCGACCTTCTCCTTGATGAGAAGACCAGCAGTGCTGTCACAAAGAAGCGTGTTGCCGAGGTTGTTCAGCACGAACTGGCTCACCAATGGTTTGGTAACCTCGTCACAATGGACTTTTGGGATGGCCTCTGGCTAAAGGAAGGATTTGCCACATGGATGTCGTGGTACTCTTCCAACGCTTTCTACCCCGAGTGGAGGATCTGGGAAGGCTATGTTACTGAGGATCTGCGATCTGCTTTGAGTCTTGACTCTCTACGCAGCTCTCACCCCATCGAAGTGCCCGTCAAGCGTGCAGATGAGGTCAACCAGATTTTCGATGCCATCTCATACGAGAAGGGATCTTGTGTCCTTCGCATGATCTCCAAGTACTTGGGCGAGGACGTTTTCCTCAAGGGTATCCGAATTTACCTTGACCGCCATGCCTACGCCAACACAGAGACTACTGACCTCTGGGCAGCTCTCAGTGAGGCCAGTGGCAAGGATGTTGAGCGTGTTGCCGATATCTGGACCAAGAAGGTGGGTTACCCTGTTGTGGCCGTCACCGAGGATGAGTCCAAGGGCACAATCAACGTCAAGCAGAACCGGTTCCTTAGAACGGCCGATGTCAAGCCTGAGGAAGATGAGGTGCTCTACCCAGTATTCCTTAACCTTCGAACAAAAGAGGGTATCCAAGAAGACCTTGCGCTCAACGTCCGTGAGGCCGACTTCAAGGTGCCTGACTTCGACTTTTACAAGGTCAACTCTGGTCACTCTGGTATCTACCGCACCTCTTATACTAGCGAGAGACTCCAGAAGCTTGGACAGAACGCCAAGGCAGGACTATTGGGTGTCGAGGACAGAGCCGGAATGATCGCCGATGCTGGTGCTCTTGCTGCCGCTGGTTACCAAAAGACGTCAGGTCTGCTGTCTCTCCTCCAAGGTTTTGACTCGGAAGATGAGTTCATCGTCTGGGATGAGATCACCCTCCGTGTCGCTTCTCTTCGAGACGCTTGGATCTTTGAAGAAGACGATGTCAACAAGGCTCTCAAGGCTTTCCAGCGAGACCTGGTCAGCAAGAAGGCCAACGAGATCGGCTGGAACATTTCGAGCTCTGACGATTTCACTGCTCAGCGCTTCAAGGCACTTATGTTCGGCAAGGCCGCCATCGTCGAGGATGAGGCTGCGAAGAAGGCGGCCTTTGAGCTGTTTGAGAAGTTCATCAGCGGCGACCGAGAGGCCGTACAGCCCAATCTCCGATCTAGTGTATTTGGAGTTGTGCTATCGTACGGAGGCGAAGCTGAGTACAACGCTGTTCTCAAGGAGTACGAGACCGCTAAGCAGAGCAGCGAGCGCAACACAGCTCTTCGATCACTCGGCTTTGCCAAGGACCCTGCCCTTATGAAGCGAACTCTGGCTTACACGCTGAGTGACAACGTCAAGACGCAGGATATCTACATGCCTCTTGCTGGTCTCCGCGCTCACAAGGAAGGTATCCATGCTCTTTGGGGATGGGTTAAGGAGAACTGGGATGATGTACTTACTAAGCGACTTCCCCCTGGTATGTCCCTCCTCGGTGACATGGTGGCCATCTCAACAAGCTCTTTCACACACGCCGACCAGATCGACGATGTCAAGAAATTCTTTGAGGAGAAGGGCAGCAAGGGATTCGAGCTTGAGTTGGCTCAGAGCCTTGATAGTATGAAGGCCAAGCAAAACTGGCTCGCTAGGGATAAGGAGGATGTTAAGCAGTGGCTTATCCAGAACAAATACTTGTAAAAGCGCATAGAAAGGGAGTTATTGATAAAGGAAATAACCACACTTGAATAAATAAGCGATTATGATACTCCCCCACCAAACAGTATCACTGTGATCAATCGATAAAGTAAGTGCTCATAGTATACCCATCTCAACGCAGCTCTTTGGGCCCCAGAAACCTGGCTACTGAATGTAAGAGACGAAATTAACAAGTCAACATGATATCGAAGAAGGTTTTAAGATCATTTCTTCATAAGACCCTTAAGCCCAAGATGGACTTTCCAGACACCCCCTTAGCAACTGACTCAACAGCTAGCCAGAGTCAAAATATCATAACAAATAGTCTCATTTCCATCAACACAATGGCAAAAACAATGCAAGATTTGTTTGTCGTCTATTATACATGTACAGATATACACGGTCATACACCACCACTATGTCTGTCCTATTCTTTCTGTTCATACACCTCATAATTCTTTTTTTACTTCTCTTTCCTTTAAGCCTTACCAGTCAACCAATCCCTCTCCTTATTCTTACCATATCCCCCTGTTCCAGTAACAGGCAGATCACGCTTCTGCAACTCCTCCTCGATGACCTTCCATCGGCCAACCGAAATCTCACGGTCGATGGGTGTGACTCTCCTGCTGTGCACTGTAACGTTGGGGAGGGCGGTGAGAGCCTTTTCCTCCTCGAGAACCTCGGCTAGCTTCTTGCCGCGCTTGGTAATGGTTAGAGCGACGGTGATTAGCTCGCGTGGTGTTTTGGCTGCGGCGAGCTTCACGTCGGGGATGAAGTGGCCGGTGAGTTGGTAGAGACGCTTTCGGACCTGCGTATTGTTAGACGTATTTTCTCATTGTAAGATATTGGAGTACGTACAGCGAACTTGAGGTGGTCATTGTCCAGGGTAACGGTCTTCCATGAGGGGTCCAGAGCATTAACCATCTGCTGGGCCTCATCAGCGGAAATTTCAACCCTCTCCTCAGCCTCTCTAGCCTTGAGCTTCTCAGTCACAATGCGGAAGTGAGAGCTCAACTGAGCCTTTCCATTCTCGAATAGAATACCGGCGGAGAGTGTCCTGTCCAGGTGGGCTCTGTTTCCAAGAGGCCACTTCTTCACAGCGTACTCCTCGAGAAGACCTCGCTGCTGGTATGACAGCGCCTCAACCAGAGCTTGACGCAGATAAACCTCCAACACAACCTGGTCCTTCACTCGGTCTGCCTTGCCGAAGCCCTGGAATTCGCTCTCCTCGCCCCAATGGCCGGGCTGCTCCCACCACGTCTTGAGAGTGTCAATCTCCTCCAGATCCTCAAGTGAAGTCGCAGGCGTATATCCAGTATCAACAGCGCCGATCTCATTTTCAGTCAAAGCCTCGGAGTTGCTGGGCGGCAACACAAGACGAGTGTTGCGCACAGGCGAAGGTCTGCGGTCGACACTTAACAGTTCCTTGGCCTCATCGGGCAGATTCGTGGGTTGTTCTGGCTCGGGGCGCTCGTTATAGGGATCCTCAGCACCGGGAGCATCGCCCTTCCAGAGCTGCTTTCGGATCCATTGTGCCTTGTTGCCGAGAGCGTTGACGGGTGTGGAAGTAGAGAATGTGGCGCGGGCGACGAAGGGGATTCGGTTGATGGGTGCTACTGCCGACGGTAGCGAGGCGAATGCGCCTACTCTCGGTATTCGAGGCATTATGAGATGGTGAATTGGAGGGTATCGGAGGTGACCTGAGGTCAAAAAAGGATTCGTGATGGGGTCGTTGGTTAGAGGTATAACTCGATATGGAACTTTTTCCAGTGTGATGGTATTGACCAATAAGAGTCTACGAGGCTGAGGTGGATACCGGTGTCTGACCCACCCATCGTCAACTATCGATAGCCTCAAGTGGTTGACGTGCGACCTCCCATGTCCGATAAGCAACAAATCACAGCTGCATGATAGCCGAAATGGCACGAATATCTCTGTTTATTCTCCTCTTGGGAGCATTCATTTCTCTAGCAGCAGCATGTACGCGCAAACTCCATGATAAACCCTTGCAATAGCTAACACATTCCTTCTAGCCACGCCCACCTTTTGCAAATGCACATGCTTCAAGAACAGCACCATCATCCCTCTCGGCCCCAAAGACGAGTCCCTCCGCCGTTCCGTCGTCGATCTCCCCACAGTCCAGCTCGAGCCACGCTCAAAGTCGAAATCATGCTCCGAATGCACCAAGGCCTTTTGTCTCAAGCAAGGCATTGACTTCTGTAAAGACGCGACCGAGGAGGATGTCTCGACCATGTGCTTCCAGCGCGACAGCAACAAGGACAAGATTATCGTTTGGGCGTTTATCGTTGGGACTGTCGGATTGCTGGGCTGGGCTGCTTTCAAAAAGGTTGTAGCGATGCGTCAAGGGGGTGCGTTTCCAAGACAGGGTAGCAACTATGCTCCCATGCAGGGGAACTTCCGATGAGTTTATGAATAAAGCACTATATCGAACTCATCTTGGTTGAAACAGGCGCGACTTGACGGCCTCGGATATTGGGTAGAAAGGCCTTTCGGCGTTGGTTGGATTCCATCGATTTAACATGGGGTTGACCCCCTATCATAACTACTAGTACAGTTGGATCATTCATGAATTATGTTTCAAAAACAGACCAGGCATCGTGACAATTTTAATACACCCTATGTGCGCCGAGTTTTCCACCTTCTGGCCTCCTTACCAGGTCTAATCATTAACTCCCAGTTTTTACCATTTTCAATACCGAATCTTCGCTCCCCTCTACTACGCCGCAACAGCAGCATCCGTCTAGGAGCTGTTGAGCTCGCGACGAGTGCGGACAGCATCAGCCAAGTCCTCGAGGACGGTGACGGTGTCCTCCCAGCCGATGCAAGCATCAGTGATGCTGACACCACGCTTGAGACCAGCAGGGCCCTCGGCGGGGACCTTTTGGTTACCCTCGCCAATGTTGGACTCGATCATGACACCAACAATGGCCTTCTCACCCTCACGGAGCTGCTCACCGACGACCTTGGCAACCTTGGGCTGGTTTCGGTGGTCCTTGGAAGAGTTTCCTGCTGCAAGTTAGAACTGATAACGTCAAAGGGGAGTTGTCAAACATACCGTGGGAACAGTCAATCATGATGGCCTCCTTCTGCTTCTTGTCCTGAAGGACCTTCTTAGCAGCCTGGACGCTCTCCTTGTCAAAGTTGGTACCCTTGGTTCCACCACGGAGAATGACGAAGCAGTGCTCGTTACCCTTGGTTCGGGTAATAGCAGCAAGACCCTGCTTGGTGACACCCATGAAGTGGTGCTGAGCGGCAGCAGCGCCAATAGCGTCAATGGCAACACCAAGGCTACCGTCTGTACCGTTCTTGAAACCGACGGGGAAAGAAAGACCAGAGGCAAGCTCACGGTGAAGCTGGGACTCGGTGGTACGGGCACCAATGGCGCCAACAGAGATACAGTCGGCAAGGAACTGAGGAGAAATGGTGTCGAGCATCTCAGTGGCAATTGGGAGACCCTGAGTGGTTAGGTCAACAAAAAGCTGGCGGGAAACACGGAGACCCTTGTTGATCTTGAAAGAGTTGTCGATATCGGGATCGTTGATGAGACCCTTCCAGCCAACGGTTGTTCGGGGCTTCTCGAGGTAGGCGCGCATGACGATGCAGAGATCATTGGAGAGTCTATCAGAGAGCTCCTTGAGTCTGGAAGCGTACTCCTGGGCGGCAGCAGGGTCGTGAATGGAGCAAGGACCGACGACGACGAGAAGTCTGTCGCTCTGGCCGAGGACAATGTCGGCAGCATCTTGACGGCCCTTGACAACAGTGTTTGTGGCCTTCTCGGGGAGAGGGATCTCGGAGGTGAGGAGAGCGGGAGGGATCAAAGGATCCTGTCCGAGGACTGGTTTGTGTTAGTCAATGGACTTGATGTGTTTTCATGTATGTGCGAGGGGTGGATGGTTGAAGCATTGGCAGTATAGGACAACTGTTGAAGCTTTGCAGTTGTCATCTTCATGGCTTGCCATGAGAGAGGGTTGCCACAAAGCATCATGAGTCCTCTGCACAACCCCAATAAGGGCCAAAAAGGACAAATTCAATGGGAAACACTAACCTCTGGTATCATCGGCAGCGATGGTGGTCATGTCGACAGCTGAAGGCGTTGTGAATATGTGAGCTAGGATGTTCCTGTTGCAACTAGAAATTTTGATATGGAGGGGTTCGAATTACCTTTGGGCGGGTCGTGGTATTTAGATTAGACAGTGTGTAGCTCCCACGGAGTAGGCGATGGAGTAGGCGATGGATGGGTGAGTCAAAGGAAACTTCAAGATAAACGCCACGAGGCTGAATTTGACAAGTTGATGCGAGCAAGTTTGAAGTAACAAGTAGACGCACTTTTTTTTTATCCTTCTTTCTTAGGTGACTCAAAAGTTCTGGATGCATTCAGGCCAACCCAGCGTAGCACCGCACCGGAGGAGCTTCGGAGGGGGACCCCACCGAGGGGTCTTCGAGCAGGCGGTTTTTTTGCAGGGGACATATACAAAATACATTGGGTTCACTACGTCAGGGTTCTAGAATTTCATAATTATCAATGGTCTAAGCTCAATTGGCTCCGATTTTGGGTCCGCAGAATACTAATTTCTCGGTTAGACGAGGTGAAGATGAAAAGACTTTATATCATTAGAATATCAGCTTAATCAATGTGATATAGTTGGACAATGTACCGCCTATGTCGGAGGTTGGGTTGGTTGTAAACACAATATGCATGCAAGGAACGGATGATCACTTTTACCGCCACACGTTCTACCCATTCCGCACGAAAGGGTGCAACCTCCACAAACCTGTGAGAGGTTATCATGCTGTGTGTTTACTGTTGTACTGCATTAGCCTTTTCTTTACGAGTTGTAAAGTACGATTGGTACAGACAAGATTCACGCATCTTGAGGCCACATGAGAGCCCATTCAACTTATATTTACTCCTAATTGGGTCCATGAAGGCTTTGGCTTTGGCTTTGTAGATTTCCCATTCAGGGTCCAAGGGTCTGGTCTAAGAAACTAGGGTATACCACAACAATCGTAGTGTTGTTTATTCTCTACCAATAAACGCGTCTGAGAAAACAACGTGAAATAATATGCGATAATCTCTCTCATCCCTTGACAGGTAATATGAGTAATTCGCCTTCGTAGGATTTGTATTTAGAAAAAGTGGAATAAGGGAGATATTCCTGGTGACGTCGGCATGCAAGAATATTTGTGTCAGGGTCTGTTGGTATCGTGGCGGCTTGCAAATCTCCCCACGTTTAGAGCTTGTGAGGTTCATCAGTTGCACAAAGGAATGTGTGTCGCCAAACAAAAGGGGGGGATTAATGAACCACCAAAACATGGGAAATTACGTGGGAGGATGCATCAACCAAACCAATGCTACTACAAACACAAGGTGTCACAAGATGGAGAAAGAGTTCGTGTTTCTTACTGAAGCAAATGGTTCCTCTGATATTATCCATGATTTTCGTATGACACTACCCTACAGCACGGACCGGAAGGTCAATCACCGAAGAGTCTAACCAAGCGATCTGAGCCAAGTACAGAAGTTGTCTCAGACATGTCCGAATCAAATCAAGAAGCCCGTTGCAACGTCTCAGAACAATACTAGACGGAAAAGACGGGAATTCAACCAAGCGAAACACAACTGAAACCTAACTAGACATTCAAGTTCCGTTGACAATATGTCGACTCGACTCTCACGACCTGTTGAAATGTAGTGAACCGTGTTACGTCTGAGCCTCGTACTGCGGACCTGTTGGCCCGTGAGACCCTTGTTGTTAGCCCAGGCTGTCCACTGAGCCCAGCCCAGTCTGGCCCGTCTCTTGACCTACATTTGCTTTTCTCGTGATGGAGAGAAGATAGCATGACAAGCATGACAAGCATGACAAGACAAGCCTCGTGTCAAGGGTCAATTAGATCATCGTTTTCCCTCAACAAGGGATCGCTCGGGTTCTCGGCGACCCCACGGCGAGAGTCGTAGGAATCCGATCGTCTGGTGTAGTGAACCGAATTCGCGCCATGGCGTTGTTGGTCTCCATTCATTGACAAACTTTGGCCTTGTTCTTTTTCCACCTTGATTCACAGACAGAACCAACCCCTTTTCTCTTTTCTCTTTCCCTTTGACTTGGCAGTTGAAGTCAGTGACGTTCACTCCTTTTCATCATTCAGCTTTTCATCAACATTTCATTCTTCGATTCATCATTAATTGCTGTGCAGTTTGACTTTGACCCTTTGTTTACTTTCCATCCGATACAAAACGGTTTCTTCGCTTCACCCAACGCCGAGACATACCCTCAAATCGAGAATAGCATAGACCGCCTTATTTCCCCGCTCCTTCCATTGTCTCAGTGACAGCCAGCCCCAAAAAGACGCCCCAGCCTCTCAGGCTTCTCGCTCTATCTGCCTGGCTTACTGCCTGCGTTCCAAGCTTCCCCCTCCCCGTCACAGCCTCCGATCCACTATCCGTGGCTTCCCAGCTGCCATCCTTGATCAAGGCCGCCACTTCCACGTGAACTCAACTCTAACCCAAGCCCAACCTCTTACACTTGCTTTGTCTATCGTTGACGTTATTCTATTCATATTCTGTCAACAGCATCACCATCAAACCCAAATCACTTTTTTTTTATTTTAATTTTTTTTTTTTAAATCTGACTTCCATCACGCATCCATCGCCTTACATCGGATATCCCCGCGAGCACTACTACTGTACGACTTTCCCGGGGGACCTTTGACTGTATCCACCCGCATTGATACGCAGGGTCCGATAGCAAGGTCTACATCACTTGATCGATCCAGCTCGTCGGACAACTTGTGTAATTTCTAGACATCAACATCAACAACGAGTAACGAACAACTTGCATCAAGACAAGACAAGACAAGATGTTTGCCGCACAGCAACATCCCTTTGAGCGAAAACGGGGTCGGGAAGAAGAACAGCTCGCTGCGAATGGCATGAGCTTCGGTGAGCACCGAAATGTAAGTTGACCGACCATCATGACAATGATAACCAGGTTTTTTTTAAATACGAAATTCTGACTTTCGTAGAAACGACTCCAGTGTCTTCCTCTTCGTGCATCTCCTCGAACTGCACAACAATGGCTACCCGATTCGTCCATGCAGCCTTCCAACATGGCTTGCCATGATCAATTCCAACAAACTAACTTTTCGCAATGGCCGTCAACAAACATGACGCCACTAAATCATGGTTATTCTGACATGGACATGATGCAAACAAACCAGATTCAGCAACAACAAACGGACCGATTGAGCATGATGCAGTTGGAGTCTGACAACTCCAATGGGCGCATGCCTACTCCCATTCAGCCCAGCTTTGCCGCACAGGTTAGAGGCCAACAGCCAATGACAGCCCCTCCCAACGGCGTTGCAAACCTTGGACATCACAACACCGGCCTCAACGAAGATCAGAGCGTTCCTCGCACAATGGCTGGAGGATGGCACGCCGTTCAAAACGAACGACGCCTCCCCTCGCCCATTTCCGAAGGTGACGATTCCATGGTATGCCAACCCATCACCCCTATCACGGTACAGTTCAATCATGAGAACATGTCTCCAGGCATGGGGCATCCCAACGTGAAAGTTCAGCCATCGCCTCCTCATGATGTGGAACACCATATGATGGATGCAGAACCGATCTGCCCAAGGCAGGCGGCCGATGGCGAAGGTGACCCTACAACACCTTCTCCTCGACGGGGTCATATTAGAAGTCGACACACCGTCAACAACTGGACATGGCAACCCGGCATGAAGAAGAGTTTTAGCATCGGATACCGATCAGACTGTGACAAATGCCGTGACAAGGTTCCGGGTCATTTCAACCACATTATCGTTTCCTAGGAGGGGAAGGACACCATCGTGGACCGTGAGAAACATCCTGCTCTATAGGATAGTGTGAGGCCACGCAATTGGAGTGAGGAAAGACAGGAGCGCAGAATTGGTTATCGAAGCAGGGGTCTCCAAAACAAGGCCCGCAAAAAGGAAGTGCGCGAAGCCTTCAGTCTACGAATGGCTTTTGCCAACGCTTGAAGTTTTTGGACTTGACACATCAACAGCTCGAGTACATGCTACCCGTGTGGCTCCGGGCTCACACTAGACTCTTGGCGAACTTCGCTGGACATTGACAGCAGAGGACGATCTTTTATTTTTTACTTTGTTAATGGCGTTACGGATATGGGAAGCGGCTACAACAGCATTTGATCATTCAGGGCACAATTCGTTACCCACAAAGAAACAGGGATTTGAAAGTTAGCGAAACGATCGGTATTGGACCGTCAGGTATAAATGGAAATACCACAGTAGCGATAATGTCAATATCCATAATGGAGCTATACAAAGCTCAATTATACAAACACATCGAGGATCATGGTGATACTGTTTAGTCGCTTAGTATTGAATAGATAGGTAAAGTAAAGTAGGGCTTTGCCTCACACCTAATGGTACATACAAGATGGTCCCCCGACGCCGTCTAATGCACTGCCAATCTACACATATGATACACTCCTTTTAGTTTCCTCCACGGCTGTCAGCTCTGTATCCCTCGCATTGCTGCCGTTTGCCTTTCCAATTATATTTTATACAGTTTACCAGAACTTCCACCATGACTTGCCGGAGGCTGGCACAGGTTGTGTTCCCAGTCGGTCTAGAGGGCCTCCGATTTGTTGATTCTCCCGCCCAGTCTGAATTGCTTGCTCCAGCTTCGCTTGACCGTCAGCAGCCAAGTTGGTCAACTGTGTCTGTGCCGCGGCCAATCCCTCTGTCGCTTGCTCCTTGATCTCCTCCGTCTTCGATCCACCTCCTAGCACACCGGAGAAAATTCCCAGCACGCCCTTTCCACTTGATGTCTTTGTAGCACTCTCCTCGGTCTTGTCCTGGAATGTGGGCTTGATGTGCTCCTCGAAATGTGTGCGGTGTTCGGGGGCGCCAAGCAGAGGTGGTAGCTTCTCGCCTCTTGCCTGGGCTGCTTGGTTGGCCTCCTCAACGAGGAGAATCTGGTCCTCGGTTGCTTCGCCCTTGATGTAAGCGAGACGGGCCATGGCTAGCTCGTCGGCTTCGAGTAGCTTCTGTGCTTCGACCCATTCGGCTCGGCGGGCGCGGTTATATTGAACCATATCGACGACGGAGTATACGGAGACAATACCTGCGACGACTATTTTCTGTCAGTAAGTTTTTTACTGCCTTGTATTTCGTCATGGTATCATACGTGTGAATGTCACAATTCCTCTTATAGTCCATCGATGCGCAAAGTCAAAGAATTTCCTTGATGTGTCGAGGAACCTATCCGTCTTGCTAACTTGAGCACGCTGAGCGGCAATATGAGCCTGGCGCAGTCTCCTCACGCGCTGCTCGGGTGTCTCGCCTGGGATGCGCGCTGTTCGTTGGGCGGTTTTGGAGGTTGCGTGGGGGATTGTGGACGTGAAGCGGGTGGCGTCCTTGACGCTTCTGGGGCCTATCTTGGAAGCCATTGCGTAGACCAATTTCCTTATTCTCAGTGAAGAGCTAGTAAACAGAAAGCCGTTTAATTCTGCGGCGGTCGTCGTGGGGTGTCGTCGTCGAATCGAGATATGGAGTGGGAAGTGGTGTCATGAGATTTTTCGGGTCGTTAAACTGGCGTGCAGAGTGGAATTGTGGAGTTTTGATTGGTGCGGAGTAGGTTCGGTTCGGAGGAGGTGGGCTGTAGACGACATGGAAAAGGTTTATTGAAATGGTTATTGAGATAATGACGATGATGTTGACGATCAATGATTTTTATTTATTTACGCTGCGAATGATTGATGGTGATGTTATCGCGGTGGATGAGGCACCACCTGACGGCGCCTGCAATCTAGAAGACAATAATGAACCATGCTATTGGCATTCATGAAATCGCACTTCGAAGAGCACAGAAGGAAATGACTTTACTACAGCCCGCTACCCTAGGAAGCATCTTGAAGATGATGCCCTAGATGGAATACTCGCTGCGCGCTGAGGTAAGATCGGCGGCTGCTACAGTAGCATGCCTCGAATACAGGGCCTCATTTGTCGCGGTTCTGTAGCATGTCGAGTAGATTCCAGCATCACAGGCAGCGAAGGCGCAACGAACACAGTGGGAGAGCAGCAATCAATTATTCCGCAAGCATCACAACTGGAATTTACGGTATTCGAGGGTATATCACGATCAAGCAACTCTTCTTCATGAGACGGCATCAAGCCATCAACACAATGAAAAGTGAGGTTCAAAATCAAAAATTCCGCCCCCTATGGCCCCGAAGGACAATAGAGTATGGAAACGACTCCGCGATGTGCAATGCAGGCCTTCCATACTGAGAAGGCCAATTCATGAGCTGGCCTTCTCGGAACAAGGTAAGTATGAAGAGAAAAGGAAATCGGATTCAAAAGCGGGCGACGAAGGCGGAGCTTTATAGGTTTTTTGGGGCCCTCCTTGGTGCCTTGAACCTCAGGCGCGCAGGGGCTGGGAAATTGCTGCCTTTGGCAGGGACCACCAAGGTTTGGCTGCCTAGAATTGTGCAAGTGAATGACTGGACGTTCTTTCCACAAAATTGTGTTTTATCTGCGATGTTATCTTCATGTGAAAACAAGCTTTTGGAGTCTGTTTGTGTTTAAAGAGGAGACATTTTACTAGCGTCGCGACCACTGCAGATAAGTTGGAGAAAGACTTAGTTGTACGACAGCTGGATGTTACCTCTTGGTATCGGATAAACTTATCGCATTGGAGAAGGCTTCTTTAAAAGTTTCTTGAAGATATGATATACTGAACTCCAATGCTCAAGGGATCATTGCACAGACCATTAGAATGACAACAGTGGGCTCAATGCAGATTTCACATCACCAGTAATCTGAGCTAACATGACTGGACTTGGTCACTCCATCATGTGTTTTTACAGGAACAACTGTCACAATGAGTGAACCCGTATTCACAACAACTTACATCTTCACGCGCTTCGTCTGCGTGAAAAGGACCTGCCTTTGAATGCGCTCCAAAGGGTCCTTCTCGGTAACACTAAGAACAACCGTCGTGTGCAATTTACGATACAGACTGGCCGACTCAGAAGGACTCATGCTCCTGGCTTGACTCGAGTAAAAGGGGACTCCTGGCAACAACTGCCTAGCTAATTATGCAATTCGGAAGGCTCTGCCGTATAGCTGCGATTTGTCGGTTCGTTATATTTCCACTGGAGAACAACTACAAATTGACCCAAGTTCTCATGTGAGTCAATACTCGATATTGGCTCCTGCCTCAAAGATACAATGGCTGTCCCTTGGATGGAATACCTGTAACGAGATCCACGCTATCGCGCAAGAGTATTGAGAATACCCTTTCTCAAGAGTGTAATCTGTCTTCTTCTTCTTTATTTAGCTCTACGTATAGCAAGCAAATACCGTTCAACTATCTTGTCCCAGAATGTTGGACCTCATTCCCTCAAACTCTCTTACAGTTATCAAGAGTCTCCCAATGACAACAGCCAGCTGCTTCATGACGTCTCCACAGTGTCTAGACCCCCAGGTTCGCGACAGCGCTTTCCGCTACAACGTTTTCCCGCTCAAAATTCGAAATTTAGAAGCCCACCTACACGTGACCCGCTCCTTCCCGCTAGACTCGCTAACCACCCCCCACCAATGCAGAAGGTAGGGCTCGAAAACCCTTCTAGGAATTTGACAAGCCTCAACCCTCCGAAATTTCCACGCCTCACGACCCGACATCGACAATCGGAGCACGGTAAGCAGACAAAATGGTATGGATATATGCGCCCATTGTGATAGCGATGAGATGATTATCGCCATCATGTTTGCCAACATTCGCTGACCTGCAATTCTACAGACGATCCGGTACAACCAGAAGCTCGTCAGTAACCGTGAGCAACACCCAACCCGATGAACGATATGACACCAAAGAACACGAGGGACTGACTCCTCGAATAGATTTCCGCAAGGATTGGCAGCGCCGGGTTAAAACCCACTTCGACCAGGTATGGCGACACCCCGACGAGAAGAACGATGATTCGATTTTCCGGAAACTCTTCAAGGCGCACAAATATTAACTGTTGGAATAGGCCGGCAAGAAGTCCAGAAGACGTGTCGCTCGCAAGGCCAAGGCTGCTGCTCTTGCTCCCCGTCCTGTCGACAAGCTCCGACCCGTTGTCCGATGCCCTACCATCAAGTACAACCGTCGTGTCCGCTCCGGCCGTGGTTTCACCCTGGCTGAGCTCAAGGTATGAGAATATCCAAGTCGAAAACAAACGACTCGAAAATACGCAATTGTCCAGATCTGACTTTCTCTGCAGGAGGCCGGTATCCCCAAGGCTTTCGCTCCCACCATCGGCATTGCCGTCGACTTCCGCCGCCAGAACCTTAGCGAGGAGTCCCTTGCCGCCAACGTCGCCCGCCTCAAGGCTTACCAGGAGCGACTGATCCTCCTCCCCCGCCGATCTAACGCCCTCAAGAAGGGTGACACCAAGGCCGACGCCTCCGTCGAGAAGATCTCTCACGTCGCCGCCGCCTTCCCTATCGCCCCTACCGATATCGCCGTCAAGGAGATCTCCAAGAGCGACATGCCCTCCAACATCGAGGCTGGCGCTTACCGAACTCTCCGTGTCGCTCGTGCCAACGCCCGATACGAGGGTGCCCGCCAGAAGCGTATCCGTGATGCTGCCGAGGCTGAGACTGCCAAGAAATAAACTTGCAAAAAGGGAACAGGTGTTTGAGGGTTTTGCTCTTTATGTCATTGAGGCATGGGCACGTCGGTTCGAGGCTCTGATGAAAGGCTTGGCCTGGGTTGGAGGAAGGATACTCTAGGTCCAGCTCAAGAAATTTATTGCATGATCGCCGGCTTTGTTCTGTCATAACTCGGTCAATGGATGCATTACGTGCATATGGTGTCTCTGCTTGTTAAAAGTTACTTGTTATGATTTCAATTTGGTACAAGCTCCGCGTGATGTGACTCTATATTTTCATTTTGTGTGCATCCATCTATATGCCGATAATTTGGCTACTCATCTGCCTTTTTCCCTAACAATTCCGTTCCTTGTCTAATTAAACTTTGTAGTCGGCTCACTTGGGCTGGCTCGAGGGTTTCTCCATTCTTGACAATTTCGGTACACAGCACCAGACAATTCTCTCTATCCACCTTGGCCATGTTGGCCTGCTGCTTTGGGTCGACCTGTTGGGGTTCCAGAGCAAGTTCCTCAGGAATAGCTGGAGGAACTTCAGGCATGCCACCCTCGATTTGAGGTGTCTTGTTGTCAGATGTAGTCTTGCCAGTGATTGCAAAAGTTAAAGCATCCATGGCTCCAGATACGTCGAGTACCTTTGCAACAACCTGTGCGCCATCCTGAGATCGTGACAGAAGGGCAAAGACGAACCATGCTTCGGACCTAAGAATAGGCCACTTCTCCTGTGTAATGAGGAAAGAGAGAATTTCGGAAAGGTCGTGCTCGGCATAGAACAAACTTCTCGATTGAGTTTCTTCCTTCTCAGTGTTCCATCCCGAGAGGACTTCGTTTACGGGCGTGGTGTGGAGTACACGGCACACAGTAGCAACACTGCGGGCAGCCTCGAGTCTAGTTGGCTCCGTATCAGAACGACCAAATAGAGAGATGACATCGTGAACAGTTGTGTGATTATTGGAAGACCCCTCAACCTCCACGGTTCTAGGTGTTGTGATTCGGCGGACGTTATCAGGGGAGTTGACGAGAAGTAGGCGGAGCAAGGACACGGCAGAGAATTGAACTTGGGGAAGAGTGTCGATGTTCAATATCCGTGGTACACTGGCAGGCTCCAGCAGCTCACCCAGCACTGATTTATTCTGTGCCGGAATGGCAAGGTTTTTGAGAAAAGACAGTGCTGAATGGAGAAGCTGGGCATCGGTAACCTCAGTATCAGAGAGGATAGCCATAAGAGGAACATGGGCCTGATGCTTCTGCACGAAAGCGGTAGAAGCCTGGTCTGAACGTGAGAGGTTTCCAAGGGCCAGACAAGCCGCTGACTGTAGAATGGCATGAGGTTCCTTCAACCACTTCAGTAGAGACTGGGGCACAGAACTCTCGAGGGGGTAGAGGGCAGGGAAATAATCACTGCCAGTCAGATCCGCCAGTGTAGTGAGCAACGAAGTGCAAAGTTGGCCCAACTCCTTGGCTGTATCTTCATCATCAAGCTCTGCATCGAACTGAGTGTGTGCGATATAAAAGGCCTTGACAAACCCATCCACCTGCTTTGTCTTTAGGAGTTGTTCTTGGAAGGATTCGTTTGCGAGATAGCTGGCCGCAGTGGAAACAAGGGCCATAAAATCCTCGATGTCAGAATTATGATCAGGGCTGGTTGCGAGCTTGAGGAGAGTAGAGACTGTAGTGGGGTCTGCGATAGTCGCTTCACCATCGTGCGTGATGAGCAGAGCCAGGATCTTGCAGAAGTAGGTGATCAAAGGGCTGTAGTCAGACAGGTTAGGGGATTGAAGCAGAGCAATTAGGTGGCTGCTGAGTCTTGACTGCGATGCGAGAATTTGGGCAGGTTCTGGGAATGTTAGCATTGGAGTTTCTCATATGAGGAAAATACTTACCGTAGTCTACGAGGACATTATAAAGAACGGGAATCAGGTATGGAACAAGATTCTTATCCTGCAAATGGTTGATGAAAGAGATTATGTACTTTCCCTCGACAACACGAGCTCGGTTTGCATCCGTATCAGCACAAGAGTTTCCAGTAACGCGCAAAGCTTGTACCTTGACACCATGGCTTTGCTGTTCCTCAGAAGCCAGGATGTCAAGGAAGAATTCGAGAATGCCAGAATCTCCATATGGTAGTCTCCAAGCAACTGAAATAAGGTTAGGAAGATTTAGATATGCGGCTAGTGTAGCTTACCGTCTCGACTTCCGTCACCAAGTGCCTTGGCTGTCCCTTCTAATGTGGAAGAATCCTGTGACTTGAGAGCTTCCAGCACCGGTGAGAGTAGTTTTGTCCTTCTTGAGACAGCATCTTGAGCTTCGTTGGCTGCATCGTATGCGTCTGGTGCAACTCCGCTACCTTCACGCTGTAGCAACACAGCTACGTCTTGGGGAGTTGATGCCATGATATATCCTTTAATGGTATGTATGTGGTGATGTTGGACACTTCTAGTTGTTGTCAGTTATCCTACCCTATAAGACATGTAGGACTGTAATTTGCTTACAAAGGAGGAACAATTTTGGCAATTTGGACTTGTTCTTCTGAAAGAAAAATATCTCGAATTTTATTCGAATTTTCAAGAATATCTTGAATTGTTTTCTTCCTTCGCAGTTTGAGATGTCTCATTCAATAACTTTTATTGCGGTCAGCTAATATCTTATCCTGTTCCTGCGAGCTCCATCGCGGGGCACATTTCGGTGAAGCTCGGTGGATTGCGGTGAAACCCCCACCCTTAAGGTATTAGAAAAATTGACCACTGGAAGCATAAGACACGAAATTAGTAGGTCACTTTATTCGCCTTAGGCTATAGTTCTTAGACTACTTATTTTTATACCCTAAGACTTAGGAGGCCATTTTTCTGCTACCCAGTAACCTCACCTTGCCTGTCGGCTAAAATTCGGAAGGTCTTTGGCTGCCGGCGGTTCGGCGGGTACAAAATTCCGACCTCGGAATGATCCGCAGCCAAACCCAACTTTGCTTTGCTGGGGAAAAAGTCTCGAGCAGCGCCATCAAGATCCGATCCTCCTCCTCGTTGCGAACGAGGGCCACTTACGCTATTTCAAAGTCGCTTCCTAGCGATATACCCACCTTGATCCCTCCGACAATCGATTTCTCTTCCATCACCATAATCCTCTCACAATGGTATGATACGCACTTACACACGCGAGTCCCACCATGACATTTATGTCTCGATTCGCCGCCTTCAATAAATTCGCCCGCTAACACTTTTGGTCCCCCAGGCGCACAAGTTCGTCGTCACAGCCTTCTTGACAGGCTCTCGAATCCTCGGTCGATCCTTCGTCGCCGCTTACAAGCAAGCTCAAGCTGCTTCCGCCTACCAGCGCGCCCAGGTCAAGGCCGGCAACACCACAGGCGGTGCTTCTCTCTCCTCAGGCATGACCCTCGATGAGGCATGCAAGATCCTCAATGTCAAGCCCCCTGCCGGCGGACAGGCCAACGTCGAGGAGGTGTTGAGCCGTTACAAGCGACTGTTTGACGCCAACGAACCCCAAAAGGGTGGCAGTTTCTACCTCCAGAGCAAGATTGTGAGAGCAAAGGAACGATTCGAGCGAGAGATTGGACCTATACGGGAGAAAATGGAGGCAGAGGCCGAGATCAAAGAGGGCTTCAAGCCCAAGGTCTACAAGGACTAGTCTGACATTCCCTTATATGTTTGGGTAGTGAAAGACTGAAGGCGAAAAAAAGCGACACAACACACTTGTATGATTTGATCTTGGAGTACGACACCTTCAAGTATGTGGCCTCGTAACGGGAGTTTTGAGGAGGGTTTTCGGAGAGGGAGGGAGTTTCTCCATGTATACATGTACATCTTCACTCGATTGCGGCATGGCACGGCGTTTATTGGGTTATCGGTGGCGTGATGAGCCGCTCGAGGTTGGTTCTTAGACGAGGAAAAAAAAGATACAGAACAGACGACCTATGCTATCTTATGTTTAATACAACTGTACGATATTGAACGGAGCACTTGGGACCACTTTTTGTTATAAGTGAGATGGTGGCATGCACAGCAATGGATGGCAAGTTATGACTTTGGCGGCATGAGAGGAGAAATGATAGTTCTGCTAGCGATGTATCTCCAGACTCAACATCTTCGCAGATATTACAACCCTTCGACCGAAACGACCAACTACACCTCGCAATATCTCTGATGTCAGATCGCTGCATAGTCCAAATAATAGTGATTGGTAGAGACGGCATGGGCATGGGCTGTCCTATTGACTAATTAAAGGTCTTCTGCTACAAAGCGCCCTTTTCAAAAACCTTTGTGTGTTTTTGACGAACAACTTGGTTGGATCTGCCATGGTGAAGTCGAGATTGCTGGGACTCCAGGGGACGTTCAAGAAGTTAATTGGTATCCAATCTAGTCAACCACCGTTCCCTTTCGGCGTCGCATCGTCCGCGCCCGTTGGGAATATAACCTAACACGCGATAATATCACTGGGGGAGGGGCGCCTTAGACGATGAGGTATTCGAAAGAGTTCCAAGAGTTTGTCAGGCGACCATACGAGGCGATGAGATATACCAAACAGAAACACAACTGGATGAAACCAGACAATATCCCAAAACCTTTCAAGGAACCCGCAGAGTCCCCCCCCAAGTGATCCCAGCCCAGACGCCGTAATAATACCCGCAAGCAGGAAAAACTATGCGACAAAAGAGTCGCCAACCAAACCCTTCTCGTCAAAATATAATGCCCAACTATGCGCCTTCAACAACTTTGGCCAGGCGTCCAGAAAGTCAGGATTATACTCCAGCATCTTCACGTACTTCTTCACCTCATTATTCACCTTATTTCCCACCTCCTTCTTCACCTTCTTTTTCGCTTCCTTCACATATGTTCGTCAAAATATAATGCCAAGTCCTACATACAACTATGCACCTTCAACCGGGTCTCCCTGCTCTGGAGTCTTGACCACATTTTATCTACCCTCACTTACAAACTCTGTACCTTCAACAACTCTAAGCACCTCGAAAGAAGAATCCATGCTCCAAAGAGCAACGTATCACAGGCGTTTCTGGTTAGCCAGGACGGCGCGGATAGCAGCCCGAGCAGGGGAAGTAGTGGTCTTTTAGGAGCCCGCGGCAGCCCGTCATTGCCCCCTGTCTCGACAAGACAGTATGATTCCTTTTTGAGTAGCAAATACCCGGTGTCCAAAGGTTCGGATGATGTTGCAAGCATATGGTTCCCTTCGCGGATCGGCGATAACCTGATATGCCGCATCCTTATGTCTCTGACTCCCAAGGCGCCTGTTGGTTGGGAAATTGTAGTTGCATGTCGCACGCAATGCGGATATGGGATGGTTGAGTGTCATTTACTCTACAACGAACAAAAAGCGACAAGACAAACCCTACTACAACCTTTACTAAGAGCAAAAAATCTCGAAATAAATTAAACCACTAAGACAACGACGTGGGTATGCTGCTCCCAACTCCAACTCCAACTCCAACTACATCAGGTCTATTGTTACTCATATTATCAGATTCAGCTACCTATATATAGGCCCTATGTCCTCTGAATTGCCGTCTTTCTTTCCCTTCTCTTTATTATTATCACCCGCATTACTATCTACTACTGCAGCAACGTCGCAAATCGAAATCCCCATAGACAAGTACCGCCCTGGTACCGCCTAGCAATCCCTTTTCATATATGGTCTGGCTATCTGTATTAGAATTGTAGTAACTGGCACGTATAGGAACGAGTTCAACGGACAAACCGCTTCCTTGCTCACGTCGCCGAAGAGAAAGACAAAGCTGCCGTTCGGGATCATCATACGTTGACTCGAAAAGGTTCATGAAAGGCTTGTGTCCTACTTGCCCATGGGCATCTGTGCCATACCCGTATTGCCGAAGGCGTCAAAAATATACGCACTTGGCGATACACGGGCGGAAGCCGTCCAGGCGCGGTCAGGGCGAGTCGTGGGATTTTGAATCGGTTGGAGATTGGAACTTTATGCCTGATGACTTAAAGCGAAGGCTTTGAACGCTCTTCGTGACGGCATGGCTGACGGGAACGTACCGAGTGCCACTTCCATTATCGGTACAGACGAGAGCCCTGGCCATCTGCATTCTTTCAATGAGCTCAAGGTCTTCATCATCACCCCCTTCACTAGGTGATGAGCAAGACCCCGAGACTTGACTTTTCGCTTGACTGGCTAACTTGAGCGATGTCGTACATGCATTTTTCGATGCGTTCTTCGGGGCCAGAAACCAAGGCATGTGGATACCCTTCTAGTGGGATAAATTCAGCCAAGAATATTCGTCACGATGCTGTCCACCGTAGCGAGGTGAAAGTTAATAAAATAGTAGTGTCTCTGGACCACGCGGTAGATCTCTGTACAATTCTTGGAGTTCAAGAAGACTTGGATAAAGTCAGTGTCTGCTCAAGTTCTTTCCTATCGAGGGAGTCAAATCTGGCCCGTATCGACGCCCGGGAAGGATAAAATATTAAAGACGAAGGACGACTGGGTCAATTGGTTAAGTAAACTGAGAAGCGGAAAGTCAACCGCTCAGATCTATCAGCATCCGCTGGGCAACCCCAAGACAGAGATAACTTGGGTCACTATCGCGCCCGTGATGGCCAATCCTCGATGGACTGAACATTCTATCAGGAGAACTGAGGATTGAGATTCAAGATCGACAGGGTTTCCAGATAGAGTCGGCACAGTGGTCTGGGGACGTCTGGATAAGAGTTACCGAGCCAGATTCAAGGTCTCGAAATGTCAAACACTTCATCAGTACACACGTCAACGGCCAAGGCATCTACCATACATTAGTTAGGTCAGCTCTTGTTGACGCGCCAAAAACCGTCAGTTATGACATTCCATCTCATCTCAGCCCAGCCCCTGATTGATTTAGTTTTCCTCACCATGAAAAATTGGGGTTAATTAGTAGTTATAAGATTGCTAACATTATCATAAACTCAGCCTGTTCCCATTCTATGACTTATACTAGACCGCACTCTCTCATCGTCTCTGTCAATAATCCCTATGTTCTTACTCTTGTCCGCCGACGCAAATCCGACCGTCATTATATCCCGAAAACACAAAGATTAACGATCCCTATTCTTATCGGTGATTAAGAGACCTTTCAATCATCCACAGTTATGACCAAAAAGACAGACTCAAAGCCAACCAATCGGACGTGCACTATCCGGCCTCACTCCTAGGCCCGGCTGGCTGTATACACTCTCACTATACTGAGAAGGGCCCGGCTGGGGAGTGTTTGGCGCAAGGTTCGGGCTATTAGGCAGAGGAGTCATGATCGCCGGAGAGTAAGTAGCGCCAACAGGCCGACGGGGAATTGAAAAACGGTTCAGCGAGTTGTCGACAGGCCGAGGAGCACTGTATGGCTGCGGCGAGAGGTATGGGTTCGCAGCAGGCCGAGTCTTTGCATTCGCCGAACGGGGTGAATTAGTAGCAGGTCGACTAGTATACATATTCTTCGGCCGACTGATCTTGTCCATGGCGTGAACTTCAGGATTGCGTCCAGGTGCCCTCATCCACATCCGCATAGTCTCTCCCCATTCCCTGCTATACAGCGACTGGCCGCCAGAGGGAGTATCGGGAAGCCAATACGAACGGCGTTGACGATCGGGCGTTTGAGGTTCAGGGGTTGAAGGAGAGGCAGGAGGAGGGGCTGGAGGCAGATGTTTCCTGAAAGGATGGACGATAGTCGGCCTGGGCTTTTTGGCATGTTTCCTCTTGTAGTGCCTGTAGCTCAACCAGGAGACGACAATGAGTAAGCCTAAGAAGATGATTCCTCCTATGATGCCACCGATTATAAAGTCTGTCGTGTCCTTGGACTTTTTCTTGGGTGTCGGAGTTGCAGTTGGCTCCAGAGTTGCAATCGGCCCTGGGACTGCAGTTATTTTTGGAACAGTTGATGAGGTTACAGTTGGCTCTGAAAAGGCTGCCGATGTAGTCTTCCCTGGTATGGTACTCTGATCCTCCTCAGGATTCGGTAGAGTCCACCATACAAGAGGAGGGGATGTAGGCTTGGTAATGAAGACTGTCGTTGAGACTCTCACAGTATGGGTCTGTTTGTGAGGCAAGACAGGCTCATCCGTCTTTTCAGTGGAAGTAGCGGGTTGACGAAGTCGCGTAGACCATTCAGGAACCTCAGTTAGGAGAGGATTAGGCCACGAGAATGTGCGTCCCTCGTCTCGTGTAGGATCTATGATGATAGGTGCTTCACCCTGGGCTGGGACATGCGGAACTGTGAGGGCCCTGTCGATTCTGGAGTCATCCTTTACAGGTTTGGGATAATAACTATCAGAGAAAACATGTTAACAGACCATTTAATGAGTGATGTTTAGAACGACTTACTGTTCTTCGTCTTGCAGATCTTCACCCTGTATGTAGGGACAGTTACCGGCCACAGCCTTACCTCCGATGATGCAGTATCGGGCACTGGACAATGTCGCCATAGCGACAAGGAGGAAAACTCTTCCAAACATGGTTTCTAAAATTTGATCCTATCTTGGAAATGGTTGGAGATAGATAGATGGGTGAGATGAAGCTGTAGAATTGTTTGGGTTGAAGAGTGAAAGCTGATTCCCAGAGGACAAAGAGAACACGTTCGCGCGGGAAGAGAACCATTTTATTGTTTGTTGCGACTTGAACTCTGTCAAACAGAGTTTCTAAATAGACTCACGAACGAGGGTTGAGTGAATGCATGTTTTTTGCGTCAGTTGTTTGCTGTATTGTGGGAGTGTTTGTCACGTCACACGACTATACATAGAACAGAGATTCTGCGCAAATACGTTCAAATAGGGTCTTATTTAGAGATTTACAAGATGTATCTACAGGGGAAATGTGTTTTATCTTCACTGTTGATTGTAGGCGAGGCAAGTCAGATCACTTCTTTGAGGGAAGTTGTGATTTGGATAAGCTGGGGTTTGACATTGATGCGTGGGTCGCAATATAAGTCAAGGTTCATGAGAAAAGATTGATAATAATCTCCAAACTCAAAGTCCATGTTTTCACGCGTCAACTAAAACCTTTTCATAGCCCTAAATACAATTAATAAGCAAGTTTGACCTTGCGCTCTAGGTTCTAAAGTACCAGAAACCGTGATCCGAAGTCAAATACCATTGCCAAAACCCATTACCCTCTGCAACAAAACAAAACTCAAATCCAGTTATCGTCTCGCGCCGTACCCTTACCTTTCGGATCACTGTAATTCTGCTCTTCAGCGAACTTTGACCCCGAAGCTTCACTCGCAGTCTGTCTGACTCCCATCTCATACTCCTCATTCTCACCCTTCCAGTAGTCGGTATAGCGAGGCGGTGGACTTGCGACACTATCAAGTCTCTTGATGACTTCTGTTCTTACCACACTTTCCTGCGAATGCAACGATGGTGGCATGGGACTCGGTCGTGAGTCATCTGAGTGTGACCACCGAGAAACATCACCATTGCGGATTGTGATATTGACGTTGTTCTGACTATCTGATGGTGGAGAAGGAAGTCGACGTCTCCAGACAGCGTAAAATACTGGGACGCATAGCAGGAGTACTAGACTTATGGTACCGACTATGACGCCAACCAGCTCAACGGTGCTCAGATAGGATTTGGAGGATGGCGCAGCGGTAGATGTGGCAGGAGGAGGTGGTGGTATGGAGGTAGGAGGAGGATTGAGACTGGTTATCCAGACGGTTCTGGGTGCTTCCGGTTTGATGCTTGGGTCATGGGTTACTATTGACCCAAATTCGTGGGTGATGGTAGACAGGAGGATATCAGATACAACCCCATCGACTGGTCGGTTTGCGACAGGATTGTGAACCGTCTTTGTTACCGTCAGGGGTTCGTCGGACGTCGACATGGCGCTTGTGGATTGGGTCTCGCTGGCAGTTACTGTATCCCAACCCCCGGTAGTGTCAATGGTAGTAACTCCGATGACGGTATAGCCAGAGGACAATCCCGTTGACGTAAATGTGCGGTTATCCTCCTTTGCCTTGTCAACGTTTGGGAGGTAGTTACTCTTCTTGGCCAAGCTGTTCTTCTTCTTCTTGTCCAAGTCGGCGTTTGGAAGTAAGGGCATCATATGTTGTGTTGGGCTCTGTAGTGGTATATTGAAGTATGCATCTAAAAATGTTGTTCCAAAGAGATGTATTTTGGACTTTAAGTAGATACTGATCAAGCCAGAGATAGACTGATTCAAGGAGCTCCCCGAAATGTCAACCGTACATACGCTGTCGGTCTTTCTGGGCTGTTATTAGACTACAAGTTTCTGGATATATCCTACGGTGAACGATATGACCAACTCAACAACAACAGCTTGTACTACATCAAATAAGCTATCATGGGATCACTTATTCACTGTGATTAGACGATATCTTTGTTTTTTTCCCTCGAAAAAACTGTGTCTAATCGCATCTTGACTTAACAGTGATCGTCTAGAGTGTCGGTTAGCAGTAATCATCATACTTGCCTATTAATCAATGCCTTGATACTACTTGGATCAATATTAAACGCTTCATTTACCATAGATACAGTATTTGAATTTGCAGTTTATTCTGCCAACATTTATAAATTCTTGACTTTCGCCGTGTCTCAAATAGCCTAGCCACAGCTCCTCGTACACTCCGGTTTCAAACAGTACACGGTTTCAAGAAACACATACAGTCATACCGAGTTCTTATAGGAAAGTTCGAAAAACAACATTCTCTATACTCAGCATCTGGATATGGAGAACCACCAAGATCCGTCACTCGATGACTCGTCAGCATCGCCAACAAAAAAACAAAGCTCGTTCATACGTCGACGTGACCGGCAATCTCTACAGTACAGTTCCTTCAGGATGGACGCCAGTTGTCACCGTAGAAGGCTGGGTAAGCGTATTAACAGAGTCCGGCAAGCCAGTCACAGCTAAACGGAACCAATTGACGATCATCGAGGAGATTGCAACCACCACCACAAGCGAACAAGGACCCCTATCTGGGAGTTCCCGATCAGGTTGGGGTTGGGTGACTGAGGGTTCAACTTACACCATAGATATCCCGACTCAGAGCTCCTCGACAGCTCATACCACGACTACGAGTAAATCTGCAACAACAGGAAGCGTCACTATTCCATATAGTATAAGTCTTGAGCCTATGATTCCACCGTGGTGGAGCGAGTCGTATAAAAACACACTTACGAAAAATGTCGCTATCACGGAGTCAAGCCAAGTTACAACAACCCTTGACACTACATTGATCAGTACGACAAGCAGCACCTCATCCACTTCAAGCTCAACAATCTTACCATCCGCAACCGCGTCGGTTGCCCCAGAATCTTCTTCCCCATCCACGGGGGAGTGGGTTGGGATAATAGTTGGCTCAGTCTGCATGCTTGTACTGGTCATTATATTCATTCTTTCTTTCTACTTTCGAAGTCGACCCAAAGCACCCACCAGAGAGAATTCAAACAATATCAACATCAGGCTTGATAATGTGCAGTCTAGGAATCGGCCGCTCGCGGAAACTAATCTGGGTGCCATTCCTGAGGGATGGGATGATATAAGGCTGTGATGATGCGATAGTGAAGATGTTGGTGGTTTTATGTAGGTGTATATAGAGCATGGTTAACATGGATTTTTCGCAAATACACAGCTTGTCAATAATCGTGGCATCTGGCCGTATTGTGATTCTACAAGCCAAATGATAGTTCGCCTAGTACAGAGAGTTCGGTCATGATACACATATTCATAAGAGTTCCAAGTTGTGCTCTATTGACTTTAAGTCTTCCTCCTAACCAACCCCTTCCAGAAATCAAAACTATTCTCATCACTCTGCAACGCCCAAGTCTTTCCTATCGCCCTTCCACTAGCATCTATCTCTTCAACCTTCAACATGCCCCAATCACGCGTAATTCCCAACACACGCGCCTTCACGCCACCCTCAGCCTCAAGACTGACTTCTTGTCTCGTATGCAGCCAGTGGCGGTAGTATCGTGCCTCAAGACCGCTTGAGAAACCTTCGCGAAGGAATTGAGCGTAGATAGCTTCTATGCGTGTGAGAACACGTGCTAGTAGAGTTTCGAGATGAAGTTCTGGAGCACCCGCGGGGACGAGATCGGAGATGGACATTGTAGGACGGGAGTTCAGAGTATTGAGACCAATACCCAAGATGATTTGGTATTTTCCGTCAAAGTAGACACACTGCGAGAGCATACCGCCGACCTTGGAGTAATGTGGTTTCTCTTGTGATCGTGTAGGATCAAGCGCATCTAAGAATGTCAGTTTCATGTATGTAACACCTCGTAGGGTGACTTACAAATATCGTTGGGCCACTTTATTTTGATGGGAATTTTATCGTAGCCGCGATCATAAGACTGGACAGCCTCCACAATGGCAATAGATGCGATGTACTGAATAAACACAACAGGATGGCTCACTGCGAGATGGGCTGGGTGGTTGATGATAGTTGAAAAGATCAACATGCCTGGAGGGGCAATCCAGACGTTGGAACCGCGACCTCGACCGGCGACTTGGGTTGTGGCTGAGACGGTAAATCCGCTTGGAAGTTTCGGCATGAGCTTTGGGTTTCTGATACACGTTAGAGTCAGGTGTCGTATAAGTGGTGCAAGGTGTTGACATACTTCTCCAGCATGGTGTTTGTACTAGTCACCACTTCACCATACATGAGTAGATCACCCCAGGCCCTGGCCGTCGGCTCAATTTGTCGATATCGCTTTAGACTTGAGAAGAATAGACCATGGTTAAAGTGCGGTGTAAGCTTGGGATGAGGAAGGCCCTTTTCATGAGGGACGATCTTCTTGGTGATCTTGCTGTAGTCAATACTACCATTCTCTGAGATACTGGCTTCGGTTGTATCAGGTAGAGATTGTTGAAGACCTTCAAGATTCCAGATCGTCTCCTCATTCTGGATATGGAAGTTATCCGTCTCGGCTCGGATCCACTCCTCGCCGTCTTCTTTATTGATGATGTCGCTCCAGTCGGATAGTAACTCAGATACACCTGTGTCGGAAATGGAGGAGAGGTGAAGTCTGGATAGAGATGGTACTCCGTTGTCGTGGGAGCTGACTTCGAGGCCGAGTTTTGTTAGACAGCCCTTGAGGAAAGTAGCTCTGTCTTTGTCGGCGGCTGCGAGTTGACTGATTAGCTCGTCGTAGTCGGGAAGACTTGGCTGGGAGTTCAAATTGCTTGCAGCAAACCTAAAAATGTTAGAATTCGTTGGCGACATATGCAGCGAGGAATGTATACTCTGGATGAGGTCCAGTAAGTAAGGCTTTGCCATCGCCAACCGTGCAGAGGACAACGGCTGCTTTGCCATCGCCACCATCAACATCGATCTCCTCATCATATGTAGCCAATACCTCAACCTTCCTATCCTTGACCGAAGCAGCATCAACAAAGACACCACCTCCGTTGTAGTAGGAGATAATCTCAGAAGCCACCTCTTGCTCAAAAGCATCCTTCGGCACACTCAAACGCACCGCCCTAGCTCCTCTTTCACTTTTGTACTCAAAGCCTTTAAAGGCACCACCTCGACAAGTCCCCGGGAAGAAGCCTAGCTCTCTCCTCCCAATGACTTCCATAGGCTTATTCCCAACTTCGAATTCACACCTCTGGGTTCCGTAGTAACCACCTGCGCAGAAGCCCAGGTACGAGCCACCTCGACGGACATAATCGCCGATACGACGGTTCCCCTCACCATTCAGGGCCTGACAGTAGCCAAGATCGCCGCCACCAGGAAACACGAGAAGAGCACATGTCGCCTGCCAGGGTTCCTTGAGGATGATCGTCTCGGTGATTGGGATGACAGCATAGTTTGGACCAAGAAGACGACGAAGGGACCAGATACAATGCTTGACTGACTCGACGGTTGTACCGAGGCCTTGAGTGAGTCAGTGAGGGGTTTTCATAGTTGATACTAATAACAAGAAGTCGAACCTGTATAAACAAGAACATTCAATTTAGCCGGGGCCATAATGTGAGATTTGCGGTGTTTCCGAGATATTTTTGTTGTAAGTTGTCACTTGACTTTGCTGAGATGAGAATCGCCTCAACTAAAATCTCCGCCTTCTCTTCGAACCACCTTTTCCTTATACTTGACACAACACAAAACGATCAATCTCAACTTCCACCTTCTTTTTGTTAAACACGACAATAAAAAATGAGTAAAGAAGAGAGTAACGCGCAACAAAGCGCAAATGCCGAAGACGATGATGAGCCAGATGAGTGGTGAGTTTTATTCTTTTCCCCGAAAGCCGAGGCCTTTGCTAACCGCTCGATTGAAGGGACAAGCGGATTTTCAGCACCGGATGTGCAGGTTAGTTCAGTTGCATAACATAGAGTGGAAAGAAGAGTCAAAATATAGTCACGGTTCAAGACGGTGACTATCTAACCTTTTGTCTTGTCTCGTCTCTGTTTTGTTGGGGAATTAAATTGCTAATGTTGACTGACTTTGACTTAGATGAGAATGCGAAAATGACGGATTGTTATTTTGAAAAGAAAGATTGGCGCGCATGCACAGCAGAAGTAAGTTTACTCAATATCATCTTTATGCATTTACCTTCCTTCAATCTATACGGAGTCCTTTTTCATGGTGGCTGTTCTGACAAGATTGTAGATGGCGGCATTCAAACAGTGCTGGAAAGCTCACAACAATGATGAACGCACATCCACAAAGGACAACTAAAGTATCATGAATTGGATTGTGGTATTATATCAAACTCTGTATAATTACTGTATCAATATGTATTTTGAGAACTTAGACTCTCATGCTTCTCATCATCATCAATAAAGACATCATGACTCTTCATATCTATCGTCACACTGTCTCCACCCGCCGGACAATCTATCCACCCGTCATATCTCAAATTAGGTAGTTATTCACAAGAGCTTCATCCAAGCTCCCACCAAGCTACTCCAAAACCCATCACAACACCACAATTCCACAATGTTTGCCTCTCGTAGAGCATTCTTCGTCGCCAGAAGGCAAATCCCTTTTACCTGCAATCGCTCAATCGTCCCCGCTCTACGATCCTACTCCGCCGACGCAGATGTTACCCTACAAAACCCTTCTCAGGATGTCACAGAAGTGAACCAAGAAGATGTCATCACAAAACCAAAATACGCACGCTCTACCACCACCGCCGCCAAACCAGCGACTGCCACAAAGCCAGCTTCCGTAAGAGCTACCGCCGCCAAGCCTACTGCTCCCGCTGCTACCAGAACAACTACGACGGCGAGTTTTCCTCCCAGATCCGCTAGCAAGCTTGCGAACTTCCACACGCCTGTTTCTACATCCAAGAGCACATTGAGCGAGTCTAGCGAGACGGATGTCGAGAGCACACATGATATTAATTGGGAGACGAGCTGGTTTGGTCTCGGAGTCAAGCCTGTCACTGTTGAGCAGAGCGAGGTTCTCTCAAGACCCATTGATGTGGAGGACGTCGAGGTTAAGCCTGATGGAATTGTCTATCTGCCTGAAGTGAAGTACCGAAGACGCTTGAATGAGGCTTTTGGACCTATGGGATGGGGTATGGTTCATCGTGGGGACGTTGTCGTGGGACAGAATATCGTCACGCGAGAGTATGCCCTCATTGTTAACGGCCGGTACGTCCAGCATTCCCGGACATTTTAAATTCTGCAGCAACTAACGCACAACAGAATCGTCTCTCAATCTCAAGGTGTAAACAACTTTTTCAGCCCCGAGGGCGTCCCCGCCGCTATCGAGGGTGCCAAGTCCAACGCTCTGATGCGTTGCTGCAAGGATCTTGGTATCGCCTCCGAACTCTGGGATCCCGTATTTATTCGCTGGTTCCGAAAGAACTTTATGGAGGAGCGATGGGTTGAGCACGCGACTACCAAGAAGAAGAGGACATTCTGGTACAAGAAGGGTCTTGCTGAGGCAGTGTACCCTTACAAGCTTGTCTAAGCATCTTTATCAAATCTCCCCTTATACCTACACTCTTGCGTTTCGATTTAAACGGCAAAAATATGATGTACAATATGGTTATGTATGGCTTGGTAACGGAAGTACCAAATAAATACGGCATGGGCGAATGGAGCAATACTGTAATGACTCGAGGAAATGAATGGACCAAACGGAGGTCGAGAAGCATGGAGATACGTACACCAAACTTGTCGTCTATAGATATACATATCCATGGATGAAGAAGTTATTCTCCTTGAATATCACCAGAGGCCCATATCAAGAAGAAAACACTACGTCTAATGAGACCCAAACTCCTTCAAAACCCACTTTCCAGAACGGAGTTTCTACCTTTCTCTTCCAGATGAGCTTGCGCCTCCTTGTGCGGCATCACCACCCCAGCTCCAAGGAACCCACGAGCCTGATGTAGTCCTAGTACCAGCTCCCACGTTCCTCCGACGTGCCTGACGGTCATCATCCGAACTAGTATCAGCATCAATCCTCTCAAAATCCGTCTCGCTGCGACTCTTGCTGATACCGCTCCATCCGCTCAACCCACTAGGTGGTCGCTGGGTAGGTTCTTCGTCATCGTTGTTGGCGTTGCTATCGTAGCCTCCATACGCCATGGGATCGCGGCGAGGGCCTGTGTTTGCTTGAGCGCGCTGGGCGTCGGAGCGAAGATCCTGTGCTTCGCGATCGAGTGCCGAGAGAAGAACGTTTAGACGGTCGCGCTGAGTGGAAATAAAGTCCATCCTGGCTCCAGACTCGCGCAGATGCGGGGGAATCAACGCCTGGGGGTTGGTAGGTTCTCCACCCACTGTCCTGGTACCAGCTGACTGAGCACCCGCGTTGGTAGCAGCTGCTACAGCGCTGGAAAGCAGACTGTAAAAGTCGGTACCTGTACTGCCGCTGTTGTTGCCGGCCCATCGCGCGGATGGAACGTTGAAGCGCGAGAGAAGCGACTGCGTGTAACCCTGGTTTGTCTCGGGAGGAGGCGACTCGGGTTCGGAGGGTGGCAGACCGAGGACCTTGATTTTGAACTGCTCGATGGCGAGCTTGAGGTATGATATTCCGGCAGCAGTCAAGCGCTCATGTGCGCTCGCGATGAAGTCGTCAATCTGCGTCTCGTTCTTTTCAAGGTACGGGTGGACGTATTCCTCATACAGGAGTCGGGCGCCTTGCGTTTGGGGGAGGATGAGGTAGAGGAGGAAAAGCAAACGAAAGTATCCATAGAAGGGGATCCTGGGTGTGTTAGTTTAGAATGAACTTTGTGGGAGATTGGTTATACTGACCATGAAATAATAAACCAGACCCAAGACTCAACGAGGAGACAACAGCTGAGGACAACCCAGTACATCAACCATGGTGTCAACTGGGTAGGATCATGTGTTTTGAGCGCTTTATAAGATGCGAATATGGGAAACAGAAACGAAGCAACAGAACTATTCGAGATAGACAGTCAGTGAATTGAATACATTATGGAGAGTCGCGATAATGACGTCTCATGACAAAGCTTAAACTTACGATAAGAGCATAGGGAAAAGGTCAAACATGGCTGCAAACGTCTCGAAGACAAGAAGCCCTCGTAGAAAGAGAAGATAGGTATTCGAGTGGAAGAGAGGGGAAAATGAGACCGACGAAGAGAGTTATTTGTCAGTCAGTAGGTGTAATCATTGAAGATCTATTGAGGTAGAGTAGGAGCTGAGATGGAGACGGGGCGGGTGAAGTGGGCGCCGAAACTCCCGTAACCTAGCGGGGGCGGGGCACGTTAGATAGGAACCCCACTGGAGCTACAGTGCAGAATGATTAGAGATGATGATCAGCTGAAGAGAATCTAGGACTCGTGACAAAGTCGAGTGAGTATTTGTGACTCGAGTATGCGACTTTTTAAATATATGCCCAACAATGAACACGTAACTAACTGTCTATCAATTATCGTTTTCAACTGTTGAATATTTTACGTCATGACTGCAAGCCTCAAGTTAAACCTTCAAGACAAGTGTCTGTATATCTGTGGACGATAACTGCTTTACCTTTGTAGGCACCAATATTCGTAGAGTATTATGTACTCGAAAAATAGGGTTGTTTGCAAAGACGGGCAGAATGTCAAGCCGCAATCATCGCTCCCTGACAAGAGAGATTACGCGCATAGTCAAATGACTCAACCAAGACATCTTGGCAGCACGAAAACAACAGAAACGAAATAAGGAATAATACACAAGAAAAACGAGATGATAAAAAAAGATTAGAGTAGAGAGAGGACCGTGGTTTCTTTATCTTATCATATTATTCCGTAGAAACGGAGCCCGATGTTCGTTTTTTTCCTCCGGTTCCGCTCCGGGCCAAGCCCGATTCCCGACTTCACTAACACGAAAGACCGAATTTGGGAACGGGGCCCGGAAATATTTGAGATCTCCAACATGGAGATGAGCCTAAAACACAAAAAGGAGGCTTAGATCTCGGTAGAATTAATCCTTCGGTCGACCGGGACCTGATTGATAAGGCTGAATCTGAATAGAGAGAGTATGTGTACGTCAGCTGTCGGTTCGATAAGACTCTGCCTGCGGTTAGATAGTGCTCTTAGATAGACAGACAGCCACTTCAAAGACTCTAGAGGGTAGCTACTGTAACCATCATATTCGATAAACAACAACTATTCGTCAATCTACACGTCATATCGTCCCATTTAACCATAATTCCAATACTATCAGATCTATCAAATTCCAATAAATAGCAACTTAAACTCAGCCTCATTCCCGCGGACGCCCGAGCCCGGCTGCAAGACCCACACCGAAAACTTCGAAACTCTCCGTGTAGGCGATAGCTGAAAGATTCTTACATTTTGGGTATCCACTGCTGTGTCAAAATATAGGAAAATAACCTGTAAAGAGGCTGATAGCGTGGTTTGACGTATGTATGTGGATTACTAGCGCCGGGGCTGGGGATCTTGTTCCTTCCCGACGGGTCAACATACAAATCTTGGAAAGCCAATTCTTGTTAAGAAGGGCGGATAGCCACTAGATATAAAGTCTTTATAGAAACGATAATATCTTTCTTTGAACAGTACACAATACGACAGCACAGCTCTCCTACAGCGACCATCGAAACATATAACAACAAGACTACCTACAAAGAGCAAACAACATAGACGACATCCACCACAAAGCTTAGCAACTAACCTCTGAACCCCTTCAACCGACACATCCGCCAAAATGAGTGATATGTCAACGCTGCCCAACGGCCTCATCACATTCGGCCCTCAAGCCAACTGTACCCTCGACACATGTCCCCTTGAAGCGAGCATCCTACGATACCAACCCAGCATTCCCGCCAATGCCGTCTTCACAGGCGTGTTTGCGTTGTCATTGATAATCCATGCCTTTCAGGGCATCAAGATGAAGACGTGGGGCTTCATGTCGAGTATGATATCTGGATGTATTCTCGAGATCATCGGATACGTTGGCCGTTTCATCATTAACGATAATCCTTTTGACTTTAACGGTTTTCTAATGCAAATTAGTATGTTGTCTTGCTGAGATGGATGGGAAACTGTACTAACACGTTGTAGTTTGCATTACCGTGGCGCCCGTCTTCTTCTCTGCAGCCATTTATGTTCTCTTGTCCCAAGTGTAAGTCGAGACACTCTGGTCCAAACAGCTCAGGGCTGCTTCCTCTCTTGTTATGACCATCTAACACTGTTTAGTATCAACCACGTTGACCCAAGCATCTCCCGAGTCCCTCCCAAGTACTTCTATTGGGTCTTCATTCCCTCCGACATCATCTCCCTCGTCCTCCAAGCCGTTGGCGGTGCTCTCTCATGTGTCGCTTCAACCCACGAAGACGTCAAGACCGGCGAGGACATTTCGCTGGCCGGCCTGATCTTCCAAGTCGTCACCCTTATCTGCTTCTGTACCTTGTTTATCGACTACGTCGTCAGGGCATTCAAGTCGCCCGCTCGCAGCCGTCTCAACAAGAAAATGATGACATTCCTTGCCTTCCTCTTTCTTTCGACAATCTTTATCCTCATTCGATGCGCTTACCGTATTGCTGAGCTCGGTCAGGGGTACTTTAGTGCTCTCTTCCGAGACGAGGGTCTTTACATCGGTCTCGAATCTTGGTAAGTTTCCATCGTCGGTTGTTGCGAAAGACCACTTCCTAACTGTCTCTAGCATGATGTGCATTGCTGTTCTTCTTCTGAATGCCGGCCATCCCGGATATGCTTTCACCCAGAGCCAGGAAGATGTGAGAGAGAAGAATCAGGAGCAAGATCAAGACTTGGCTTAATCATCCATATCTGGATCTGCTGAGGACCCAGAGCCGTGATTGTTCTTGATCATTGCTCTTTTTGCTTAGTATGTGATGACTGTGGTCACACAGGGAATCGTTTGAGAGTTGGTCTTTATTTCTTTTGTTTGAAGCGTTAGATAGGGTAACTGCAAGGCGTCACGGTGGTTCTTATTTTCCCTAAAAACGTCATATATTGTTTATAAAATAAAACTTACTATATCGAAACTGTTATAAAATGCTAATGATATCCACTCTGATTACCGAAAAGTCTTTGGCAAGGTCATCCCGTACTCGGATCAGATATAGGGCTCAAGTGACTTCGCTTACCGAGATCCATACCTTCGTAACGAATTGACAACGATTAAAAAGCCGTATCATACGGAGTAGACGGACCACATATGGTCAGGTCAGACCGAAGCGAATCCGAACAAGACGGCCATTCACCTCACTGAAGTTCGCTCGGAATCTTGCTGTTCATGTGAACGCCGAACCATAACAGGGCCATAATTTGCCGAGAGTTTCTTGTTATCATATGCTTTTTCACATGATGAGTCAAGATGTGATAGTTCAATCGACATCTGGATTTGCGTTGAACTCTCATTTGCATGTGCAATGTATATCACGGTAGTATATCCGTACGAGACCGTGATTGAGATTGGCCCTCATCAGTCAGCGCACTGGCTCCTAAATCATATGCCGAACCCTATTAGGTTCGCCGTTGCGACAGTGCCGGAGGCCACCGTTTCCCTAGCATAGGCGCAGATGGGAGCACAGCTGCCGGCGATCTCGGCTACGATGATCGGGTGACAGAAACTTGACAGCTGGACCCTGCGCTCTTGTCAAAAGTTCGCCGTCGTCAGCTAACACTCAGAGCCAGCAAAATCCGGCGTGTTGTATGTGTCTTCGACCAAGTACTGAAATCGATGCCGGCGGCATCACAATGCTACCCCGTTGCTTCGTGAAGCCTTCGGCGATTCTTGAAATGATATCAAATTGACAGAGATCCCCAAATCCTTGGAACCAGACCCAACAGCAGGGCGCCGGCCCATATACTGAATTCGTGTATTGTGTCGTCCAACCTTGTTCTGTTTTGCCTTGTGTCGCGTGTTGAAACAGTCCAAGTTCTCAAACCTTCATCGGAATATTTGCTTCTGTTATCCACCAACCCCGCGTGAGTGGATAATCTTGGAAATGAGACGGAACGATTAACCTTTTGAGTAATTGACGGAGTCATTCAACACCAGATCCGAGTAAGGTGTGGATCTTGATTAAGAGAATTTACCACCCACCACGTGTCGGCCCTAACCATGAATGGAACTGCATCGCGATGTCAGATGGGCCATTGCAGAGTATGGTATGGATGTTTGCTGTTATGCGGAGATTATGGTCGTCTGGTCGTGTAAGTTTGTGCAGGGGTCAGGGGAAAGATGGCCTGGGATCCCAGGCTGGGGTCGGAACAGAAGGCAAACAAAAACCTATTCAACATGACGCAGATGACCGAGGAGAAGAAATTATAGTGTTGCAGATGATTCGAGGGTATGCTTGATTCCAGCAATAGACGGCTTCCGGTGTGGCGGAGGGACAACTAGAGTCAATAGACTTGCGCAAATTTCTAAGAAGAAATTAGCTTGTAAGATAGGGAACAATGACGAGTAACTTACGCTGAACAATGTAGTTAGTATAAATGAGCTCCGTCAGCCATATTCTAGGATATGTGATGTGTCTGCGTGGAAAATTCCATGATGATTCCATAACTACCGCACGGGCGGCCAGTTCCAGGGTCAACAATAATATCACCGCTACCACCGCAGACAGAATGTAATCAAGTTCCATCAGCAATTAAATCACCACGAGGAATTGGTGAGAGCACGGTAACATAGTGGCAGCCAGCAAGGCTGCAAATGAGGCGCCTAGACGGATAGGGCTCCAAGATTGAATGTCATCATGTCGGTTATTGGCGAGGCGAGCCGGTCCCAGCGAGTTGGGTAAGCAACCGGGGTCTCAGCTCTATTCTTTGAGTGATGATCATCGTGAAGGAAGAGCCGGTAGCTCGTGAATTGGGATCGCCTAGGCCAATCTGAGTTATCAGTCGTGCCTGAACATTCATCCTCGTGAAAAATCTGGTCTCTTTTGTGGATAGGTTATGGAGACATTAGGTTGAATTCGGGTAGCGCGTGAGAACTATCTCTCGGTGTCTTCATAGACCAGTACCTATCGTAGGGTGGCTAGCTTGAACCGTTTTATGCTAGTAAACCGGCGACTGTGCGTGCCATCGAGCAAGACGGATGATAGGGAGATCTGGGCTGGTGATTGTCGATGGCGAAATGTAGGGACATTCTCCGCGTGTCAGCAGTCTCTTGTGCGGTTGCAAAGGCAGATCCGATTTGGACGATGTCACCTTTCCAACATGAGGTAAATCCATGTGCGCAGACGCAGGCACCAGGGGACAACCCACATCCTTGAGGGTTGCAACCAAGTGGGAGGCTATAATCGTGAAAGGTTAGCTTCAGGTACCACTCTCTTATTGGCTCGCGGATAACTTACCGCTGCCGCTGGCCATGGGAGTTTGAACTGAAAGGGGTATTACGGAGTGTACATCTGACATGTCGGAGTCAGCGAGCGCTGCGCGCAGAGGAACGCCTTCTAGATAGATTTCCACCGGAAGGTGCAGTACTATGTAAAGCTAGTTAGTGCCTGGACTTTGGGTACCCAATGATGGAGTTTTCTGCGCTCTCGTTACATGTAGAGAGATAAATAACAGAGAGGACCAAGCCATGATGATAGACAATCTTACCGATTAGCTTGATGACCAAAAATAAACAAAAGCATTGAGAGGCGCCATTGTAGAATCAACTAGTGGCAAATTTATACGCCATATTGCCATTGCGTCTTGAAGCACGCTCTCAGCAATATGTACGCACAATGTCAGCGGCGAGCGGCAAAGCGCTCGAGGACCAAGAAATGTCTTACAGAGATTGAACCCTTCAAAGCTATTTCCGCTGCACGATCTGTGCGGTTTCTTGGTGCTGGATTAGATTGACTTCTTCAAAGCCACGGGTGGAACGCTTCCACCACTTGTCAATGCGGATCATATAACAATTATTGGTCCTGTAAGCATCCCTTTCAGAGTGACCAAGGCTTATTGTGCTCTGGGCAATCTCGCAATCGAGAGCAAGGTCCAGGCACGCTTGGAATGTGTATACGTACTGCGCGAGACGCACAAAACAAGCCGTTTTTCTTTTTTGCCTTCAAACATGATCCAAGACAAGCTGAGGCCGGAGCATAAGGAGACTGAAGATCTGGGAATTAATCCAAGTTGTCTGGAGAAAAAGCAAGAAAATACCGAACGTTCAGTGCTGATTCGTTCAATAGCCAGTTGATCTCCAAGTGCGCAGGGACCAGCAAAGTAAGTTCAAGCCAATGCAACGGTCTATCGCCAGAGTTGCAGAACGGGAACCCTAGCTCCCGGTTGTAATATTTTCAATTCAGGTGACCTGCCCTTGTTTATTTCTGTCTGAAATATAGTATTGGCAACAACTATCCAAAGCCAGTGGCTGTTCTGACTGGTCTGACTATGGACTTTGCCACCCTGTGTGGAATTGAGGTGACTACTGGTTCGATCATGGATGCTGCGGGCGGTAGGAGGATCTTTGAACAAGTGCTGACAGACGAGCGAATGTCCGACTACAACACTACCATCGGTATCTGATTTGACACATCAAAGTCTCGTTATGGGTCTGAAATACGAGAAATAAGAAGAAGAAAAAGAAAGAAAAAAAAAAAGCGTAAGACGAAGTAATACCCGATGAAAACATATGTGCGCTGAGTACTTCGAATTTCGATTTTCGCTGGCTAGTTCTGTTAGACACAATGTGAAAGCGTCGCGGTATTTTGTACAAGCCATAGATTTGTCTGGCGGGCACTAATAACGGCCTCAACCATTGAAACTCAATTCAAGATTGTCAGGGGCTTTTCTTCTGATTTGGTTTTTTGAGTTTGCACCGTCCCTAACTCCCACTCGAAATGCGTTTAGGCAGCTTTGACGGAGCCTAAGCGTTGTACCCGTCACTACGCTAAGGAACGGATGGTATGAGACGACATTGTGACCAAACGGCGTTCCTTGCAGTAGCTTCTACAACGGCTGTTCTCGCAGAGTGGAGAAGGTTTCAAGCCCCAAAGCCATCCGCCTGGAAGTGGGAGCCGCTGGCCCCTTATTGCTGTCGAGCCAAGCATGAAGCTGGAGCGACATCCAAGGGCTGATAACATTGCTTCTTTGTTGGGAGCCTCGGATAACGTAGCCAATGGAAACATGGCCGTCGCTTTTTGAAGCATGATAGGGTTGCACTTGAACATTTGCGACGAATCCCTGGTTTTGTAAACGTCAGAGGTAGCTATGAAGGGCCCAAGCAGGATATTTTGAGTATCTGAATGGATGCCTGTCTTTTCTCTGTAGCTCTGTCCCTTGACGTGCCGTGTCTCCAGAGCAAACCAAAGGAGGATGTGGCGGACGGGTAGGTAAGACGGCATAGACTTGGCGTTTGCAGTGCGACAAGCACATGGTTTGTGGCGGACTTCTGACGTTGACCTGGGATATGTTAAATTGGTACGTCGGACATATGTCGTACCTTGTGCCCATCACACCGAGAGCTATGAGTAAGTGCTATCGTATCAGCTGCGACGCTTCTTTGGATGCCCATTCCACTGTGGTCACTAACGTGGTGTTGTTCCCCTCTCGCATCCGATCCTTGACGCGTAGAAAAGGAGACTTGTGTCCGAGCTCATCGTATGAAGTCAGTCTGACATAGTCAGTATACATGTCTGGCTTGTAGAACAAATCATGAAGAATTCCAGAGCTTCAGATGATGCTGCAATTGTGGAATTGGGCGAGGGATTCCATGTTGAAAATCATTGTTTGGTGGAGAGGTCCGAGGAAGTCTTTCCACTGTTCTGGAACCTGAAAGCTACGGCAGTCCACTGAACAACGCTGAAGGCCCTGTCAAAAATCGGTCGAGAAGCCCAAAGCCTCCAGTTTTCAAGACCTTGGCAGTTGCCATTGAGGTCCGGGCTGTTCGTTCTTTTCTCCCTGTTAAAAAACGGTGGGCTCCCACCCCCTGCATCTTATTAAACACACCCCATTTTGGTACTTGGGGGTTTCCGTCCCCTGTGCAGCTGGTGCTCAACAGCCCGCGAACTGTTCATCCTGTTTTCACTTGCGTACTCGCGTGTGCATGTACCGACCACGGAGCACTTTGACACTCTATTGATCTGATCAGTCTCACTGAGGTTATCCTTGTCAACCATGAGCCATCGTTTCATTAAAGGTTGAAGTACAGAAGAAACTCTACTACTCTATGATGCTATAACTGTGAGAAGCTCTCACTTTAACCTCTGTTTGCAACCAAATAAGAGATCCCCTCTCTGCTTAAGTAACCCATCTATCTTGATATACAGCACATATTGAATCAATCAACATCATGCAGCGTGCCTAATGCGAAGCTGCCATAAAATAATACTCGCCTGTTGTATCTCCCGTTACCATTCCTCTTTACGCCTAGTCCCGACTGTCTCCACACCCTCCTTCCTCCCCTGTGCCTGGCACACCCCACCTCTCATCCCTTCCTTCCTTCATCTTTGCCCTGGGGCGCCCTGTCAATCTAATCCCCCCTTCATCGTGGTCACCAATTTCTCATCTTGCCTGGTACCTTAAGAAGAAAAACCTGAGCTTGTTTGCTTTGTTGGTTCCATTGGCTCAAACATCTCGTCCCTGAACGGTTTTCTCTTCCGTTCTTTGACCATTCGCCAACCTCACTCATCCATTCTTTCTTTTCCTTCCTTTCGTTACTTTGTTCTCGCCGTATTTCGAATTAATCGCTATTCGAGTGGTGTTGTACCCCGGACTGAACATCAAATCAAATCGCCGACCAGGACGTTTTACGCTTGATAATCACTCTCGGACTTCGCACCCGGTGACTACGTCCTCCCTTAAGATCCGCAGACCAAACCAAACCAATCCAAACAGCCTCGAACATTTAGCGGAAAACTCGCTTGTTTTGCTTTGATCGTCCTGCTCCCCGAGTCTGAGACAGACTCCTTTCTTTATCTGCCAGACTTGCCTCATTCTTTTCCATTTCTGGACTCTACGCCTGATCTACTCTCGTTTGGTCGACATTCGGTTACCTGCTTTCTCACCTTTTCCACAAGAGTACCTCGTCTGCCGTCGTCCGTCTCCGGCCCGCAACAAACTTTCGCATCGCACAACCACGAAGCTTTTGATCGACGACAAATCGAACGACCAACACATCCGTGCGAAACGGCCGAGTACGAATAATTGTGGCTCCGTGCGACTATCGATTCAACAGACCCTCAACAAGTTTCGACAACTGCAAGCAGATTGTCAGTTAGCAGGACGGCTTTAGCTGGCTTAGAGCCACAGCAGGTACGGATTTGTCCCATTGTTTTGGACTTGGACGGGGTATCCAGTTGTGGTTATAGCCTCTTGCCATTAAATTGGTTGAGAAACGAACCAAACATAATTTGTTCTCCATGAACCCTCTTCTCCAAAACAACACCTCTCGCATATAACAGCAGGCTAATTAAAACAGTGTTCGAAGAGAGGTTGGTCAGTTGCCAATCTAGTTCGACATCGACGAAGCTGTTGATGGTGATGAACTAAAAGCACGACGCATCCCACGATATCAAGAAACCGAGGCAAAATAACGTTTCACCCTCGGAGTTTCACCATGAATCGGTTCAGGGCCAAGAAGAAGGGCAAAGATGAGCTTGATGCTCCTCGACCTTCGACCGAGTCCGAGTCTTCCAGCCCCTTCAGGATGTTTGGCAAAAAGAAAGCTCCTGAAGAGGAGCCCAAGAAAGAACTTGATCTTACAACAGCACTCCCCTCGACCGACGATTTCCGAACAAGTCTCTTAATGACCAATCTTTCAGCAAGATTCTCCATGCTGCGGGAGCAAGATGATCCCAATACCAAGCTCGGTAAAGCCAGTGATGATAGCGTTCTATTTCCCAACAGACAATCGAGAATGCTGGACTTCAATTTCGCTGCTGGATTGGGGGACATAGCCGAGGTTGAATCTGTGAAGGCCCCGTTTGCGCGCTCATCAACACTATCAAATGATGATGCCTCTTCACTGAACGGAAGCGTTATGGGTCGCTCGAAGCCTATCGAAGGAAACAACCTATTTGGAGGCCGGCAAAAAGTCTACAAAATCGGTGCCGGAGGAAATAAGGGAGCTATGAGTGGCCGTGTGCTCTATGGCGATGATGTGGCCCAGTCGGCTTTCCAAAAGTGGCGGCAATCCGAGAAGGACAGGCAGTCGTTCGAAGATGTGCAGCAAAGCGAGCCCCTTGAGTCGGATATTGGAAGACCAGAGTCTCCATCTCAGACTGACTATAATCACAAGAGAGAGACCAACTCAACAACATCCTCCGGTCCATATGCAGCTCGGGACTCGACAGCCGCTACATCTATTAGTTCTTCTCAAAAAGACAGGGAGTCCTTTGCAAACACGTTCCGTACTTCCAGCCCGACTCCCACGGTGGAAAGAACAGTGACACGAACCCGCCGATTATACGAGCAAAGCCTGAACCAAGACCAACAAGACCACCAAACATCTGCACTCTCAAGATTCGACACCTTATCGAAGCGGACTATTGGCAGCAGAACACCAGATCTAACGCCTCCTGTTCCATCTCCGTCTAGCGCGACGTTTGGGGATCGCTTTATCACTCGTTCAGTATTAGGGAAAGCTAGTGCCCCCAATCTGCGATCTTTCAGCCCCCCATCCGAGTCGGTGAACATGTTCCCCAGCATGGACCAGAAGGCCTTTGGCGCTACACCTCCTCTTAGCCCTCCCATCAGTGAAACTGGTGAAGTCCAGCCCCTCGACAGAAACATGATTCTTGGCAGGAACAACAGTCAATATGACGAGTCGAGGTATGCACAAAGGCAAGTCCAGATGCAACGAGGCCGAGAAACTCCCACCATGCGGTTCCGTAACGATTCCAATACTTCGTTATCGGGACCTCGTTCTCGTTCTTCCTCGGCTCAACGCCCACCAGTGGAGAAGAATGAATCCGGATCTTACCAAACCGAGCCTACCGTCCAAGAAGAGTCACAGTCGTCAACCTTCTTCAACGACGATGATGAAGATGAGATCCGAAGCCCTGATCTTACCACTCCTCAACTTACTGTTGACAAACCGGCGGATAATGATCATCCCGCTTTGAGACACTCTGCGATGCCGACGCCGTTGATCATTAGCGATGGACCTGCGGATGTAGCACCTGCCAAAACAGACGACTTACCCAACGATTCTCCCACACTAGGACCGACATCTGGGGGATTGAGCGGCATGGTAAGGCAACATCTGCGATCAGACAGCAACGCCTCATCGATCTATGGAAGCATGCCTAACGATGTTGATTTGTCCTCCCGATTCCCTCCCGAGAGACCCGATGCCCATGCTTATGAGCCCAAGACAATGGACTCGAATGCTTGGGAGTCAATTGAGAGGGACCTGGCTATGTCGATCGATGGTAGTGTCACCAGCCCTACCAGATCTTCCGGCCTTATGGAAGCGCAGATAATGTCTCTACCCTCGCCTGTACAAGAACCGAAACAGGACACTCGCCCGGAGCAGCAGGATGAGACAGACGATTTTGCTCGCCATCTTGCCGACGGGGCGCGACGTGTCAGGGAGAGACTGACCTCCTTTGTGGAATCCGACAGTGGTGCCACTGTACCAGACGCTCCGCTGTCTGAGCTACCACCTCCTCCGCGCCCGAACGCGTTGGGCATTCTAAAGTCCAAGCCTAGCATTGGCTCTATGGGCGAGAGAGGTCGTGAGACTGTTAATCAGTCAAAGACGAAGAAGCTACTGGGCCTCCGAGGCTCGTCGCCAGCTTCAGCTAAAGTTTCTCCCACCCGTGATACTTTTGACGACAGAATGACACAATCTCCCGAGGGAACCAACGAGGCCGATACATCGAGAGATCCTGAAGAAAAGGAAGGCGTCCACGCTGGGCTCAAGGCTTTCCGCCAAGCCCGCAGAGAACTCCAAAGGATGAAGGAGATTGAAGTTCAGCAGCGACGTCAAGGTCCACAGAGCCCCCCTATAGGCAGAGACAGAGCTCAAACTGTTACTTCATCCCGGGCACCATCCCAGGAACGCAGCAGGCCACCTCCAGTCTCCTACAATCGTATGCCAAGCGAGGAAGCCGGAGCCAATGGCGGCTCCCGTGCCGGTTCTCGTGCTGGCTCCCGTTCTGGATCTAGAGCACCTTCTGAGCGTGACCGAAGCGGTTCTGAAGCAAGCAGCGGAGGACGCTCGGGCAGCCGACCACCTCGCCTTAGAGCAGGGTCTAGCGCTCGTGACGATTATCAGGGACCCGTAGGATCCCCCGTTGGAGTCAACGGAAAACCTCGACAAGGCCCTATGATTAGATCGCCTATGATGCCTGGACAAGACATGCGACGATCGCCACACCCTCAACAGCCTTATCCCGGGACTGCATCTCCTGGTCGTTTCGGCCGCCCTGACAATAGCCTGCACATTCATCCTGCACATGGATACGATCATGGTCAACCATCACCAATCTCACCGGGTGCCCCATCTCCGAAGGGTCTCCCTGGCCATGGTCCCGGCCCACAAAGACCGTATGGTCCCGGCGGCATGATGCGAAACCGAGACATGTCGGAACCTTTGATCAAATCTCCAGGCTTGCCAATGGGCTACCCTCGACCTGGGCTTGCTCCCCTCAACGGCGGCGCAGTCTCTACTCCTAACCTTCACGGCAACATGACGGCCCCTCCACTACCTCCTATCAATCCTCGACGCAAGAATACAGGAGCCGCGCTTGGCGATGCCACGATGAACGCCCACCACCTTCCTTCGAGCCCAGGCATTCCGATTGACCAACGCGGCTTTAGAGGTGAAGAACAAGAAGGCGTCGGACACTACCGCCAGAGACTACGCAAAGCCACTAGTGAGGCGAACGTAAACGCTCGAGCGAGATCGATGCTCCCAAACCCTGCACCACCAATGGTTCCCCCGCCTATGCCTCCTAGCACGAGCAGCAACGTGCTTCCCGGTGGCATGATTTAACGGTCGAAACATACCACTACTAAAACCTTTGATTCTTTTAATTCATATATTCCGCCCACAATGATGGGTTCACAACGAAGATACCTTACGGCCCCTTTCCTTTTCTACCTTTCTTTTCACCTTAAACTTAATCCTGGCGCCTCCAGGTACGCAGCAAAATGCTGGACCATGGAGCCTTCGACATTTACGTGTATTTTGAGGGTAAAGACTTTTTGTCACCCTTCGTTTCGGTTTGGCAGGGACTTTTAACTAGATGTTGGACGGATAGTATGAATCTAGTATTCAGGCGCAATTGGGAGCATGGCTGGTCAGAGAATCAAGCAGGCCTTTGATTCATGAAACTGGCGCCAGGGCAGGTGCGAAGGGAAACCATGTCTGGAAGCAGAATGAAAAGGAATAAGCGGGCATGCATTCAACAGGTTGGGAGAGGTGTTTGGTTTTTGTACGTATAGGATTGGAAGCTGGCAGCCAAAAGGCGCAATGAGAATACCAAGTCAATTGACAGCATATTGAAAAATGAGGACTTGCTAGGATTAAGAATGTTATATGCGATATTTTAGATTTGTCTCTGATGGCGTAGTGATGGTAAATGAGAAGAGATAGTGATGTTCATGCCTGCTCTTGTCGACTTGATAGCCGTTGCGGATTCTGTAGTTCAATATCCGCTGACCAACTCAGCATCATTAACAACATTATCTTGACTGTAGCCACAGAAGAGATTCCCAGTGGATGTAGCGGCGTTAGTATTGCAACAATGGTAAGTCCATGTCCATAAACAGCTTGCCTCATTTTGACATCTTGACATCCACCGTGACCCTTTAGGTATCAACGACAAGACAAACCTTGAACTCCTTGTCTAAGGTTTAAGAAAAAAAAGAAGAAAAAAACAGAAACCCTCTAGTCTCTCATTTTCTTTTTCTTCGACTTATCATAGGTGCTACGTGGTCATGCAGTGGGCTTTTCATCTACATGAAAGGGCCGATGTTGAAGTTCTCAGCGTTATGTAATAGGGAAAATCCCGGAACATGGGGAAAAAAGTACTCGGCCTTTCGGAGAAGACCGGGGGTCGCACTGTCCAGCACCCATGAAACAAGGGTCTTTTTCAAGGGTTTAACAGGTGGTGATGTAGTAGTGAGGTTGGAATTGTCTACATGTGATTGGAGCGTTTCAATTCCACTCATGACTGCTACCTTGGATCGATCCATGTATGTTAATCACTCAAGCAATAGAGAACAATCGACTAAGACATTAAAGCGTCGGACAGCAAAAAGAGACGCCGAGAGGAGTGGATTATATTCGGGTCACGACAGGAAACAAGTTTGGGCAGAAAAAGAAAAGCCTTGTATTAGGTATTCTTGTCTGCGATTCTGAAGAGAAGAAGTCGGCCATAAAAGAGACCACGGGTATCGATATGTTGTACACTTAGAAAATGAATCCGTTTTGAAACCATTCCTCCTTCGAGACAAGCTTAGCCCAAAGCTAGTACAATTGATAAACGCCCTGCTTGCATAAAAAAAGAAACAAAGACCATCGACGTCATTTCCTTCCTTTGTGCGCCTCGCGAGAAAGAAAAGCACATTGGAAGCTTAACAGAGACCTGAAAAGGAACCAGTTTTGCTGATACTGGAATGTCGAAGAAGGGTATCGATCAAGTTGGAGAAGTGAAAGATGAATGTGACAACCGGGTTATTGTAGAGAAGAAGGAGATGCGCCATCGTTAAAAGTCGTCATGTCTCGTCAGAGCGAGGGTGTGTTTTGACTCTCATCTCGTGGGTATTGTAGCCTCCGAGAAAGGCCAGAGTAGGGAAGGGGTTGTTATTGTCAAGACTGGGCATTTAGCAGAGAGGGCAGTTGTTGCACTGCTTGTGGCCGCAGGCGGTGCAGGTGGTGCTGATGACAATCATGCCTCCACACTGGCAGCAGTACTCGTAGGCGGGCATATTGATGATGATGTTGGTGATGTGGTTGGTTTTGGTGTTTGTGTTGAAGTTGTGGTGTAAGTTGAAGAAGATGTGTGTATGCTGGAGTTTGTGATGAGAAGAAAAGGAACAAAATCTTGAGCAGATGGCGGGAAAGAGAGGAATATAAATAGTCTGAGACGAGAGAGAGAAAGAGAGAAGGGGCAAGACAAGACAGGCAACCAGAAAGCCACACCCCCAAGGTAAGAAAGGTATCTACCGCCGGAGGAAGGCAGGACCCTCGGAGGTGATGATCGGAAGTTCGGATGGGGTCACAAAAGAGTAAAGACGGGAAAGAGATCCACAGAAAAAGGGAGTAATTTTACTGTAAATGCCCGAGCAAAGAGAGAAAGAAGTGGTTTCTCTGACTTACACGCTTGCTGTCTTGGCTGCTACAGCCTACAGGGAGGTGGTCTAGACGCTAGACAGGGTAAAGGCAAGGCAACCCTTAGACTAAGATCCAAGGTTTCCCTGGCGTTGCATTTACTGCGTGCATTGCATGTGCCGTTGGAGTGGGTGTGGGTAGTGAGTGGGTGGGAGAATGATGAATACTAGAGCTGTTACTGGTCGGAGATGAATGGTAAAGACATATACTTTTTACAGTACGATATCAATCAATCAGTTGTTGGTCAATTGGTATGTTTATCTTGTCGCCTTGTGTAACTACTAACTACCGATCATCATTGAATATCCTCTCTATACAATTAATTCCTTTTCGCTTCCCGCCTCATTATTTGTTTCTTTTATTTCTGCGGCTTATACTCATCAGGCTAATTCGAAGCACAGGACCCTGGCGTCACAAGCTAATGTAACCCCCATGCTTGACTCACTTTGACCCTACGTCATTGTTGCAATGACGATGCTCAAAGACACGAACAAAGGACAGCAAAGACAAAAAAAGGTAGTGAGACATTCTATTGACCAACCAACCAAATCTATGTTGATCCATGCCACGACTCTAAGCGCTTAAATGAACAAGTAAAGATTCTCTCTTTCTCTGTCCACTCAAGACCCCCGTCCATCATCTCCTAGACGAGGCTAACCCAACCCAACCCAACCCCCAACTTTGTCTTTCTGTGTGGTGTCTTGTAAGATTTCAGCTTTCCTGTCCCTTCCCATCTCGTTCTGCATTGCATCCGAAAACCGTACATGTGCATATAATATCGACCCACGCGGAAGAGACAACTCGCACATCCGAAAGAGAATATTCGTCCGTGTAGCTTGTGACGATGACCATGACGATGATGAGGATCAAAACTCGAGACTGCGCTGCGCCTCTCTAGTCCGTGTTTCTTGTAAATGACAAGATCGTCGTGGCCCCAGATCACAAAGATGATCATCCTCTTGTAAGCTTCATTTGCGGGGTAACAGACGGCAGTGCTGTTTCCGCTACAGAATCACCAGCGTAGGACTTTGTTAGTAGACACAAGCCCATCTTGTACTGTCATATCCTATTCGCTCAATCTTGACATGGCTGCAACCGTCTCTATAAGTCTCGACTGATCCTCAGTTAATAAGATGCCCAATATTAGCGGCGAGCGGGATGACGCATTCCTGTCGGTAATTTGGGGAGTCAATCAACGAATCGGATACTCTCTTTGAGTCTCTGTATCTGTCTGTCGTCTCTTTTCTAGGGTCCTGCCCCCGCCCTCGCGCTATGTTACGCCACTCCGGGGGGGGCCATGCAATGCAAGGATCCCATCTAACCCCAGACCAGAGGCTATTATGAAACAGTATGGGGTAAACTTTTTGATATTCGATATCTCTCACCTGTCATCGTTGAGTATTTGTCCAGCAAAAAGAGAGACATTGAGATTGTGATGGTTCGGTTGTCATCAGCGGCAAAGAGAGTGAGCCGCTAAAAGGAGGCATTTACTGTTTTTGGAGAGCATAAATCTCTCGACGGGCGTTTCACATGTCGCATCGTTCGTTAGTCCTGGCTTACACGTGGAGGCCAGTTGGGATGTCACTGGTGGGTTAGTACTGAGGCTCTGAACAACCACAACGAAGCTATCGTCAGATTCGGTGTTCAACCACGAGGGACATGTCCTACTTCACACTTTCTCAACAAGACACGTAATTATAGCAAATTAATTATATTTTTGTATAGCAAAGTGTTTCATGGGCCATTTTTGCCTCATTTTAAACGCCAGTTGTGTCGCATCTTCGTGTATGGTGCGCAAATCCATCCCATGTGTTTCGCTTTTTTCTATCCCATAACTTCAATACCTAACCCCAGGAAATAGTTCCTTTCAGTCCATTATCCCAGGAAATATACTTAGCACCATACTTCTCAGTCTTTTCATCCCATACCCTCAATCTTTATCTCATTCTCCAGATCTGTCTGTTTCCATTGTCGCGGTTAGGAGGAGGGCCCATGTAGAACTCAGGCGGCTGGCGATTGAGAGGCTGAAGCTGGAATATTTCCTGTGCCTGGAACTGCTGCTGCTGATGAGCAATGTTGTTGATAGGGTGAGCTGGAGTGACTTGAACTCTTTCCATTAGATTGCCCAGCATTCCGTTGTGATTCTGCAGCACCTGGACTTGTTCTTGCAGGGTTGCAGTTACTTGTTGTACGGTCCCGGTGATCTCTCGAACAGATACGTACTTGTCCGTCTGCGTCTGCCTCTCCCGGTAGATGATGCGCTGTGGCGAGTGCTGAAGCATGCCGACATTGTTGGATTCAGGGGTGACATGTGCTTGATCCGATCCCAGGCTTGTGCGCTTGTTACTGGGTTGGGAAGAGTGTCCTTGAGCGTGTCGCTTCAATCCAGCAGGGACAACAAAACCGTTTTTATCCTCAATTGACTTTCGAATTGTGTCCGCTGCATCGCCACTACCAAGTCCTGGCTCATTCTTGACTCGAGGCTGTCGCTGAGCCTTTGCGAGCGCTGTTGTGTCGGAAGCAGACTTATGTTGAGTTGAAACACTGAGCTGCTTGTGCACCCACTCTCGAAGCTTGCGGGCATTGACTTGATTGTCGTATACGAAGCTGTTGGCGCCAAAATAGTCGCGAATTGCCATGGTCGCGATGAACATATCAAGCTTCGGGTGATCCTCAATTTCGGCGAAGTCAGCCCAGCCAAGGAATCTCTTGTATAGAGAGTTGTCTGTCCATTTTCTCCCCAAGACATGACCCTTGATGAGAAGTTCGACCTTGGCGTAGAGCTCGGGGAATTTCTTGGCGCCCGGGTGAATTTGCTTGATAGCCTCATAGTGGCGGGCGCGAATGGTTTCGGCATCTTCTCTGGCACGGGGGCGATTGGTCTTTGATGCCTTCATGGGAGTAGGAGTCGCCTCCTCGGTCGTGATGTCGGGTGAGTCTCTCTCTTCAGACATAGTTGAAGAGTAGTAGTTGTTGTTGATGATGAAAGGAAGAGAAAAGAAAAGAGGAAAGGAGGGGATCAAAGGCCTCTATTTATAGACGAATCTGAGGGCTGTGGGCTCGACGATGAATCACTGTCGATAGATCGGAGGCGGATGATCCAAGGACTCTCCAAAAGATCCTAAATACAGCACAGATAAAAACGAATAAGAACAATGACCAGATTCAAAACAAGCACAACAAGGGCAAGTAGCAGGAAGGAAAGCAAGGTCTCAAGGATGGTCCGGGGAGGCATGGTATCTACTTTTGAAGATGTGGTGATGCGATGTGGTGGAGGGGAATTTGTGATATCTACTGCCTTGCACATACAGACTGATTCCTCGGGTTCGCTAGTATGGGCTCGCTGTGCTCTTGAGACTGCCTCGCTGCGGCTGCGGCGAGTCTTCAAATCTCCTCGCCCCTCCAAGCGGCATCGGGGTCAGGATCTCTCGTCGAGACCACCACCAAGTAGCTAATTTTCCTAGTACTCGCCTAAGGATTCCTTTAGTCTGTACCTAAACCCACAGTAATATCATAAAAATGCTACGCACCGTTATGATCTTTAGGATATTTGGGTGCACCGCGAGGCCTTCGACGGGCAATTTGGGGTCCTCGAGGGGATAGATCGTGCCCAGAATAGCTTGACTTTATCTATTAGGAATACACTACATCTTCCTTCCTATTCAGCCTACCTTGCCTGTATACGATCCAACGCAGATTATATGTCTAGATGTTGAAGAGATGATTCAACCAGCTTGTGGGAGTTGCTGTACTCTACTGGGCCGATAGACACACGTTGCGAAAGGCAAGAGTCACTCAATTCAACCTTGCACTTCAAGTAAACAAGATCTACTACTAATTTCGAAGACTCACAAACGAACCTTGCTATTATCTTGACAATGCTTTGTTCATGGTTGTATACAGCCACAAGTGTCGTCGGAAAGTTTGTGGCACGTGGGGCTGAGGCGTGGAGGTCTCGCGTGCAAACCACATGGTCTTCTTGGGGTGCACTCAGACAAACAATCACATTTATTATTTTATCACATTTTTGTTACTTATAGTCTTTATGTGAGAGGTGGGACATTTATGCCCAAAAGTTCAATTAATGCTTTTAAAGCCATGGTACAGATGTAGGCACAGATGTAGGAGCCAGTCCATCGCATAAAATGTTGCTTGCTGTGGGTATAATGATGCCAAGTTTAAAATCGACAGACGCAAAACAAGAGGGTATCGTTTAGGCAAAGGTAAAAACATTGTTGGGCTCCTTGCCCCCATCAGTCAACCTAGCCATGAAGCAAGACATTTTGAGCTTGTCGACAGCATCCTGCAACTCCTGAATCTTTGCGTATTTGCGTTGATTCATCCACCAGACGCGAAGGCCAACGCTGTATCGAAGTGTGACGAGAAAGTGCTTGAGCTTGTAGTCTTCCTGTCCTTCGAGCGAATCGTAAGCCGCCTTGCGCTTCTGGTAGAGATTTTCGACGCGATCATCGTAGAAGAGAGTGATCGCGTCTGACATCTTCTCGACTGCCACTTTGGACTTGCGTGATGTCTCGTCAAGGTCCTTGGTTCTTTGCTGGATATCTTTGGCTTCCATGGTTCTGAAATCTTCTCGCTTCACCTTGATGTTGGTGAGGATCTTCTCTTGCGTTTTCTTCAAGTGATGACGGGACTTGAAGCTGGCGGGGATAGTAACTTCCATGGCTGGAGTCTGCTGTCCAGTAGTATTTCCAGAGACCTGGTTGCGTTCATGGAAATTCATTGTTGAGGGAGACATTTTAATATCATGTCTTTAGATAAGAGTTGGTGGATGATAGAGTGGTATGTAGAGAGAAGAGTGTGGATAAGTGTCGAAGAAGATAGTATAGAATCTAATGATGACTTCTAAGACTTTGAGAGTACACTTCAGAGTTTATAGTATGTCTGAAGGTAGATTGTTTGTAGAGAGAGAAGATGTGATATGATATCGTGACGCGTCTGTAAATGAACTTGTCCGAAGATCAAGATAAAAGTGATACTTTGGTTAAGATGACTCTGAAGATATATTTATCAAGAAGATGTGTCAAATTGACGAACAAGTCGAAAAGATAGCTGTGATCAAGAGTGTTTGAAGATAACTTGGCTTGAAGACTTGAGAGATGCTGGTTCAGGAGGGAAGTTAGGAATCTGGGAACTTGGGGGCATCCCGGTGTCTTATACCTCTCAAATTATTAAGTTTAAAGAGTAATGGTCGTGTTTCTTAGGCAAATTTGTCGTGAATTGATAAGATTCTGCGCTTCAGTTCACAAAGTCTTGTTTTGATTCTGCCCAAGGCTGCCGTGGACGCAAATTACCAATGTGGGTTGACTCATCAAACGGTGCACGCCTGACTAGACTACGCAAGTGTCGCTGCAGTGTCGAAAATACAAATGATCAAATGTTGAGAAAAATACTTGTCGGGACTTCTGCTTTTGCTCATCTGATGTATTCGAGTGAGGCTCATCATTAGGGAGATTATCCCAAGCATTGTCATCTTTCGGTTCTCTGAATTGCATCACCTCCAAGATACTGTCAACACTACACGATAAAGTTTGCCCTTCCCATCAACCATAAGGCTGAATCTTCAACTTTAATACATTGGCTTTGCAAATAAATGAACCAAATCCCAAGTGCTTGACAAGCTCTCTCCTGACTTGACTTTTTTCAGACCCAAAATATAAAACTAGGTTCCTCCAGAGTGACTTAAGGGGTAAAAAACTTTCAGATTTGAGCTTGTGATGATAAATCGTCTAGGGGACACAACAGGAGCATCACGACGATGGTTCTGACACCAAATCTACATGTTGGAATTTGCTCAATAGCCCGGCCAGCTACCATCCAAGGTTATTCAGCATGCTCCGAAGGTTTTGAGAGAATCCAAAGGCTCCTAAATTTAGCAGAAGACCGCAGTCACATGAGCTTGTGTATAAATCTCTCCTGGAAACCAGAAGCTTCCATGGTACGTAATACCAGGAACGCGCGCTTCTGTCCAGGGACTCTACCTTTGCGGGCCTTGGGATTCACTTTGAGTGCGCAAATGAACGGGCGATAGGGGGGGACGTCCAAGGCTCGAAGTGCTATGTCGCTAAGTTCTAACGTGTTGGCGGGGATCGAAGTTCGGAGAGTTGATGGCAATATTGTGTGTAGACAAGTCTCGGTCAAACGAAGGAACCACGGAGGGGGTCTATGTCGGTGTTGCTGACGGCTTGTATGGTCCTTGGAACCGAATTAGCATCGATCTAGTGCACCAGGAGACCTTCAGTAACCATTTGACTACCACTTGAATTCGGAATGGAGATGCTTGTGCTTGGTCAGGTATTTGTAATTGACTGCGCCGACCAGAAGTAACTAGGTCAGTAGCTATTTTGGACGACGTGCCAGTTTCCGAAGAGAGACCTTTGACATAGGAACGCTTGCATCTGGTGACAAAAACAGATGGTGGCTCGGCGCTGTCGTCGGTTTCTTTGTTGCCAGTCGATTCGTTTGTGAGATCCCAAGTTGTTGTCCATCTTGAACAGCTCAGAAGAAAGACCGACAGAAAATACACTTACTAAGAGGTCAGTATTTTGGGAGTAGTACTAAACCAGGGATTTCGTTCAGTGAACAATGCTGGGGCACGAACAAGTGCCATGCCACTGTAAAGAGGATCCCAAGGGACCAACTGGTAGGCAGGTGCATTCCCAGGGTGCAAATTCTAGACAGCAAGAGCGGGCTCCCAGATTACCAAGTTATTCTCCTACCACTTTCTATTTTACCTGTTTCATTAAGGTACCAGTCGTAAAACTTCAAACATCAACTTTCTTCAAGCTTCATTTACTCACTGCCCGAACAAAGATCATGGAGGTTCTCAGGAATACCAAATTCAGCATGGACAACTCATATCACCATCCATCATTTACTCACTATAACCCGATATCACACGGTTTCGGTCCATAGGTCATCGAGCCTTTTCCAACCATCGCCGCAACTCTGACTATTCATTCGACCCTCGGCGCAAGCGTACCATCCAGATCCTTTTCTTCGAGAATTCTACCTTGCTAGCGGGCCAATCCCGGTAGAGGAACACTTTTTTTTTATAGAAATTAGGAGCTTAGGAAGACCTTTCACTATCCTCTGGTCTTGACCTTTACTGCAAGGTTCGTTCATTGTCTTGAACTGGATCATCACGGCGGGAATAGGCGCCAGAACACGAACACTGAACAACCATCCTGTTCCGTGTGTGTAGCTGACTTTTTGTTGATAGGTCGTGCCACATGCAAATGCTTGGACTCCATTACGCTTTCCATTCCTTAGGGCATGGTTGGTCTCAGTCGCTACGCTCGAGCAGGCTGTTTGTTACTTGCATTTCGTCATGAGACCGATATACGAAGACCCGCCGTTCTATTAACTCGCTTCGATATCCACAATTTCGTCCACTATGGCCCATGGACAGAAGAAACCGCCTCAGCTGTCGACATTGGAACTATCTTCAAGAAGGACTAGAAATGTCATGTAGGGAAGACGGAGCTGACAGGGGTGGCATCGCGCCCTACCAGCTACCCTATAACCCTAACAAGACGTTGTTTGAAGTGTCTGTAAGTGAACCAAGAGATGTAAATTGAACCGGGCGACTGTTGATTTGAAATCAGTTATTCAATCTAATTCAATCGAAACGCCGGTACTTTGCATTATCGCCAAACTCGAGGACGAAGATCAACAACCCTTCTATCTCAGGCCCGACAACTGGTATGAATCTCGGACTAAGATCACCCCCAAGTCTTAACGAAATCGGTTATTTCCGTGCTTCAGCCCGGAAGAAACCTTCCAGAACGGCAACCTACGGATCATCGGTGGAAATCTCAGACATGCCATCAGATACTTTGTTGGGCTTATCATTTATCATCCAAGATCTGTCAAAACTACCGGCAGCCCGGCAATGTTAGAAGAGGAGGCGATGGCCAAAAAGTTGCAATTTAGCTGCCTCATACGGCTAGTGCTCGGACGTGGTATCCCCGCCCGGCTCCGGCCTGCCATTACGAAGTCAGACAAGAACCGATAACTGACATTGGGAACTCAGATCCTCAACTGCCTGAACTGGACAAAAAGAGTCTCTCAAACTACAAAATTGAAGCTGCACTTGTCGTTCGATTGACAAGTACCAGGTCCCGTAATAGTGGCCCTCTGCGCCGCATCCCGGAAACGGTAGTCTACTTTACGCTTATACGCTGGAGTTACAACCCTTGTCTTACTTCTTTGTTCAATCGTTGCACCCACTGCATTGAAACGCTTCTGGTAATCTTACTACAGAGAGTACACCCATGGCTCCAGGAAGAAAAAAGAAGGGGAAAAAGGTACCTTCTGGCCCGGTCGCTGATAAGCCATGTCATAACTGTCGACGTCGAAGACTTCGATGTGATCGTCTTCTTCCACACTGCGCAAAGTGTGAAGCAAAGGGTGTCGATTGTCTTGGCTACTCTCAGATATTTCAGTGGACAGGCGCTGTCGCATCAAGAGGCAGATTAGCTGGACAACAATCGAGCGCCGCCTTGTATACCCCGGCTCGGTCTACCACGGGCCATTCAAGAGCCTCTCTTTCTTCTGTCTCTTCTATTTCCTCTAACTCCCCAGTCTCTTCCTCCTCCGCTTCATCCATCGCTTCGCCGTCTGTTCCATCATCATCACCAGCATTCATTGCCCCGAGCCTCTCTCAAGTTGACGAGGTCACCGAGACTTCAGAAGCCGAGTCCGAGTCCGAGTCTGGATCTGAATTGGACATATTCAATGACCAATACATTGATGAACAATACAATGGCGATGATAATGATGCGACCCCCCTCGCGAGTGGTGATACACAGCTCGTCTGTACCACCAACAACTATCCCCTGGCATCGGAAACCTCGACTCCGTGGGTGCTCGTCGATCCCTTGTACCAAGACATTACGAGCAACCACAGACAGTATCTCGCTTATTGTACGCAGCCCTTGGTCGTTATTGGTCCCGAGAAACAGACAAAGAATGAGAGGGACATGGGCTGACTGATTCTTAGTTGATGCGCGGCTCAGTCGAGATTTTGTAGCCTTTGACATACCCGACAACCCATTTCGGAATCTGCTCAAATTTACTCAGGCCCACCCTCTATTACGTCAGGTCATTATCGCTGCTTCAGCGACGCACATGTACAACCGCTCGAGGCCATGGTTATCTTCGGAATCGCTGGATAGGGGGTTAGGTCCGAGAAATCTGTTGATGGATGCTCTCGAGGCCAAGCACCAGGTCTTACGAATGTTACCTTCTGCTCTCCAGAGCATCGAGTCTACGGGGGGTGACATTGTCCTGGCGGCGATTTTGTTCCTGATTAATGTAGAGCTGATAGAGTCTGGCAAACATAATTGGAAGGCTCACTTTGATGGCGCTGACAAAATCATGAAGTTGCTGGGACCAGTGTCAGATGTAGACGAGAGCCTAAGAGACTACATAGTTTCTGACTGTTTTATGTACGTTGGCAGCATCCAAACGTCCTGTCATTACTAACTCGGATTAGTTACTACATACTGGATTCCACTTTCAGGCCCACGGCATCAGATTCACATTCCTACTTTGAATCATGTGAAGCACTACAGGTACTCGGCAAGACGACGAATAGCTATTACTGCTGTCCACCCGAACTCCTCGAAATTATGCTCATAGCAGCGCGACTATCCAACACGAAACCCGATGAAGTTGTTTCCGCTGATATGGTTACTGCAGCTGGAGCAGCATTATTAGACCGTGCTCGAAATTTCGACGTTCTTCCTTGGGCACAAGAAATTAATCTCTACAATATACCATCAACTGAACACGACCCCGTATTAAGCCGGTTTCGCGCAGCGACATCTCATCGATTAGCCATTTGTCTCTACATTCTCCATGCCATACCATCAGTGGGAGTCTGGGTTGGCGAGGATCTGGCTGATGCTATTTTCGCAGAGCTACACCAGGTGTTGTGTATGATACCGGACGATGATATCAATTTGAAAGCAACAACGTGGGTGACATTTGTTTTTGGAGCATGCGCCAAAACACCTGAGATGAAAGATTGGGTCACAGTCCAGATTAAAAAGCTTATGATTGAGAGTCCTTGGGGCTTCTTGTACGCAGCAAGGGATGCTTTACAAATGCTCTGGAGTGTTCAAGCTGAGGGTATGCCTATGACGAGTTGGGTGCAGACTTTGAGAGATTTGCATATGGACTTTTTAATTGTTTAGATATGATATTGGGTCGGAGTCATGGAATTCAGGGCACGGGTCCATACCATGTCTATGCATGGTATCTTAGGATTTGCCAGAAAAGCAACAAAGGCCTTCCATTGTTGGTCTAATGATTTGAAGAAACATTGAGAACGATACGAAATGGGAAATATATTGTGATACGAACTTAAGATTACTTTGCTCAACCTGGAATTGAAGTTTGTCGTACATGAGATATGACCTCGGGCCGACGATCATAATGTCTGAGCCATGTAAGTTCCTGGTCTGGGAGGCCGCAATCTGTAGGCACTTTGTACCAAAACTGGTTTCCCTACCTCATGACTTTGTCCTCTGTTGGAACATTGAACCCCTCATTACTCTCTTCCGACTGTCAGCTGTCTATCAGTTCTTCAGTAATGAACAACAAGGTCCTTCTACTCAGCCATAACAAGGCTGATCAAACCCCAGCCCGACTATTTTCGGAATCTCAGGGGAGAGGACGGAGAGGGGGGGCCGAGAAACAGGCCACACGGTCAGCCTTGGGGTTGTACATCAAATATCAACCACCCCGACCGAGTATGTTACACAAAAAGTGTACGAGACACGACTGCCCCTGAACTTGACGAGCCTCCATATGACCCGCGGAGAGAAGGGGGAGCTGAAACATTGCTCACTTTTACTGGAGACACGTCTGGGTACATAAAGTTTCGGACGGTGGCATGGTGGGTGGGTTTTTGCTGTGACATCGGAATGGGTTCCGGGTGTTTTTGGTTACTGGGTATGGTTAATTGAACTTATCATCGGATGGGATGATGACTGGGCTGCAGAGATGAGCATACGGAGATGATGATCCAGTATGTTGGAGTCTATAACTGGACTAGGGAGTAGATAGACTACTGGTTCGCATATCTATATGCTTGATTGGTCGAGTTCTTGGTCCAAGTTGAGTTTGATATGGGATGAGATGACCTGAGCTTCTGTTTTTGAAAAGGCATAAACTTGTGTATTCGTCAATCAGGACGCGGATATTCCTATTCGAAGATGTAATTTTGGTCGTAGCAAATCAGGTGTGATAGTCTTGTTATGCCAGGAACGAGGTTGATATTAGGTGTCAACTCTAATGGCATATGATCAGTTCAGCCGCTGTACGACAAACTCAGACGTGGTCTGATAGATGGCCAACGCATCTTCACCCAGACAAGAAAGTTTGACTGACTAGAGGACTCACCTCAAGATCATCAAGCATTATGGTGCATGGCTAGAGAAGCATGTGTGGCCCAATATCGGAACACATCTTACAGTAATGTTGAAAGCACTTTCTTGAAATCATAGTATACAGCAGCTAAATATGTACTTCCACACCATTTCATCATTACCTTCTTGTAAAGCCACGATCCCATCACCTAGTAGTCCAGCATTAGATATCCCCTCCAGATACTCCATTGGAACCAGTCCAGATCATTACAAAAATACAGTAAGCCTCACAAACGCATCCTACAAACCCCATCAGATCCTGGCAGCCACCCGGGTGCCGTTCTTAGAACATAATGCCAAGGCATACAACTCCATCCACTCCTGATCATCACGGGACTCAAGCAGCTTGTAAGTCTGCGCCATCCTAGCCACCACATAATGCGTTTCCAGAAGAGCATACTGTTCTATACCACAACTGTCAGACTTGCCGAGTGACAGGGGGAGTTGACAACTTACGTCCGATACAAGCGCGAGCTCCACCGTTGAAAGGCAAATACCCCCAGCCAGGTCTCAGATCCTCCCACCTCTCTGGGATAAAGTCTTCAGGCCCGTGGCCAAAAACGTCTTGGTTTCGATGCATGGCGTAAACGTTGTAGAACATGGCTGTTCCCTTGGAAATAAACAGTGGTGACCTTCCGTCGGCGCCGCCACCACGAGGAATCGTCGTGTCCCTGACTGCGACGCGGGTGTTTGTGGGGATGACAGGATGCAGCCTCAAGGCTTGAGCTCTAGTGTTAGAGACAAAGGTTATAGGGCTGAAGGCTGGCTGACTTACACTCGTTGACACACCATTTGAGGTAGGTCATTTCTTTAAGTTGACTTGCAATAGGGGGTTCTTGGCTAGCCACTTTCAGAACTTGGTCTCTTAGCTTTGTGTATATCCGAGGGTTCTTTGATAGGAAGAAGAAAAGGTTGCTGAGGAGACTTGATGTTGTGTCACGGCTTGCGAGGAGGATGTGTAAGATATGGCCACTTAGACCTTTTTTGTCCCCGGCTATCGCCATCATTTCTGTGAGAAAACCGCCCTCTGAACCACGTTTGGGACTGTTCAGGGACTCTTCGATAAAGGTATCGAGATACTCGTATACCCTACTTCTAGCCCTCTTAGCCGCAAAGTTGAACTTGAGACGGTGCAGAGGACCAAGCTGCATCTGTTGGATGATCTCCTCAGAGCAAATCATGTAATCATCAACAAACTGCTGCTCTCGGGTATGGTCTGCCTTCTCACTAAGCATATTCGTCGAGTGTCCCATGAGAAACTCTGTCGAGACATCCATAGTAAGAGCCAGGAACAGAGGCTGGAGGTCGACTTCAGAGCCATCAGTGGGAACATGTTTTGAGAAAGCCTGGAAGTTCCGTTCCAAAGTCTCGAGGAATGGTGTCGGGTTGTCTTTCCTGAAACTCTGTCTCAGTACGGCCCGGGCGTGCTTCCATGTATGTCCGGATAAGACAAAGATGCCCTGCCCAAAGGCATTTCCAATGACTGAAGTTCGAAACTCTGGAAGATCAAAGTCTTCGCTGGCGGATGCGAGAATATGCTTGAGGTTCCGGGGATCGCAAGTGTAGACGCATTGCCATGACCACCTCCTTTCTATGTAAGTCGTCCCCATCTTCTTAAAGGCTTGCCATGTGTTGTCCAGGTATCGTTCTGGAGCTTGAACAAAAAAGGCCCTGTATAGAAAGTCGAAACCAATGATGGGGTCTTTGACAGGGACTTTGCTCGTGGCGTCCTGACAGCCTTTGGCTTGAGCGAGTCTCCATCTCCGAAGGTATATCTCAATTGCACGAAGAGGAATAGGAATAAGAAGGAGAATAGCAGTAGCGATAAAGTGCTGCTGAAGGAATTGAAGAAATAGTAGACTGAACATAATGAAGCATGAATCTGTATAAAATGGATGGAGTATGGTTCAGAACAACAGGAGGGAAGGAGGCTGCAGACAGCCACTTTGAGTGGGATCGGAGAGGGTAAAGTACCTATTGGAAGGTGAAAAAAGATACCAGTCAGAGATTATCCCCCGAATGTCTTGAATCAAATGTCCCAGATCTAGAGCACAAGATAAATTGAGTCATCTTATGGAGAGTATATACGCCCCTCCATTGTCCTTGTCCTTGTCCTTGTCCTTGTCATGGTCATGAGTATCCATTCAAGATCACGGAAATACCATCGTGGCACCCAACACTCTGGAAATCAGCAATCCTATAGGTAGGATGAAAAAGAGAATAGAAATAAAGCAGGGCTGATACCGAATTTAGATGCGCATCTTGTATAAATAGGATCCCCGGTATAAACAGCCCCCACAACCTTCCTTAGTCAAACACTCCACTGTCACGAACAATATGCTCCTGCAGTGCAACGAGAAAGGCAGGGAAAAAAAGATCATCTTGTCAAAGAATCTCTATCTTTTAGCATTTCACACAAGAGTTGACAAAGGGGAGAGACGGTCACCAGGACCTAGCGTAGATCGAATACGCAGCTCTGTACTCTACTGTTACTACTGGGGGCGAAAGCCATGGACCTGCATACCGGCTGTGCTCTCAAATGCTTGGTCCATTGGCATACATCAGCTGAGGACATTGCATTGCATTCCACTCTTTTCCTTCGATCCTGCCACGTCAAACAAGAACAAAGGTAGACTGTTGTGACACGAAAGAGCTATGACGGCTTCTATCTGGTCAGGGGTAGATGGAAAAGAAGTTCAGTCAGAGTACGGCGGGAGGTGACAGCTGCGCTTCCGCTGCAGGTGGGCATGGATATTAATTAACATTGGCATGAACACGCACGCAAGATGATTTCAGATGCGGCACAGACCGAGTCAATGTAGTTCATTAAGACAGAGGGATGAGACAGGACGAGACATGCGCATCAGTTGATTGCCAATCCCATTTATACAGGACTTTGTATACGGTTGTGTTTGATGAAAACCTTGTACATTGGCATGATTTAAAGTAGCCAATACAAGATGTAGTCACATCAAGATAAATATGTACGTATGTCTATTGTAGTAGACTTGAACAGGAAATACGAAGGAACCCACAGAGCGGAAACAACGTCTATAATAGGCAAGATGGGCGTTGCCAAATAGAACAAACTTTGCTTGGTAAGTTCGCCCTGTAAAGATGTCTTGCATAGGCTCTGGCTCTGTGTTGTTTCAAAGGTGTGTGGTGGGGACGGAGCATTCATTACACTGGTCTAAGCTTGACGGACTTGAATCATAGCATGTAGTTAAAGTGTTCTTTCTTGACCATGACGAGGCGTTTGGCGGCCCGCAACGGAGATCCGGAGAAGCATTGACTTTGTATATCCACTTTCAGGGTCTAATGTAGGGCTGTCCTCGAGAATGCTGTGGAGTTGGGATATACAGCCGTAGTAGAAGCGTAGGGTAGATGAACTGCTGCATCCGTAGACTGGAAGATGATCGACAAAGATGAAAATGTTGGTTCGATAGATTGCCATAATTGCTTCTTCCTGTCAAGGTAGAATGTTGGAACAAACATGCCAAGAATATTGTGTCTGACGGTTCAAGTCTAGTCTCCCCTAGTCAATCCACGCTATGGTACGGCTGAAGTTCAGGCAAGTCATTGTACCGAAACTAAATATCCTACATTGGGAACCGGTGTCTCAGATAGACATATTGTTGGTTCTGTGTAGCCCACTTGCGAAAGCACGTACACGGACACGCCCCGTGCTCACAAGATCCTGCCCTTTCTCGTCTCTGTCTTTTAGGTCAGAGACATGGCAAGAGTAGATACGCAGTATAGTGATACCCCGGAATAGGTTGTGCAATGGAGACGAGAATACCTACTGCTCCTTCGTTGGCTGCCAGGGCGAGTGGCTTTGATGGAGGGAGAATCATTGGACACACTCAAAACTTCTGTGCTACTGTTGAGTTCCCTCTCCGATGTGTACAGTGTCAGCCGGGGCTCGGGAGGCCCAAGCTGTCGGATCCTTTCTGAGATGTGACAATCTTGCTTTGGTTGCATTGATTGATTTGATCTTACATAGGACTCTACGTGTGCTGTACTTGTAGCAGTTACTAGTGCGCATGCCACTAAAACCTTTAGTGTTGAGCTGCTGTGCTTCTATCCTGCCTTCTATCTTCTTCAGCAGGTTTAGGTCCTGCAATTTAGTCATGTAGTTCCTTCCATAGTTTAATGATCGACAGTTGGGTCCGTATTTAACCCTGCATCTTCCCCCCTGAACTTCCTTAGACTACCCGCTTTGGCTTGTCAATCAATCTTTCGTTGGTCTCTGTACCACTTTGCACGCGTGTTTCCTAATATCCGTTCATGATTCAGCCTCTTTTTTCTCTCTTTCTTTTTTCCCATTCCTTTTTCTTTCTCTCGTTGCTACAGGTGAACTGTTCTTGGCCACATGATGAAGCCAACAGTATCACAAGACGGTGACTCTACCGACGCCTCTTCACCCATCGACGACCCTTCCATCTCCCAAGTCTTTGGTGATCCTGTAATCGACTTACATCTGACATTATGGGACATCTTTGAAAACGCCGTGGCTTCAAAGCCCGATGGAGACGCCCTTGTTTCGATGTGGCAGCCACGCCATCATTTGTCCAACGGTGATCTTCCTCCTCCATCCAATGACAAGGACAAACCGTACCTCAATTGGACCTATACTCAGTTGAAGGACAAGGCAGAGCGGGTAGCCGAGACTTTGGAAAGTCTAGGCTGTCGACCTGGAATGCGGCTGGCCGTTGTGCTTAGTAACTGTGCAGAATGGGCCTTGTTCTTCTGGGCGGCGGCCAAAATGCGCATGGTTTTTGTCCCCATTGACCCAACGGTTCCTCGAGATGCGAGAGCCGCAATCCTATCCGTCAAGGCGAAAGTGGTGGTGGCACAAGATGCGGAGGGTGCAAAGGCGCTTGATCTTTCCACAGAGTCGAGGGTCTGTATAGTGTGCGTAGGGGAAAAGGTTGACAACTGGTTGGGGCTACCTGATGTGTTGAGTCCTGGCGATAAACTGTCAGAATCTGTGCCCAAGATGACGAATGGGGTTGACTCGACAGATACGAACCAAGACGAAGACGCAGCATTGATCATATTTACCAGCGGAACAACAGGTCAACCCAAAGGATGTTTACATACAAACGCCAACATCATATCGCAGTGTTGCGACTTTGATCCAGAAGTCAATGCTATGGGAAAGCTTAGATGGCTTATCCATACCCCTGTCTCCCACATGTTTGCCATCAACAACACCCTTCGTGCATGGCGTTGGAGTGGCTTGGCTGTCATCCCATCCAAGTCCTTCAACGTCGATGCCACGCTCGACGCCCTCGTAAAAGAGAGATGTCACATCATGTCAGCCACTCCCACGCTCGTCAAAGCCCTAATGTCGCACCCAAACTTCCCCAACGTTGACCAACTCGACCTACGAATCGTCACCATTGGGGGTACATCCATCGGACCAGAAGACATCAAACTCTGCCGCGAAGGTCTCGGCGCGCAAATGGCGATTCAAGTATTCGGCATGAGCGAAGGTGCTCCCATCATTACCTGGAAGAGGGCGGATCCTGATTTGGTGGACAGTTGGCATCCTGGAGTTGGCAAGGTTCTTCCAGGGGCGGCTGTGAGGATCTGCCGGCCCGAGACGCGAGAAATACTACCTCGATCGGAGATCGGAGAATTGCATATTGGCGGAACATCCGTCATTTCTAACTATTGCGACAATGGCAGGGGTTCTGATGGAGCCATGTACACCGACGAAACAGGGAATTGGCTAGTCACAGGCGACCAGGCCAAGATTGATGACAAGGGAATTGTTTATATCCTCGGTCGCTACAAGGATCTTATTATTCGTGGTGGTGAGAACATATACCCCCTCAAGATGGAACAGGTTCTACTTCAGCAGCATAAAGGACTACAGGTAAGTCCCAGCCAATTTCTTGACTCTCCAACACCACTAACAAATATAGGTCCAAGTTGTTGGCGTCCCAGATGATTTGGCTGGCCAAGTCGCTGTCGCTGTCGTTCTTCTACCAGAAAATCTCACAAAATCCGAAATTATTGAGACTGCCAGAAATGCCGATCAACGATACGCTCTAGATGGCGTATACACCCTCCAAGAACTAGGTCTAGAAAAGTTTCCCTTGACATCGCTCGGAAAAGTCAAGAAGGAGCAGCTCAAAGCCCATATTCTCAAACTCCGACAAGGGAAAAGTTCACCAAAGGGTCCATTTTCGCCAAAGGTTTCAGTCTCGCCAAAAGGTTCAATATCATCGAAGGATTCAATCTCGCCAAGGAGCTCGAATTTACCAAAGGTTCCTATCAACAAGGCAACTCCAACACCACCTTTCGTCAATAAACTGCTCAGCGTCTGCGAGCAACTCATTGGGATTCGACCTTCCATCACAGAAAGCTTCAAGCATCTCGCTGACAGTATCACTCTGCTGCGCTATTGCGACCGTGTACTGCGTGTCTCCGGCCAAAGACTCTACCTGCAAGACTTAATTGAGCACGATACCATCGAGAAGCAAGCTCATCTCCTGCTCTCTCGAAAATTTCAACAAGCGCGCCTTGTAATTGCTCCTGAAGTACCCAAGTCCAATCCTCCCCAACCCAGGCAACACGTCCCAGCTCCAAACCATGCCATGCAAGCCACCACTCCCTCCTGTCAAGGCACAGACAAGGATACGCTTTGCCACGCCAAACGTGCTGTAGCACGCGCTGGCTTCTCTCCATCGGACATCGAGGACGTCCTACCCATCCGGCACTCGCTGCATCGGACTGCGATTGGGTCCCGTCCGCAGTCCTACCATAACCGCATGGTCTTTCGCATCTGCAACGTTGCGCAGCATCAGATTCTGCGTGCCCTCGAAAAGGCGCTGGTCTCGAGACCGATGCTGAGAACCGTTGTGTTCCCTGACTCGAACCGTATCCCGTTCCACGCCGTCCTTACCCCGAGTCCCGCACTCTTTGCACAGCTCATCCACGAGGTAGACGTCGACACTGAGGAGGATGCGCAGGATCGTTTCAAGGATGGTTCTGCGGAGGGTCATTCGTCGCCGTTCATGTTCCAGGCTGATTTGGTGAGGACGTCTGGGGGTCAGGCTTTTCTTTGCGTTACCTTTAATCACTCCGTCTTTGATGTTCTGTCTATCTTGCAGTGGTACCACGATCTCGATCATTGGATCCAAGACATAAAGACCAACATCCCTGCACTGACTTCCTACCGACTCTTTTCTGATCTGTTCACCCAATACGAGGAAAGCGTACCTGCACAGAACAGTGTCGCATTTCATGTTCGAAAACTTCGAGGCATCTCTCGCTATGGCCGCGCATTGTGGCCACCTCAAAAGGCGCCTGGCATGATGATCGCTAATGACCAAGGTTCACCACATGCTAGAGAACGGTGCCAAGTTCGCAACCAAGTTTGGAATGGCGATTGGGAAAGCCGCGCTCATGAGTTCCAATACCCGCGAAGTGGTCGCGTTTCGAACATACCAGGGCTTCCAAAGCTCCAAGACGAACACGGCATCCATCCAGCACTGTTCACCAAGAGCGCAATTGTTCTCTTCAATGTTATTCAAACTGGTTGTTCACACGCATTCCTCAATGTCTGGGAAAGCGGACGCTCATGGCCATTTATTCCCCAGTGGATGAACAAACTCCTTCCGCCAGCCATGAGCATTGATGGTCCTACCGTTCAATGGATCCTCAACATGTCGGAAGTCATCCATAAGGAAACAGTCATCGAGTTTCTCCAGCGTATGACAGCTGAGAGCGAAGAGATCAAACAGCATGAACATGTTCCTTGGAACAAGGTTGTTGAAAAGCTCAGCGACGAAGGAGAAGCCGCAATCGAAGCGTCATTTAGACAATCTTTTGTCTGGGATGTTTCTCTCGCCATGAATTTCTCAAAGCAGGGAAGTTTCAAGACTTTTGAGCCTGTCGCACGCTACGATTGGGCTGATTGGTAAGTAACAATCACCTTCCATTTCCATACTCGTCAATAACTGATATTGAAATAGCGGCTTCTTCTGGAATGCCTTTATGATCGATTCTATGAACCTATATTTTATTGCTTCTTGGGACACGGCGCAAATGAATGATACCGAAGTCGGTGGGCATTGCGATGCTTTGTCTGAAATCCTTCGAAAGCTGGGAGATGAGAGCAACTGGGATAAAAAGCTGAGCGATGTGTTCCATCTATGAGTAATGATGTCTACGAAATGTCACTGGGGAGGCGTTCTGAGTTGTCACGTGGATCATTTTATATGTTTAGTACCAATTTCATGTCAATTTGTTTTACCTACCTTTATGGAGGCACCAATTCAAGGGCTGAAGCCCATCAGATACCATACCCAAGCCTTACAAAAGAAACTGTCTCCCCCATTCCCTGCCTGTAGGTCCTCCGCGCACAAGTGTCTACTTGTCGCAGTCCCATCGATGGGCAGACTGGCCATACTTGTCATGGAAAGACATAGCTTCGCCGACAACGACGTTGACCTCTCGAACTACAGCAGCGCGGAAGCTCGGGTGAAGCAGAGCATTTACCCACTCGGCCTTGACATCTTCGGGGTGCTTATACTCTTTCTTTGGGATATACTGCTTAATCTCCTTGTCCGTTGAGCCAAGAGCCGTTCTAATGACTTTGACACTATCGTCCTTTTCAGGACCAGGACGACTCTGGAACTCATACCAGACGTGTGCGAGATAGTCGTCGAGTTTGAGCATTCCTGCTATATCGCGGACTCTGAAAGCTCTGTCGTCTGCTCCGTCATGCGGGCTCGAAACGCTGTTTCCAAAGAGCGGTGTCCAGAGGCCCTCCTTGTGCTTGGGGCGCTTGACGCCGACCACGCATCCGCAAAGCATGACAGGAGAAGTTTTGCACTTGTTCATGTCAGTCCGCAGAAGTAGTTGCAGTCGACGAAGACGGCGACGGAAACATTGGATCTGCATTCTCGCAGCAGAAACATCCCACTCGGGTCGTACATCAGGCAGTAGTATAGCGACAGAGAGATCCAAGAGGAAATCCACAGCCTGCTTCGTGTACTCCTTCTTTGAAGTGATGCAGTTCGGCTGCATTCGAAGGAATAGGTCCCAAAAGAACTGAAGATCTAGCCAGAGGTCTTCAAAATCGATCTTGATGTCTTCCTTCTCGGATTTCTTCTTCTCAATTTCGGCTTGGAATCCGCTGCTGTTGAGTTTGTACGTTGTGTATACATAGCCTGCTGCCGTTGAGATGTATTTAGATACATCCAAAAGCTTCTCGTTCTTTGGATCAGTGTACATACCTGTAGTTCCATTGAACTCGGCCATTGTGAATATGGAAGGGTCAATGTCTTTCAAAGTACATATCTCGCTGAAGTCCTCGAAGGGATCGCCTTGACCGGTTGGGCGAAGAGCTGGGGTCTGACCCGAGGCTCTAGAACGGGGTTGGTCCATGACTCCTGTTGAAGGCACAGGACTCTCTGCGAATCGCACGAATTTGGTGGGTTTTCGGATAGGGGTTTCTTTCTTTTCCGGCATTTTGACGGTTGAAGAGAAAATTCGTTTGTGTGGTTGTGAAAAATTTGAGTTGGTGGGTAGTTCAAGTCAAACTTGGTTGATGGGGAGTTGTCGAAATAGGGGGGGTATTTGGGAGGTTTTGTCGTATTTAGGAACAATACAGTAGACGGCGTGTTCATTTCAATTGACTGTTCCTTAAAAATTGTACTGGTAACAAGACAATGATCTTCTCTGAACAAGGCCATAGTCCAAGGCTAAGCCTATTGATCAGAAGAAAAGACTACTAGAACTCAAGACTGTATCAAAGATATCAAGTTGTATTAACTGCACATATCAATGACAAAAAGAACTAGTCCAAGTATATAATGAACATATTATTAGTTCCTCAAAGAACACAGACCATCAATCCATTGTGCAAGAATCTTCACCACCCTCTTTGTACTTCAACCCATTGTTCAAAGAACGTCCCGCTCACACTCCCGTTCTTCAGTATACCCATTTCGTAGTATAAATCTCTGTGAGATCTAGCCATCAACTGATCTTAGCTTTCTTCGTTATCCTTTTCATCAGAGAATTTGTACTTGCTATACACACATCAACTAACAGTATCGCAACTCAACTAACATTCTCACACATTCAACACTCAGTCATTTCACCTCAAAATCGCAATCATGAGTTCTTTCAAGACCGGTATCCAGTACTACCTGGAACCTCTACCCTTCCGTCGCCAACCTTTTCCCGATCGCCCACTTCTCTTCTCTGAGAACTGCCCTCGCGGTCATCGCCCTTCATCACTCGACATGAGCGGGATCTCAAACTTCAACTACATCCCCAAACCCAAACAAGTAATGTCTCCTGGGACGTTTTGGAGAACGTTGCTTGCGGACATTGAAAATGTGATTGGTCCCCGCACAGCAAGTCCTGATCAGCAGGGCAATGGATCTTCACGAGGTGAGTTTGATACCAACGGAGTATCTCCTGTAACTGAGCTTGAATCACTCTTTCCAAGCTTTGATGTATCGCCTTTGACAGATGACGATTCTTCAGATTCAGAGTCTGAGTACAGCGAGTATGAGTATGAGATTGAGCCTGAACCTTCGTCTACACAGAGCCTGTTCTGTCATACGCTTACACCTATTCTATCACTTCACGAGCTCGGTCGTGATCGGCCTGCTAGCGCCCCAGCGCTCCGATGTGTAACTGCTCAACTTCCCGATTCTCTAGGGATGTGGCAGGAGGTAGAGCTGAGTCCCTTTGACGACTACACTTCCAGCGATGATGAGTCCCTTGGTATTGGCAGAGCAGACTCTGATGATTCCCCTTGGGAAGACGAGTTTTTTCCCCTTGTCACCACTGGAATGGCCAATGCATCTACCATTTGCCATGCACCAGACACGCCTCGATTGTTTGAAGGCCTGAGTCCTCCCACTACCACAACTGGTGAGTTTGTATCCAGCCGATCTCCCGCTTTTGCGTTAACTGGGTATGGAACCTTTGTCGTGCAGATGCCCTTCACTCCTAAATCTCCAACGTACAGTGAGACTGACCTGATCCTTCTCTATGGCGAGAACCGAATGAGTGAGGATTCAGGAGATGGTGTTTGGGACTTTGTGTTCATTTGGGTTAACACGATCGTGACCTTTGTTGCTGTGAGCACATATATGATTGTGCTTATTGCAATTCTGAAGTCTTCCCTGAACTAAGGGGCTGGATGTCCAGCAGGTGTCAAGTCGTCAACGTGGATCTTCCGAATCCGTTCGGGCCCAATAAGATTCTTCGTGGGGCAGTTGATATGGGACTCTCTGTTCAGCTACCACGGACAGGTTTCCCAGGTTTTGCGTAACTTGGTCGGCAGGGGGTGATATGTGCAGGCTGTTGGGTTTCTTCGAGTTTTGGAGTTTGGGTGAGGGATAGAAGGAAACTGGAATTTTGTCTGCTGGGATCACCGAACCAGACTTTTCCCTTTTTTACTACCCATTTTACTATCTCAAAAGGGGACTTCATCGACGGCTTAGGATGCCGACTTTGATAAGTTAACCTTGTGGGATGAAGGCCAGGAAACGGTCCTTCTCGTTGAGGATCCAAGCATGGATCAACCTGAGATAGGTTATATTGCATTTCTTTTTTTTCCTTTGTCGGAGCTATGGCGAACGGTGTTCTGGATTGTTACAAAGTCTGCTGGTCAGACATTCTAGGTTGTGAAAATAAAAAGTATTAAATGAAATGAATAGTACCATTAATGTGAAAGGAAGTGAGTGAACCATGGAAACGACAAAGTGCATTATAGTATTCTACACCTCTGGCTGTTAAACCCTCTGGGGTCGTGGCAGTTGCACTCCCCGGTGAGCTTGATGTTATTCCCTCTCCTCCAGTTCGATGCCCAGATGTTATACGCAGTGTGGGAGTCTTCGTGTTGTGAAGGAAGAGCAGCCAAACGGATCTCAGGCGGGAACTGGGGGAATAGAGTGATGGTGGGCTTCGCTGTGCAGCTTTTACTTCAGTAACAGCGTTATCCTATTTGATACCTTGTAATCCCAGTCGTAAATGGCCCATAATAGCCCCGAAGTCTTGTATGAGACTGTTTTCAGCTTTGCCTATAGTACTGACAGTTGGCACCTTAGATATCAACACAACTCCAGATGCAGTAGGGAAACTCGTCCAAGGTCCCAAAACGCTGTCGGGGTCAGCGGTCTTGTCGACTGAGTATCCAATAGCACCGCTCATGGATGCCATTGAGTCTTAATATGATCTGGAAGTTGAGGTCATCGTTTACCGGCATAGAAATGGTAAAGGTGTGACCAGATGTGATTCAAGAGTTGCGTAGGGGACGACAAAGCTCCGGCTAATGGGGGGGTAGAAACAACAAGGAAAACTTAGAGAGAGTTTCGAAGTCTTCTTTGTCGTCAAGTACCAGGGTTGTTGTGTGTGTTACGATCCAAGTAGGGAGTCGACAGAAAGAGGTCGTGGTCAGGATCAATACCGCAACAGTCGTGAATCAGATGAAACTGCGAGTTCAACCCTACAACCGGCCTCGATCAAGTTTTCGGCGACGACAAGTGCAAGCTCTCTTTCAGGTGTGAACGATAGCATCGATAGGTTCCTATGAGCAACAGAACTGCAGCGATGCTATTGCCAGGCACAATCAAGCAAACCCCTCCATCCTTCAAGGGACTTAAAGAGACACACAGGGACTCGGTTATAAGACTCTATCACTCACTGAGACGTCCCAGGCAAGGCAACGTCCTCGGCCTGGGCATATAGGGCTCGGGCCAGAGCCGGCTTGCAAACGACTTGCCCCCGACGGCCCTTAGAGGACCTTATCGCCGGGCCTCCTTGACGGGATGGCAACCTATCTAATCTATCGCCTACGCCTAAAGAGAGAACCTATGGGAGACTTTCTAGCTAAGCCCCTCCACATGGTTTTCCAACCTCAGCCTTCGAAAGGCGTGAACGAGGGAGGGGGGGCTTCCTTTCGAGCAAAGCCGCTCTGGTCCATCTTGGAACAAGGCTCCGGAAAGGTATCGGCAGCCCCACTAAGACTACTATTAACACTATCAATGGCACCACTCAGAAGAACTCAACCGCCTAGACACGATCTGTACCTAATTACTTGGGCCTATAGCTTGTGGAGGGAGTTGGTAAGAAGGGCCTTTAGTCTGTATAGAGAAGGGGGGAGGTAGGCAAGCAAAAAAAGAAGAGAAAAAAAAAAGGGAGGTAGGAGGATACACTTCTAATCAGTTCATTTATGTCACTGCTCTTGGGTTTTGCCAAATTAAAAATGTACCATTAAGCGAATATATAACCATAAACCAAAAGACATTCTACGATGCCTATCCCATTTCCCAAGAACCTTCAATACGCCCAACACCATACTTTCATCAAGCATCACACATCGCTTACTCCCGCTTATCCCTATCCTCTTCCTCCTCATCCTCTTCAGCACCCCAATCCTTAAAACCCTGGCCCTGGAGCCAACTAACACCCTTTCGCCAGTTAGTCTCACGGATTGCCTGCGCATCCTTCTCGTAGACAACACCAGTGACCATAAGAGCTAGCATAAAGACCCAGACGTCACCACCCTTCATGCTCTTCCACCATCGTCGCTTAACACCAACCTTCCAGAGGCTGTCGACGCTAGTACGGGCGCTGTACAAGAAGAGACCTCGGCCGTTCTTGCGCTCAACGAAAGCCCAGAGACCAGCGAAGAAACCACCGAGGAACACTCGCTGTGTTGCAAGAACATGACGAGGAAGCCATTGCTGGAAGAAGCAGATCGAAGCCCAGGCTGTAGAGAGAGCACCGGTTGCGAAAGTTGACATGCGCAAGGCCTTGGTGATGATGCGTTGCAGAGTCGCAAGGGGGTTATGGTAAAGAGCGGAAAATTTAGGGATGACAGTAAGTGCAGAAAAGACAGCGACGAAGAAACGAGCAAATGGGGGGAAAGATTGAAGCCAGAATGTCAGGTAGGTTCGAGCACATGAAGGGTCTCCCGGGTGTAGTGTTGCGCATGACAGAGAAGTAATAAGCGGATGCGCTCGAGAAGTCAAAGGCGAAATTGCACTCAAACTAGGAGGAAGAACTTCCTTTCCAGGGAACAAGGTAGGAGAAACATAAGCCCTAGTAAAAAGTCAGTAACAAGTTTCTCATCGCGGATGCGTTTACTTACGGCCAGCTGAGACGCGCCATTTGAGCCAAGCTATCAACAATCTCCGAAGTCTGAGGCCATTTAAGACTAGATGCCCAATCCTGAGGACGCGATTGCAAATAACCCGACGAGCTGTTAAAGATCAAATCCCCAAATGGCTTAGGGAAACAATCCCGATCGAAAACAGCAGCGTGGAAAAGTTGTCCGAAAGCAAGAGGTTGAAGCATCCAACTTCCAAACCACCAAGGTCTTTCCCTCTTGACGCCGTTCTTGCTACCCCAGATAAGACCGTCGGCTTCGCAAAAGTTGTATGCGAATTCCAACGCACGGAAAATGGTGTAGATAGCGATGGTTACTCGCATCTTCTGAGCTGGGAAGATACCCAAAGCGAGACCAGCGAAAGATGCGCCGATGGCTGGCGCAGAAGGTGATGTCAGCATCGCTGCAGTTCGTGGGTTGCGCGAACGGAAGGGCTGGACTTGGGGATCGAGTAGATGGAAGCGCAGTCGCGTAAAGAATCTAAAAAGAATCCTGTAGAGGAGAAGAATAGTAGAAAGAGAAATAGACAGTCTCAGAGCTGGAGACTTGTAAAAGGGTTTCTTTTGCCCACTCGCATTAACTCTGTCAACATATTAGCCATGTATATCAATAACACCTCGTCAATCAATACTCACTCTTCCTTGCCCATCCTCTTCGCAACAGCATCCCAACCCTTCATACCCAAAAACGTCATAACGAACACCCTCAGCGCATGACGAATCGTCCTAGCATTATAATCATCCCCTCCTTTCGGTGGTTTCAGCGCCTTTTCCACGCGATTCGGTGTCGGCGTCGATCGACGAAGCACACGCGATCGTGAAATGATGTATTTATGCAGAGCAGCATATTCGTGTGCTGAGATGGTGTAACGCAACGTGTTGCGAAGAACGGGGTCATTTGTAGCAGCAGATGATCTAGAAGATCGCGAGCTCGAAGCATCGCTTGAAGACATGGAGTAGTCCATGGTGGATTAACCTGTTATTTAAAGGAGCGGTGTGTTGTATTATGATTGTCGGTTAATAGAAATGATCGTGTGTTCGCGATGGCGTGTGCGCAGTTCCACGAGCTGAGCTCCAGTGGCGCATTCGAAAAACAGCTTTCAGACGGCATCAAGTAAGTAACAAAAAATAGCAAGATGAGAGATCTGAACAGCGGAAATGCTGATTGTTCAGATTGATGCCTTCACATCTGTATGATGATGATGAGGGAGAGATAAGAAACAAGGAGGGATGAAAGTGTGACAAGAACCTGGAAATGAGCGAGACGACGTAAAGTGGAGATTGTCGACCTCGGCTTTGATATCAAGACCCTGCTAAGATTGTCCCAGTTAATTAAAGTCATGCTCTTTAACGAATAAAGAGACGCAATACAGCCCTTATGGATCAAAATGACAGGGGTTCCCCGCCCTCTTTACTGAACTTCTCTACCAAAAGACGACACCATCACATGAAATTCTTCAACTCTTCGGTTCAACTAGACTAAAAAAGCTTCTAACCCCGTAGAACTAGTTTACATCATCATGCACTTGACATTCACATGAATCTTAGTCTAGGTTATCGAACCATTCTTGAAGATGCTTCCTAATGCCACATCTCTAAAGTCAAGAGACACAAAGACGCATACTCCATTCGATGCCATAACTAGGTACCTCCCTTTTGTAACTTTAACTTCCAATGGCCAAGTCACTTGTCATTCATCATAACCCTTAATCATGTCCCCAACCCTGATGCCAGGACGAGTGAGAGTGAACCACCGCTTCAGAGTCCTGACATGCATGTAAAAATCATTAAATAGGTACTTTTTGGTTTCTTCTTCTTTTTTTGCCCTTTCCCTGAGTGCCCGCAATCCCCAAAGTCCCAGTCATTAAAAACATTCCTCGCTTCAAAGTCCCCAATGTTGACATGCCCCTCAACGCCGTTCATCAACCAAAAGTCTCACAAGCGCATCGTATTGCTGCAAGATAACCTCGTCAAAGGATTCCTCAAGCACGACTCTTCTTTTTTAAAATGAGAGTAGTCAGAACGCACTTGCGTACCCAAGGCTCTGATAAGTATGTGTACAGGCACGTAGCTGGCAGTGGAGATGATGTCATGTTTTTCATCAGTCCATAACCCATAATATCATCCATCAAATCGAAAAGAAAATGCAGCATTAACCAAGTCGGTTTCAAGGATACGCTGCTTGGGTAGCCATCTGAGGGTTCGCCAGAGGAGTCCAAGTTCGGTTAAGAGTTGGGCTCTCTGAAGGTCCAAAAGCAACAACCTCTTCCTGCCAGCCCAAAGCACCCCAAGGGCCAATGTAGTTGCGTGGCTCCGGGATAGAAAGCTGGTTGGAAACGACTTCCCATTGTGGGATCTGGCGATTCTTGACCATCTCCACAATCTGGAGTCGACGTCGCTCTCTCTCAGCCACTGTGTCCTTGACCGCACGGAACACGGCATCTGCGTTGGGCCAGGCATTTCCATCTCTGGTCGCGTTTTCAAGTAACAACTTGAGTGTTTCGAAAGGAAGATTGAGAAGGATGCGAGAAAGGACAGCATGAAGCGAGGTTCGCTGTGGCTGAGATGCGCCCGAGGCGTCCGAACCTGGTGACATTACGCTTTCAGTGGAGGAAAGGTCACCAAACTGGATACCAGAAATTTGCTGAGAGCGACGTCCCTTGAGGTGGACAGAAGTTCCTCTGGCGATAGGTGGGGGTGAGAGCTTGCGGTTTGTGGCGTTGCTAGACAGGGCGGCCTGGGCCGGGAGACGAGCGTAGCCTAACGGGTCGGTAACTGAAGTGTCAAGTTTGAAGGTGGGGTGAAGGTTATTGGCGATAAAAGAGACAATCTCTCTAAGGATTGCTCGAGATCCGTCACCATATTTGAACGCTTCATGTGTACCCTCATCTCGGTGTCCCTCTAGTGCAAATTCCAGAGCCTTTTCCACCGTCTGCACGTCCAGAAGCTCCATGGCCAGCTCACAGCCACGTCGGGTGACTGCGTCCCAGCGGAGAAGATGGCCAGAGGCAGCATACCCAAGAGCAAAATCGAAGCGTTCTGTCAGTGACCCAGCGTCGACTGTGGTACCCTGCTTCATGCTATGAGGCGGGGTGAACAAAGGCAGTCCGTAGAGGCGCTGGACAGCAAAGTAGAACGGATCGGGTTGAATCCATTTACTCTCTGTCTCAAGAACAAGAGAGGGGAGCTGTGTGCCGTTGTTGGGCTGAGCAAGACCCTTTGACATTACGCCTGCGAGCTCGGAGCTGCGGGAGAAGAGAATCCGGTGACCAGGAATACGAACCGGATGAGCTCTTCTTTTCGTGAATTGAAGCTCTAGGAAACAATCGGCAAACTCGGGAGCTCCAAACTGTCGCTGGAAATGATCAATGAGACCCTCAGCGTCATCCATCCCGGACATCATGCGGGGGGGAGGACCGGCATTCTGCATCATTTGGGGGTAGTCCGGACCTCCAAACATTCTGCCTGGATAGTTTGGCGACTGGTTGTCTTCCCCTGGGCCAGAAATGCCGTTGGGGACTGGTGCTGAAGCGAAATGGTTGTAAACGCCGAATTCATCTGGAGGGCCGGATGTCTGGGAATCATGGAAGCTGTGCGGGGTGGAGGGGCCAAGGTTGTTGCCATAAGGAGGGAATGAATCCGCCGGTACATAAGCCATCGTGGGTCTACCGTAGTTATCGATAGTCGTGACAGGGACCTCATAGGGCATCATGTGAGGGAATCCATTGGTACCAGGAGGCATGTAGGGAGGTTGGCCATTGGGTCCCATCATACCAGGAGGAGGGGCAATACCTCCAGACAAAGGAGCTGGAGATGAGCTTGTCGAACCATGGAAAGCGCCGAAATGAATGCTACCATTGCTGTGATGCGGCTGGTGAAGAGGCGGGCCGCTAGGCATCAGAGGTCGAGGGCCACGCATATCACCGTTCGCAGTTGGTCCAACAGGTCGTCCAGAAGGCTGAAAAGCAGGAGGCATCTGGTATCGGCCAGGAGGGACAGCGGGGGGAGGTCGAGACTTCATCTTGGAAATGTTGTGGTTGTCTGTAGTGGGGTTATGAGCGTCGGGATGGTCTTGATAATCTTGAGGCGCCTCACCAGCTTGAGGTTTGGTTTTACCCTTACTCGCGATACCGTTTAGCCCGTCCATATTGTCAATGGTGTTGTCGGTTCTTGTTCCAATATCAGATTTGTTGGTGGTGGTGGGCTGATCGGCACGTTTTGAGGCTGCAGGATTTTTGTGGGCGTTTTCGATCTCGGTGGTGGGATGCTCAGAGGCAGATGCGACTACATATGAGAAACCATTTGTAAGTTTATTGCTACAAAGTCCATAGTCACCAAGCTTTGAGCTTTTCCACGTACCAGAAACATTGTGAGAATTGACAAGGTTGGTAGTATCGTTCTTTGACTTTGGAGCACTGTCAACCTTGGTCTCAATTGACTCCTTCTCAGCTTTGGAAGCTGAAGTCAAAACAGGGCTGGAAACCGAGCTAGGTTCTGCAGCTGAAGCTACAGACCCAGCCTTCTTGACCTCAGTGGGTGCATTGCCATTCGTGAGCTTCAATTCGGAGGGCGAAGGCGCATCAGGTTTCTGGGTCGCGGCAGAGGCAGCACTAGCCCGAGCAGCCTGACGCTTCACATAAGGCAGTGGGATAGCCGGGAGAGGCTTGGAGGATTGAGCAAGCTTGCTCCCTCCAGGTCGACGAGGCTTCGAGTTGCCGTTGTGAGGCTTGCCGTTTTGGGGCGCCATCTGATGGGCGGGATCGTTGACGATTCGGCGGGGGGGAAGTTATCGACGAACAGGGAGGGGGAGGTGGGCGATGGCAGTGACAGTGGCCCAGACCTCGACTGAGGATTCGGAGGGAGGCTCTACGGATCTAGAGGAAGAGGCATGGAGAGCAGTCGTCGTTCGAGGTAACCGATGTGCCCTGTTGTCGAATCTGGGCTCGAGGTATCGTGTCCGTTAATCGGAGGTGCGAACAGGCGAAGCACTAGAAATGAGGGTCCAGTTGCAGCCGTATTTTGTGCGGAGAGCAGGAGCTCAACCAGGAGCAGCTGGGAAAATAGGTTCAAGGAAGGTGTATTAAGGAATGAGTGTAAAAGAGATCAAGGCTTGAGAAACAACCTTGAGGGCGTTGGGGAAGAGTTTTAGATGAGGAGGAATTATGCTCGAAGGTTTTCACCACCGGGTGATGATGATGTCGAGTTTCAAGGTGCGGTGCGTTGCTGTGCTGCTTGTGGTTTGCTTCCAACCGCTTCCAAAGATGGAGCGAGTCGCAAGGTAACAAAAATTGGGGCTTTCGTCACAATTTTTCTTGAAGCCTCCCCGCAGGTAGTAGGTCCACTAAGGTTTAGTGGCCTAGCAGTAGTTGGTTTAGCGCAGTCAACAATCTGAACCTCCCGGTCCACTCCCGTCATTCAGCAAACGGGACAGGCTCGAGCGTTACAGTCATCAAAGAAGCAGCCATCCGGCTTCCGATATCCTACTCCCATTGTTTGCATTTATGCTCATAGGCTAGATTGATGTTTGCCTGCAGATCTCATGTTGGTTGCCTACAACATGGCTGCCTACTTCATTGTGTTTCTGATTGACTCATGATCGATCCCTTGTATCAAAGCTGAACATGAAAACACACTTGCATAAGTTTACATGCTGTATTAACCACTGCTATCTACCTGTCTGCTAGCCGCTGCTGTAATCCTGCCCGTCGCGAAGCAGATCGTCAGCAATAAACCATCAAAGCATTTGCTGAACATGCCCTGAACGCCATACTAAGACGCGAGTTACAGGTGTATAGCGTGTTGAACCACGTTGCGCCTCCGTCATTGACAAAATAAAAATCCCACCACTGTGTAAACATAAACTCCATCGCATTAGTATAACCCTATATTACTCGTCGCCGGCAATGATCCTGGCGACAAGAACGTAAAAGAAGATGGCCGCACCGGCAACAAGGAGTTTGTTGCGGTATATCCATCCTGTGCTCGCATCTCTTTGTTGGTTAACAACATCGACAACGGCCTGTGTTTGATGTCCGCTGGTCCCTGAGATGCCCAGCTGAGGTCGACAAGATCCATTGTTATCGGTATCTAATCGGTTGCCCGTGAAAGGGTCAACCTTGTTCTTGGTCATCCACTCCCAGTTCTCAATATCAACCTCGGGCCATTCTGCCCGGAACTTGGCGCCGCCATCACCAGCCTTGACATTACCTTTGTTCGCTGGGTTGCTCTTCGTATTAGAGCCACCGCCAGTCGAGTTCCACCAACGCGTTTTAGCAGCAAGTAGTTTTCGCTCGGCGGCTGTGCAAGAAACGGAACCAGTCGTCATTTCTTCACTTGTCATGAATGACAGTAGTCCAATCAGAATGGTCGAGACTTCCCATGCCGGGTTGAAAGACTTTGGGTGGAAATCGGAAATCGAGAGACATAGTCGCGTTGAGGATTGGAATCGGCCGGAGGGTGTGTGCATGCGAATGGCGGGAGGGGCAAATGGATAGTTCGGGGGGAACATGAGAGTACCCCAGTACTGGCCGCCATGATACGGTGTTTCCTCAGGGCCGGTGATAATATAGTGCCATCTAGTAATATTGTCAGCAACTCGCGACCAAGAGATTCAAACGTGACGTAACGTACTCCAGGATGTTTGATTCGGAAGGATGGGCAACGATATAAGGAGGGGGGTTCTCAGAGATGGTTTTGTATTCGCGTGTCAACTAACAACAATAATCAGTAAAGCGCATTCGATTACAAGATCAGTCATACATACACGCTTGGTGGCGGCTTTACTAGCCATGCTGACGACGAAGAAGTGTTGGGAAATACCAAAGTGAATGGGACAGATTGCGGGTCGCGTGAGTCGCAAGACGTTGAAAGAAGACCTAGTTTAAAGGGATCGTCGCTTGGGGAAAGAAAGTATAAAAAGAAGGAAGAGAGCGCCTTTTCCGAATGTTCTAAACGTTCGGTATGCTATGTATACTATGAAAGTGATGGGAAGACGAAAGTAGTGAATTGAGATGAACAAGAGAGGAACAGGGAGGATGTACACTGGACCTAGTCACTGGGGTCCCGCTAGGTCCGGATTGTCTTTGTGGCTGTGCATCACATGCCGTATGACGAAGTTTATCAGGGACCAAGAATAAGAAGAGGTTAAGCGCCACAAGCGAGACGAGCCACATTGATTGTCCGTCAGGGTCGGAGCTCGGAAAGTACGTACCGAATCGTTAATTGGGAGCTGCCCAGGGTCCATGTGGTTCGACACTTTCCAAACGGCATCGTGAGGGCAAACTAACATCTCGGTTCGTCGAGCTTTAAAAAAAAATGGCTGCAATTCCTGGCTCGACTGTAGGTCCGGTAACTACATCTCAATTGAAAACTTTGAGCAGGCCAGAATGTCTGACATTGCAATAGGCTATGGACCCTTTCAGCAAGCTTCATTCCGACACCGGTTCTTTGTTGCACGAGGCAGAGTCGAGGCCTGAATTTCAACAGACTCAAGATGAAGCTAAGCAACGGCGCATGGCCCAGGTGGTAAGGATTCTGAGACAATCTCGGACTATCTTTCAGATCTGAGCTAATTTTGTAGATCGGGGATCAGCAGTTGGCGCCCATGACAGTTAATGAGCTTCGAGTTCACGGTGCGGTCAATACACGAATGGAGTTCCTCAACCCCATTTTCCACCCACTCGTTTCCGACAAGACCAACGAAAACTCGACTGTTGGTGGTATCGTGGACAACCTTCGCATTGCTAGCCAGAAGCTCGACGGTCTACGTATGTTTTTCTACTCACACCCCGCAACACCAAGTTAACCGATCTACAGAAATCTTCCAGCCTCAACCCGAAGTCTTCCTTACATCCGCACAGCAGACAGACCCCTCCACCTCCCCCACCGATGTGAACATCGACATCCGAGTCAAGGAGCTTTCTCGATTCAAGCTGCAAACTGGTACCGACGTCGGCAATGGAGAGGGTTCCGCCTACGGTTCGCTGCTATGGCGAAACATGTTTGGTGGTGCTGAGATGCTCGAGTTGAACGCCAAGGCTGGTACTCGCACACGCTCGGCATACAGCGCCAACCTTACTGCGCCTGTCTTTAGCAACCCCGACATGAGGATATCACTAGAGGGTCTAGCTTCGGCTGCTGAGAAGCCGTGGGCATCGCATGAGGAGGTTCTCAAGGGTGGAAACCTGCGATTTACTTGGCTTAACGAACAGCGCGACCAACAGTCCGTCGAATACTCTGGTATCTGGCGACAAATTACTGGCTTGGCCGAGAATGCCAGTGCGACTGTTCGAGCAGATGCTGGTGACTCTATTAAGAGCGCTATTAAGCACACATTCCGCCGCGAGAGACGTGATAACCCCCAACTTCCTCAGAGCGGTTATATGATTCGATCTGGTCTTGAGATTGCCGGTTTTGGTCCTCTCGCCGGTGATGTTGCTTTCTCCAAGGGTGAGATCGAGGTTGGCGGTGCTGTCCCTGTCCCCCTGCCTGGTATCAGTGGACGAACAGGTATCTCTATCGGTGGTGGACTCAGGCTAGGAATGCTTTCTCCTCTCCCCCTCGGTTATGAATTCGGCGGCAAGCTTCGCTCCACTCGTGTCAACGATCGCTTCCAACTCGGAGGACCAACAGACGTCCGAGGCTTCAAGCTTGGCGGCCTCGGTCCTCATGATGGTCTCGATTCCGTTGGAGGTGATGTCTTCGCTGCTGGCAGTGTCAACATGCTCCTCCCTGTACCTTACAAGGGTCCCGACTCTGGTCTCCGATTCCAGCTCTTTGCCAACGGTGGTCGCCTCGTCGCCCTAAAGGACCCCAAGAAGTCTTCCAGCGGCGCTGCCACAACAGAGCTGACTGGATCAGATGTCCGAAACGGCTTGGTGAATGCTGTTGGAGAAGTTTTCAACGGTGTTCCAAGTGTTGCTGCTGGTGTTGGTCTGGTATACGCGCACCCCGTTGCGCGATTTGAGCTGAATTTTAGCTTGCCTCTGGCTCTGAGAAAGGGAGAGGCTTCCACCAAGGGACTGCAGGTCGGTGTTGGAATCAACTTCTTGTAAACAAAAATATAGACGTCCATATGGCTTGAGATCTCGATCTAGCAATCTATACCCTGTGTTCTTAGAGTTTACTTGTCCTTGTTACCCGTAATGATCGACCTGGCGGTTAAGCCAGCAGCTGTCGGTCGCCTCTTGAATGATTGCGTTCCCATCCATTCTGTCATTGAATCATACTATAAAGCCTCTAGGTGTTTGGCCTCTTTCAGGTCGTGGGTAGATACGGATAGTTCTGCGTGTTTAACAAGGTGGTGATACCCATGCTGTCTGTGTACCTAACCTAGAGCAACATACACTCTTCATGGAAGTGGTGATACTAACCACTTCACGAATCAATACATATTTAAGAATACTAGGATCAAGAACGAAACAATATAACGATCAGCTGTAAGTTCATTTCATCTTTCCTCCGAAACTATGGCAGTGACAGGGGCGCAAAGGGTTGCATGTGGTTGAGTGGCCTCTGAACAGATGACACAGCCTATTCATACATGATGGCACTAATGGGTTTCGATGTCATAAAATGCAAAAAGAAGAGTGATGCAGCGGGGTGAGAGTATTTGAAGGAGCGGTTTCTAGAGAATTAGGTTTTTTAGGAGTAGGTATAGTATAGGAGCGGATTCCCACTGCACCACGCCTCTGACAATATGGTACCATAACTCAATACATAAAGGTTAGGTAGAGACAGTACAAGATGACTAATGGGTTTCGAACTCATAAATGCAAAAAGAAGAGTGATGTAGTGGGTGAAGGAGATTTTAGGTTCGGAGTTTAGAGAGATTTGTAGGTTTTAGGACGTATACCACTGCACCACTCCTCTGGTGATATGGTAAGATAACTTACTATATAAATATTAGGTAGAGGAAGTAGGGCGCGTCTTGACTGCCAAAGACAACATCTCGGCCACCATGCCTTTGTTGTGTTAATCTCCAAGACTCGACAGCGTCGCTTTGGTACACAACCACAACACAGTCTTGTACCATACCTGAACACAGACAATACCAGTGCGACATGCAGTATATAGATAGCAAAAGAAAATGATTCTTTTTGATGATTCCCTGATAAATAGCCAGACCGAGTTCTGTAGCCTCAAAGGAGTCCGAGTTCCACAAGTTGAGGGGGGATGTTTTTCGATGTCGCTCGAGGGCACTCTAGACAATGCCATGAGTAGAACACCTTGCAATCGCGTTGTGAATCTCCAATACCGATGCCATGAGTTGTTTTTGAACCCATAAATTGCAAAAATGAAGAGCGGGAAGTGAATGGGTGAAGGAATTTTTAGGTTCGGATTTGAAGAAGTTTATAGGGTTTTTTAGGATTCGGTTGCCATTACACCACCACGCTCTTCATTGATGATAGATCAGACAAATTACCTTGTAAATCTTAGGTACAAACAATGGTACGTGCCTTTTCGGTCGAAAAATGGCACTCTGGATATCGTGTCATTGATGTGTTGATCTCGAGGAGTCGGGGGCAATGCACTTACACACGGTCAGCACGCTATCTGCATTGCACCAGAACACACATATGTGTAGGTAGTATAGATTGGGAAAAAGAAGGACCATATTTACCCTTTTCAATCAATCCCTGACGATGTGTGTCTGAGTCTGGTGGTGTTGAGAAGAGTCTCGGCGTTACCCTAGGGCAGTCTGGACGGGGGTCACAAGATGTCGGACCATGTCGAACATGTTTTAGATCAATTCCATGATGTGTTTTCGAACCCAGAAATTGCAAAAATGAAGAGTGGTTAGATGGTGGGGTGATATTGTTTGAAGGAGCGGATTTTAGAGATATTAGGTTTTTTTTAGGATTGTAGGTGCGGATTCCCACTGCACCACCCACTCTTCATTACTTAGGATACAAGATAACTTATTATATAAAGCCTTCCTACCATGTTCATTGGCAGCGTCACATGATCCCACAAAAGCATGTCACGTTCTGTGTGCTGTTGAAGGTTCGTGAAAGGCCCTATAGGACATGAACCCTTACTCTGGACACTTGGGTGTCGTTCATCGACTCTGCATAATGTTTACAACGACACCTTGCGCCGCCCTTTGTATTGAGTTGAACAGTCGTGTTATGAGAAACAGGATATGACAGGCCTAGATGATTTATTGCAAAAATATTGAGGAGAAGAGTTATGCCATCGAGGTGGTTGCTGTGACAGACAGCATCGGCTGGAGGTTAAATGCGATGTCACGTGTTCAACACGAAAGCATCTGCTAACAGACTTACAGCTCAATACTGCAGAATAGGTAAACAGACGTGTAGTCCACCTTAGGGTAGCAGAATGGAATCTTGAGAGACGAAATTAGTAGATCAGTTTATGCTACTTAGACCATACTTCTTAGACTACTTATTTTTGTACACTTAGACTTGAGAGACCGACTCTTCTAGGTCCCTTCAATGACCCATACGCCTTGCTGAAAATCCGAACAAAGTAAAAGTGCAAATACACCTCTCAATAACATGCAGTCAGCATCCAAAAGCTGACGGATTTTAAGAAGCACAGTATCCGCTCAGCTTGACCCCTGCATAAACGGAGGAGTAAGACGGACAATTGCGGACAAACAAAGCCACACACAGACATGCTTAAAATGCGTTCATTTATGGCTACGTTAGTGTACCAATATATTGAGCTTGTTTAAAGAGTATGCTGAGGCCGTTTAGTAGTATAGTCTTGGTGTTAGTTGAGCGGACTTTGTTGCGGAGCGGGCCTCTATGATCGACCATGCCCTTGCCGGGCTATGCATGCACGAAAGGGGACAGAGACGTTAATGTTGCAGGGACCTTGAGATGAGGTGTAAGATTGGAGGGGTCTCTTTTCCCGTGAATTCGGAAAGATCGCATTCGCGTTCGTGGAGGTTATTTTGGTGAGGAACCCTGGTCGTGTGTAATTAGAAGTGCGGAGTTGGCATTCCACTCAGTTAAAGATCGCGTTATGTTTACGACCATGGTAGAAGAGAAAACCTGGGAAACAGTATTTGCCCTGTTTGTGGTAAATAGTAATGGCCAGCTGAAAGACGTTGCGTGCATATCTTTCTGTCGCATTGCGACAAGACATGCACTCGAAGCAAAAAAAGGGTTTCAGGGATCGTCAACGCCAAGATCACAATCAAGAGTAGCCTAATCGGATCTCGATTACCCCGATCGAAAAGCAAACAACTTTGTATCCGACAAGGCACGGATACATACAGTTGGCCCAATTTTATCGTGGTATTTCTGCATACCATGAATAACCTCATTGAGACGAGATATTGCGAAAATGCATGCTTACTGTGTACTGCAACCGAAAGACTACTTACACAAAACTGGCTCAATCTGACTCAATTGCGACGTTGGATCTAATCATGAGCGATTGATCTTGATACCAACTGTGCATCACCATCGATCGGGTTCAGCTCCGCAAAAGGGTCAGTTATTAAATTAGAAAGAATAGAATTCTAGGCCCAATTGCCATTGACAACAATCAAAGTGGAAATAAGACACCCTTTTTCTTATTAGCGGGTACTCATTGACGGACTGTCGGATCCTTACAAGACCCCGAAGAGTCAATTCATGTCCACCAAATATTTACCGACACTAGACTCCCAATCACAAGCCTATTATAACAGTCACTGAACGAGGATTCACATGGGGAATTTAGCATGTTTAATGCTGACGGCCAAGCCATTTATTAATACCTATCGACTCATTTTCAACTCGGAGGAAAGGATAGGTACCTATTGGGTGAGTGAGACTGTCAACACCAAAATAATCAAACCAACCAATCAGAGTAATTACCGGGGAGATTATTCGTCCGATGGAAAGTCTGATTGGTTGGCGGAAGACGGGTTTTGACAAGACCCCGAATAATGAGTACGCGGTTTCGCATTCAAGTTTTTCTTAACATTGAAGGAATTAAGGAGTTTTCATCTGTGGAGAGAGATCAACCTTTTAAGAAGAACCGAATAATGAAGGTCACGGCAATTGAAGGTCGATGTTACGTAGTTAGGCCCGCCAAACAAGGGAATACGAATTGCGGTTGAAGATCTTTAGAGGGTTTTCAGGTACAAAGGTACACAGACAGGTCAAAGAATTAAAGTTGGAATGCAGTGGCGCCGTTTGATTTGACCGGGTATGTCCAGTGGAGGACATGGATGTTGTGCTTGTAAGAATTCTCATGTTCTTGAGTGGTCTTTGGCTGATGTGAGCCTTGGAACTCCAATCGCAACCATTAGTTTCTTTTTATCAGTGTTTACAACGGCTGTACTCCTCTTACACCATTCAGGAGTACGTACATACTCTGAGGTTCCCGTCGCGGAGTTGCATGGTGGGGCATAAATACATGGAGTTCATTCCCGGGATCCTTCGCTTGTTAGCCCCAACTGGTGTCGGAGTTTGAAGCCAACCCGTTATCCGCTTTAGTACAGTTTTCACTCGTACTCATATTTGCTCATACGCTGCGCTGCGCTTTGATGTTAAGAGCTTGTTGGTCTCGAATTGTTTTGCACACCCCTTGTCGGGTCGGGTTCTTGTAAGCATGCGAAAATGTCTACAGGGGCGGACTTTGTAGACATGATCAAACATGATTGTCGGAGTGATCGACTTTGAAGGAATAAGGACAACGTGGCGATGCTTTTGAGTCAGTTGATGTTTGACGTTGATCAGTGATCAGTAGAGCCAGTGTAAAATACTGTGGTAGATATATAGTGTCATGATGCCCATATGGGGAGCGGCCGCCCTCACGTATGCTTGACACTGACAGCGACAAATAGAGTCGCAGCCGCATCCGATTGCACTTCTAAAAGACGCGCTAGAAATTTAGTCGTCACCCCTCCGCTGTCGTCTATACTTCACTTTACGGTTAGTGCCCGACCCACACGAGTTTATCTCCATTCTGTTTGAGAAGAAGCCTGGGATGACAACCAATTCGGCCGTCTTTACATATTCTTCTTGTCTCCCTCCTCGTTTTGATTCCGGTTCCTTTTCTCTTACACGTCTTATAGGATTACTTGATCCTTCTTGATCGACTGTCTTTTCTCTGTCGATCCTTCAAAACATTTTTAATACCCTTTAATTGTTTTGTTTTTTAATCTATATAATCTTAACAACCAACCTTTTTCGCATCGCATACGGAAACACCCCTTCTACTGGATCGTCACTACTCAACCCGCGAGACTCAATTGCGAGATCTCTTTTAGTAGATTTTGCCGTCACAACTCACAATGTCGGCTCTCTACGGGATCAACGCCAACAACGACGCCACTGCTGTAAGGCAGGGTGCTCCTGGCGCTGGTTCGACAGGCAATAACGTGCCGCTCGCCGATCACCAAAATTCAACCGATGAAGCGATTAACGAGAAACCGCCCACATCATCACCTGCCGACACTCTCGGCAAGGGCGACGACGAGGATGATTCCGAGATGGAGCGCAGAACTTCTATTGTTCAGGCCCTTGCGCGCTCTTATTCTCATGCTTCTGCCAATCACCCCGACGGACAGAACCCTTTCCAGGCTGGCGAGGATTCACCTCTGAACCCCAATTCCCCCAACTTCAACGCCCGCCAATGGGCCAAGTCTGTTGTTGAACTGGTGCGCCAGGATGGTCACAGTTTCCGATCCGCTGGTGTTTGCTACCAGAACCTCAACGTTTACGGTTATGGTGGCGCCAGCGATTACCAGGCCGACGTTGGTAATGTCTGGCTTGGTCTTCAAGATGTTATTGGCAAAGTTACCGGCAGAAAACAACAGCGCATTGATATTCTGCGCAACTTTGACGGTGTTGTCCACGCTGGTGAGATGCTTGTCGTTCTTGGACCTCCTGGTGCTGGTTGCTCCACCACCCTCAAGACTATCGCTGGTGAGCTCAACGGTATTTACGTCGACGACGGTTCATATTTTAACTACCAGGGTAAGTGAAGTCGCGAAAAGGCGTGTTTTGGTTTCACGAACTCGATCGCGCTTGTAATTGAGCAACGCGGGCTTGCTTCGTGTGAAACACGCCTTTTCTGTACCTACATGTGCCGAAATCAGTATCACTAACTGCGTCACAGGTTTGTCCGCCAAGGAGATGCACTCTCACCACCGAGGTGAAGCTATTTACACCGCCGAAATCGACGTTCATTTCCCCATGTTGTCTGTCGGTGATACCCTCACCTTTGCCGCCCGCGCCCGACAGCCCCGTGAGCTTCCCCAAGGCTTAAACAGGAACGATTTCGCCGACCATCTCCGTGATGTCGTTATGGCCATGTTTGGTATCTCTCACACCGTCAACACCCGCGTCGGTAACGAGTACATCCGTGGTGTCTCTGGTGGTGAGCGCAAGCGTGTCACCATTTCTGAGGCTGCCCTGTCTGGAGCTCCTCTGCAGTGCTGGGATAACTCTACTCGAGGTCTCGACTCTGCCAACGCCATCGAATTTTGCAAAACCCTCCGTCTGCAAACCGAACTTTTCAACAACACCGCTGTTGTTTCCATCTACCAATCCCCTCAAAGCGCCTACGACCTGTTTGACAAGGCGACCGTCATCTACGAGGGTCGACAAATCTTCTTTGGCCGCGCCGATGCTGCCAAGGAGTACTTTGTTGGCCTGGGTTTCGAGTGCCCTGCTCGTCAGACCACTCCTGATTTCCTCACCTCCATGACCGCCCCCAACGAGCGAATCGTGCGAGAGGGATTCAAGGGCAAGGTTCCCCGCACCCCCGATGAGTTTGCGACTGCCTGGAAGAACAGCGCAGAGTATGCTGCTCTGCAGGTTGAGATTGAGAACTACAAGACTGCTCACCCCATCAACGGTCCTGACGCCGAGGCTTTCCGTGCCTCCAAGCAGGCCCAGCAGGCTAAGCGTCAACGCCAGAAGTCTCCCTACACCCTCTCCTACATGCAGCAAATTCAGCTTTGTCTGTGGCGTGGATGGCTGCGACTCAAGGGTGACCCTGGTATCACCGTTGGTTCTCTTATTGGTAACTTTGTCATGGCTCTTATTATCGGTTCCGTCTTCTATAACCTGGATGAGACTTCAAGCAGTTTCTTCCAGCGTGGTGCTCTCCTCTTCTTTGCTGTTTTGATGAACGCTTTCGCTAGTGCTCTCGAGGTAAGTTTTCATGGATTCGAATTCATGGCCAATGTTAACTGTGAATAGATTTTGGCCCTGTACGCGCAACGTCCGATTGTGGAAAAACATAGTCGTTACGCTCTCTATCATCCGTCAGCCGAAGCCATCGCCTCGATGCTTTGTGATCTACCGTACAAAGTCGCCAATACGATCGTCTTCAACATTACGCTCTATTTCATGACAAATTTGAAACGCGAAGCGGGAGCCTTCTTCTTCTTCATCCTGATGTCTTTCGTTGTCGTTTTGGTCATGTCCATGATCTTCCGTACCATCGCCTCCGCTACTCGCAGTCTCTTCCAGGCTCTTGTCCCTGCTGCTATCCTGATTTTGGATCTCGTCATCTTTACTGGTTTCGTCATTCCTAAGCGTTATATGCTCGGATGGTGCAAGTGGCTTTACTACATTGATCCGATCGCCTACGCTTTCGAGGCTGTTGTTGTCAACGAGTTCCACAACCGTGATTACGAGTGCAACCAGTTCATCCCCAGCCCTATCCCGGGATACACCGATGTTCCTCAGGATAGCCGCGTCTGCAGTGCTGTCGGTGCCGAACCTGGAAAGTCTGCAGTCAATGGCGACCGCTACGCTGAGATGCAATTCGGCTACAAGTGGGAGAACCGCTGGCGCAACTTTGGCATTGTCATCGCTTGGATTATCCTCTTCACTATTACCTACATGACTGCCGCCGAACTTGTTTCTGAGAAGAAGTCTAAGGGTGAAGTTTTGGTTTACCGACGTGGCCACAAGCCTGCCGCCGTTGCCAACGCCGAGAAGAAGCACAGCGACCCTGAAGCTGCCATGGCTCACATCGGTCCTATGGTTACTGCCGAGCGCACCCGCAGCCGAGCTAGTGGAACTAAGCAGCCTGGTGGTATGCTCCAGGAGCAGACCTCTGTTTTCCAGTGGCACGACGTCTGCTATGAAGTCAAGATCAAGGACGAGACTCGCCGCATTTTGGATCACGTTGATGGTTGGGTCAAGCCTGGTACTCTGACTGCCCTTATGGGTGTTTCTGGTGCTGGTAAAACCACTCTTTTGGATTGTTTGGCCGATCGTACTTCTATGGGTGTTATCACAGGCGAGATGTTGGTTGACGGTAACCCCCGAGACATGTCTTTCCAGCGCAAGACCGGTTATGTTCAGCAACAGGATCTGCATCTCCAGACTTCCACAGTCCGAGAAGCCCTCAGCTTCAGTGCCCTCCTCCGCCAGCCCGCTCACGTCCCCAAGCAAGAGAAGCTCGACTATGTCGAGCAGGTCATCAAGCTGCTCGATATGGAAGAATATGCCGACGCCGTCGTTGGTGTTCCCGGTGAAGGTCTCAACGTCGAGCAACGTAAGCGTCTTACTATTGGTGTCGAACTTGCTGCCAAGCCTCCCCTGCTGCTCTTCGTCGACGAGCCTACCTCTGGTCTTGACTCTCAAACCTCTTGGGCTATTTTGGATCTTCTTGAGAAGTTGACAAATGCTGGTCAAGCCATTCTTTGCACTATTCATCAGCCATCCGCCATGTTGTTCCAGCGCTTCGACCGACTTCTCTTCCTCGCCAAGGGTGGAAAGACCGTGTACTTTGGTGATATAGGGGAAAACTCACACACGATGACTAGCTACTTTGAACGCATGAGCGGTCACACATGTCCCCCTGAAGCCAACCCTGCCGAATGGATGTTGGAAGTTATTGGCGCTGCTCCCGGATCTCACACTGACCTTGACTGGTTCCAAACTTGGCGCGACAGTCCCGAGTACCACGAAGTTCAGACCGAACTCGAACGTATCAAGACCGAGAAGCAGGGCATCGAGGATACCGACGTCGATGATGGTAGCTACCGCGAATTCGCTGCTCCTTTCATGGTTCAACTCAAGGAGGTTCTCTACCGTGTTTTCCAGCAGTACTGGCGTACGCCTGTCTACATCTACTCCAAGGCCGCTCTCTGCTCTCTCGTCGCTCTCTTTATCGGTTTCGTCTTCTTCAAGGCTCCCAACACTATCCAGGGTCTTCAGAACCAAATGTTTGCCATCTTCAACTTGCTCACCATCTTTGGTCAACTGGTGCAACAGTCCATGCCTCAATTCGTCATTCAACGTTCTCTGTATGAAGTCCGCGAGCGTCCTTCAAAGGTTTACTCGTGGAAGATCTTTATGCTGTCGCAACTCATCGTCGAGCTTCCTTGGAACAGTCTAATGGCTGTCATCATGTTCTGTGCATGGTACTATCCTGTCGGTCTTTACCAGAACGCTTCTGACGCCGGTCAAACCACCGAGCGTGGCGCCCTCATGTTCCTCTTTCTATTGGCCTTCCTACTCTTCACAGCTACTTTCTCAACCATGATCATCGCTGGATTCGAAACTGCCGAGGGTGGAGCCAACGTTGCGAACCTGTTGTTCATGCTTTGCCTGATCTTCTGTGGTGTCCTCGCCCCCAAGGATACTCTCCCCGGCTTCTGGACCTTTGTAAGTTATTTCAACTCCAGCCTACTACTGAACAACACTAATCTAGAACGCCAGATGAATTACGTATCGCCATTTACTTATTTAGTGGCGGGCATGTTAGCAACAGGAGTCGCCAACACAGACGTCACATGTGCCGACAATGAACTCGTGCCCGTTAACCCGCCAAATGGCTCTACTTGCGCAGAGTACATGGGAGACTATATCTCCGCACTAGGGGGATATTTTGTGAACCCTGATCTTACTGAAAACTGCGAGTTCTGCACCATTTCCAAGACAAACACTTATCTCGCCGGCGTCAACATCGACTACAACGACCGATGGCGAAACTTTGGTCTTCTCTGGGTCTATATCATTTTCAACATGGCTGCCGCGCTATTTATCTACTGGCTTGCGCGTATGCCCAAGAAGACCTTTAAGAAGAAGAAGGCTAAAAAGGCTTAAACGAAAAATGATGTCTTGTACTATGTATGAGATGAGAAAAATGATGGTGGATTTTTGTTTTTTTTTATACCTATTCTAGATTGGCGAGATGAGTAAGCCTTTTTATTATTATTATAGACTGCATACAGCAGCAGATGTGTATGCTTTATGTACATACGACCTTTCACTATTAGACACTGTAATATGACGAATGGAACAGAACAGACAGATGTGGGATGGTGGAGGAATACCCATACCCTTTTCAATGAACAGAATTTCTTGTTAAATTGGAATTGTTATACGTGACTTGTTATGGTGAATGCTTCTTTCATGGCGTGTGTACACTGGGTGAGCAAGAGTGTACAGATAACAGGCAGAGTAAATGTCACGTAATTTCAATTGATACTCGTGTACTATGGATAACAACGAGGTATTTTAGATATCAAAAGAATGTACCAAACAAATCTAACCGCCCAATTGCGCTTTGAAAGTGATATACTGCCACCGGGCACTTGTCTTTCCGATGTAACCTATACGTACGCCAAGCCAGACTCCCGAGGTTTTTCCCATGCTTCATATTGTTTTACATATCGTTAATTCATTATTTGTGTTGTTAGCCGCTGCTGTGCCGTAACCAGGTGGGTTTAGAGTTCAGCCATGCTTCGGTCATGCCGACGATGGTGGCGCGTTGAGTGGTTTCCGAGCATGTGTGTTGTAATAGGGGAAGTAAGTATGATACCTCGGTAGACCATTGACTTCTTCCATTAAGCACTTGCGGACTTCGACGAGGAACATTTCGATTTGGATCAAGGTCCAGCCGAGACCATCGCGGAAAGGGCGTCGGGATAGACCAACGAGACCCCACATTACAGCGTCGCGCATGACATGGCCGCATTCTTGAAGTCGTGGCTTCTTTGCCCATGGACCCACGGGGCACTTGTAGCTATTCGTTGTGATGTTTTCGAAGCCAGCTTGGGTGAGCTCTTCGTGGACATAGTTGATGCCGTGAATGTCGGTGCCGAGAGCAGCCATGCCTTCTTTCAGGTATCTGCACCAGTCGCGCCAAGCATAAGGTCCGTCGCATGAGTTGTCGTCACAGGCGGCTATGAAGACAAATTCCTGGACTTCCACATAACCTCCGGGTTTTAAATGCCTGCTTAGATTAGCTTGTAGTAAAAAAAAAAAAATTGAAGCAGGTCAACATACTTCCAGATTCGCTCCCAAAGCTGCTCTCTATCCTTTATTGAATGAAGAGTATGGCGGATATGGATATAATCGAACGAGTCCTCAGAGTATGTCCAGCCAGCTTCATGCTCAATATCGTCGACAAAAAAGAGGGCGTTTTCGGGAACCCAGTCAGGTTGTATAGGTGAGAGGTCCATGCCGTGGAATTGAGATTTGGGGTAGATGTCAGCAACTATTTTTGTGTTAGCCATGCATGTACTCTCATTCATGTTTCAGAGTCGTCTCGGGAAGCCCTACGATCGATGCACCATCTCCCAATTCCTGTACCGAGATCGAGTACCTCGGCACCCTGATCCAAAACACGTTCAATGGGCGCAAAGAATAATCTATCATCGCATAGATACACCGTCAAGTTGTGCTTGAGCTCCTCACGATCCTGCTCAGCTTCATCGTTGGGGAAAAGGTATTTCCTAGACAGATATGTTAGGCGATTGTTTTTCTAGGAATATTCATAGAATTCCGGACCCTTGTTTATAAGAATGATACCTGAGACCGCCGTCGACGATGTGTTGTCGAATGCTATCGGTCAAGCTGCGAGTTTCGTCGGCGTCGTCGATGGCATACTCGCCGCGTTCAATGCTTTGTATGACGGCAGCTTCATGGGTGGAGCCGACAGTGAGCGGAGAGACGATGGAAGATTCTGGCGACGGGGGGACCATTTGGTGATGAAAAGTGAACTGATGGTTATGCGTATCGTGGAAAGTCGTCGTTTGAGAATCGTCGTTCTTCCGTGATTCGGGGGTTGAAGAATCGTTGAATTGGCGGTTAAGCGAATTCGGCGGCGAGTTCATTGTGGTAGAGTGTAGAGGCGCTGGGAGAGAATGCGCATACAGCGGTAGATATTGTCGATGCTGGTGTTGAACCGAGGTACAGCTACTGGTGTAGTGTAGAGTTTGAAGAAGGTTCAAGATCAGAAACGGGAAGGAGATAGTTATGCGCTACGTTAGACTCAGTACGGGTAGGCAGGTACGACGAGTATCGTGAGCGGGAAGAAAGGCGCTTCTTCGGTCAATCAATACCTGACGTCAGGACGCGAGCCAAAGATCTGAGCAGCACCTTAGAAATGATGATGATTGAGATGACTTCTGTAAAGATGTGCTAGGATATTGATCGAAGTTGAAAAGAGAAGGGGAAAGTGATAAACCAAGGGTCCGGGATTGACGGGACGGGCGGTAACAGTTTAAAATAAAACAAGAGACCCGAAGCAAGGCTAACTAGGGTTAGGTTGGGAACTTCAAAACGGAACTATGATATTGTTAGTACATAATGGGAATAGAAGCCATCAAGGAAGAATTAAAAAAAAAAAGAGGGGGTTAATCAATCACTATCACAAATAAACTGTATTTAATAATCATAATCATCAACAGGGACACTCCTCGGCTTGCTGGTAATATCAGAACCAATATTATCACTATCACTGTGATATATGTATATGCACTATGAATCATTCTTCATCAACAACAATGCCATTCATGCTATACCGACACTCTGGGAAAATCCCAAAGATTGTGGCTGCCCCCGGATGACCAAAGGGGAGGGTCCAGTCCCAGGCTGTTGGTACGCATTACCTTTGCAACAAGGATGTTTATGTTGTCACCAACCAACACACACGCTCACAGTCCGTGGGTCTGCATGGGGAGGGTTACAGTTACACTGAAAGACCCAAAGAAGAAGAAAAGTAAAAAGAAAACTCCATGAGGTTGTCAAGAGATCCAGTATAACGGTTAGCTCTTTACTAGCGAAAGTACAAGAGACGGCTCAGAATCAGAATATTCGCTAACGACAAAAAAGGTCGCATTCTAAACTCATTCAGGCAAATCATCATCCTTGATCATGCCTACTACCCACTTCCTTGGACTTGGGTTTCGCTTCGTTTAGTAGCTTCTATCCCACCGCGTATTGCACCATCCCGCATCAAATAAAAAGACCTCCAATCATAAGAGACCGACAAAGTTTGTGTGTTGCGAAAAATAAAGTATTGCTTTTTTTCTAGAAGCAAACTTGTCAGACCATATTTGTCTTTTGTCGGTTAGATGGCACATCTTTTTGACAGCTTAATAATGACAGACTGACAGAACATTGACATGGTTCTTATACGAAGTCTGGATGGCCTCATACTGCATACCTTGGCGTTCCCTTGTGTCGGTATGACAATAACCTACGTAATTGTCGTCTTTCTAGAAATTGACATCTGACATGGCATATTCGGAACAACCAGGCTCTCCTTGCCATTACCACCTCGGTCTGTATTTTCTGGCCCCTCTCGGTTTCTCAGACGAGTTACAGGACCCTGAATTAAGAAGAGTGGATGAAAAGGTTTCCTGCTAGTATGATCTCGGCAGGGGTATCCTTTCCACACTCGAGTCTTTCCGTTTGGGATGGGGCTCTTTGTAAAACCTTGATTTTAAGTTCCATCACGAGGTGAATAATAGAGCTGCAGATCTGGTTGTAAGATATGGTGCTATTACTCCGAACTGGCATTTGATTATTTACCCAGGCAGTATGTATCAACACAATTTACTCTCCATACTGAAAGAGCTAAATGATACATCTGTTCACACACAATAACAGATCATCATGAAAGAAAGGTCGAGTCTTCATAGCGTCAGCACGGACTTCTTTACGATAGTGGATAATGTCTTCTCTTGGGACAACTCGGCCGATACAAAAGTTCATGACCCGCACTGCCGGAAGGATGGAGTCCAGATCCACATCACCTTTAACCGTCCCCTGTTCTTGTTCCGTCGGTCGGGACAGCGAGATTGAGATAGAGGGTGTCACCCTTTCAACGTCGGACATGTGCTTATGGTTACACATAAGCTTGATTCGTTGTGTTGTGCAAAAACTGCCCCTGCATGTTCCTTTGCATCTGCAGGGGCTCACTATAAGTCTCAAGTTCTTTCCTTCTGATGAACTTGAGACAAATCTGCATGTTAGCAAAAGCAAAAAGCAAAGAAGGGTAAAGACCAATCGTGTCAATAGAGATAGATATCACAAATCACAGTAAGGCATAGAGAGAATAAAGATAAGAGTCATAAGCCATATTAAAGCCGAAATTCTACTAATTTCTAATCGCCAAAAAGTAACCACCATCGAAATTGGGACCGAAAAACAAGTCTAATCTATCCATAACAGATATCCCAAACCTGTACTCTAAACCCAAAGTTGAAGCTCGACTGGTGTAAGAATGAACCAAGAACGTTAAACGTTACACATGTCATGTTTTTTCTCTTGCCCGTAGCAAGCCAAAACAAAGCCGTGAGTGAGAATGCTAAACCGTGCCAATTGGCAAGACCGCCATCAGCATCATCGTGATGAAGAAATGGGGGTTGAATTAAAGAAGTAGAGACGTTACGCTTTACAGGAGGAAAGCGAAACCGGCAATGGCAGCAGCCACACCGGCAAAGGTCTTCTGGGCAGCACCGGCGGTGACGACGGGGTGCTCCTCAGGCTTCTCGTTGGAGCCAGTCTGGACAGGAGGAGCGGGATGCTCAGGCTTGGGAGCGGGGTGCTCAGGTTCAGGGTGCTCAGGTTCAGGGTGCTCAGGCTCAGGGTGCTCAGGCTTGGGAGCAGGATGCTCAGGCTTGGGGTGCTCAGGCTCGGGGTGCTCAGGCTTGGGGGCGGGGTGCTCAGGCTTGGGGTGCTCAGGCTTGGGGTGCTCAGGCTTGGTAGGGTGCTCAGGCTTGACGGGGTGCTCAGGCTTGTCGGAGTAGATGGGGTGGACGGGCTTGACGGGGTGCTCAGGCTTGACGGGGTGCTCAGGCTTGGTGGGGTGCTCAGGCTTGACGGGGTGCTCAGGCTTGTCGGTGTAGATGGGGTGGACGGGCTTGACGGGGTGCTCAGGCTCAGGGACAACGACAACTGGGGGCTTGCCGATGGGCTTGGGGTGAGGAGCAGGGACGGGGTGGACGGGAGGGTGGACGGGCTTGCACTCGCCGTAAGAGCACTTCTCGTAGGTGTAGCAGTCGTCCTTGCACTCATCGAAGTACCAGCGGTCCTCCTCAACATCGCAGACGAACTTGCGAGCGTAGTCAATGGAGTAGTGCTGGTCACGCTCACACTTGTTGCCGTAGCAGACAATGCGCTGGTTGCACTCCTCATCCTTGTAGTCGGCGTAGTAGCACTTTCCGCTCTTGCAGATCTTGAGTTGGTGCCAGGTATCGTCGTAGCACTGCTCGGGGGCGCAGAAGCCATCGTGGCAGACAATCTGCCACTTGGTGCAGGTAGGGCAGTGAACCTGAGGAGCACAGTAGTTACCGTAGCAGATGATGATGACGTTGGTGGGGATGACGGGGATGACCTGGGTGACAGTGGCAGTCTTAGTGACACCGTCCTCGGTCTCGGTGACAGTGGCAGTGGTGGTGACAGCAGGGAGGGTCTCGGTGACGAAGTCGGTGTTGATGACAGTGTCAGTCTCGCCAGGGTTGATGCCGATGGCAATGTAAATGGAGAGAAGGACGTTGACCGAGACCTGTCGACGCATGAGAGCATCGCCAGTCAGACCACCACAGTTCTCAGCATCGTTGCCAGGGCAGACGATGTCACATTGGTCGGTGCCAACAGCATTGGCGTTGGCGAAATCGAAGCTGCCACCACAGTAGCAAGTGTTGTCGTAGAGACCGAAGTAGCTGGAGCCCAAGCAAGACTCGGCACACTGCTCAGAGTCGTTCTCCTCGTTGGAGTAAGCCTGAGTGAAGCCGGGGAAGCCGTTCTCAGAAGAGAAACAGCCAAGGAAGTTGAAGCCATCAGGGTTTCCGATGCCACCAGCAGCGGTGGTGGTCTCAGCAGCAGTACCAGTGGTGGCAGTGCCAGTCTCGGCACCGGTGGAGGTGCCAGTCTCAGTACCAGTCTCGATAGCACTGGTGGTGCTGTTGGAGAAGGTCATGGTGTTGAACTGAGCCGCGGCCATGTTGCCCATGGCCAGGGCGATGATCTCTGCGTAACGCATTTTGTTGTTGGTTGATTCTTATGAGCGAATGACTGGGGGGTAACGACTGGAAACAGCTCTCGGAAGAGGAAGCGAAGGGATCGAGGATGTTTGAATTGCTTGATGCTGAGAAAAGAGAAATCGTTGTTTGGCCGGAATCAAGTCCTCTCTTTATACAAGATTCGGTCCCATACTGGAGGCTAAGATTGTATGGTCTCCCTTGTGGAATCACAGACCAAGCCCGCACAGAGTCCGCCAGTGTGCCCTCGTCGACGAATGCATCGAGCCTAACGCGAACAAAGTCGAGTGTGCCGTGACGGTTAAGACATGGCGTTGTGGTCCAACAAGCAAAGAATGCGATGCCCCTGACTTGACATGTCTCAATTCACACTCGAGGGACGTTGTTGGCATTGGCTGCGTGCTGCCGAAAATCCCCGCTGCTTGAGCTGCACATGTGCTGAGATTACTCTAAATTCCAGGTTAGCATGTATTGAGATAGCGCCGATCTCACTCAGTCGTAGAGAAGCCTGTGAGTTGCATAGAGGAGGCCACCAAGTGTCTACTGAGACACTCCTCCAAGGTTGTTTTCTTGGCAGATTCTTGTTGAACATCCCTCAAAGGAGATGGGACTGCCTTTTTTCTCCAACACTCCGAATCGGGAGCGAAATTCCTCGTGATGCCTGCGTTTGTCTCTGAGAGATGGTGAGCGGTGTACGCGCATATCAGTTTGATCGCCAAGAGAATAATCTCTCTGCAAGCGCTGCTCCCATTCCTGAATGCGTCAAAACAGCGTGTCAGAAACAATTTCCAAAAGTCCCTCATCGTTGATATCTCGAGATATGCCAGAAACGTTTAATCTTGTCA